GTGCAAATTGGTGTCTCCATAAACGATGTGGAGGACATCTATCCTTGCAGCCCTGGCCAAATTGAATTCTTCACGCAAGGAGAAAAGCAAGACCGGTTCTGGCAGCTGATGGCCGTTCGCACGCTGCCCGACGACTTGGACTTTGATCGTTGGATCTATCTGACGACTCAGCTGACGAAGAATAACCAGATCCTGCGCGCTCTGTATCTCCAGACCGACACTCAGAACCCGCAGATCCTGGTCCAAGTGGTGCTCAAGCATCCCGTTCTCAATCTTGCCTATCGATCCTATCGCACGGAGGAAGAAAAGCAGAGCATATTGGAAGCCGATTGGAAAACGCCGTTTGATCCAGCCAAGCCATTTGTGCGATACATGTTGCTCGAGAACTCGGAGGGCACACGCGACCTCGTCATCAACTTGCACCATTCCTCATACGACGGGACACTCCTTCACATTTTTGACGACCAATTCCAGGCCCTCAACCACAACCAGCCCATCCAGCAACCGACGCCTTTCAAAGACTTTATCTCTCACTTCCTGGGCACACCAAAGCAGCCCCAGCTCGACTATTGGACCAGCCTCCTTCAAAACCACTACTTCGACTTCCCATCTACAGTCACCGAACCGAAGCTGTCCAGCACCGAGACTGCAAAGATTGACGCATCCCTGGGCATCAACGACCTGGCCAGCTCCACTGGGGTAACGGCCCCAATCGTGTTCCAGATGGCCTACTCTCTCCTCCTGGCCCACCTCAGCGGCACACGGGACGTGATCTACGACAATCTTGTGACGGGGCGCAATGTCGCCCTCGACAACCCGCAGCTCATCAATGGGAACTGCGCCAACTTCCTGCCGTACCATTCGTATGTGGCGGAAGATATGCCCATTGAGGCCCTGCTCCGGTCCACACAGGCTGACTTCTGGGCCTCGACGGAGAACGGCCTCGTGTCCCTCGGTGAGATATATGACGCTCTGGGTCGCGACCGGTCCACTGCGGCAGCAAAATGTCTCTTTTGTTTCCAGCCATTCGAGCCGGTCACCTCTCAACAGGATCCAATGCGCTGGGTTGTCATGAAGATGAGCAAGAACCGGATGACTTTCAACTATGCCATTCAGATGGAGGTAGTGAAGGCGGCGGTCAAGGGCGAGTATATTGTGCGATTCGGCTACGATGAGAGAGCATTCTCGTCTGATGAGGCTCGCATGGCCTTGGTATGGTATACTCGATGCTTGGATGGCATGGTAAAAAGAAAGTTGGTCGGCGAGCTGGGGGTCTAGTGGTATAGTATCTCAATACGCTTTACTACGTTGTTGTATCTAAATGTTTGAATATACTGGTTTGTTTGGCTATTGGAGGATCGGTGAGTAGTAGAGTCCAATATACGCGTAGATTGCTTGAACCAGTCCGTTAAGTCTATACTATGTTAGTCATGAGGCAAGTGCTCCTGTCCGTACTAGGGTATATTCGTTTGGGTCCAGTACTTCTTATATTTTGCCGCACCATTAATTTTAGGCTCATTTCTATTATTGCTTTTGACGGTCTACTTCTTCCTTCTTCTACTACATAAGAATGAGGCGGTTACCAGGTTACCACTGCGACACAAAGGAGTCGCAGATTTCATGTACAGGACGGCCGGTTTCAGGTCCAGTTACACCGTTTTAAACAGCCTAATGTGATTTCTGATTTCCAAAGTTTTCCTCTGTTGAAGATCAAAAGCGAGCTAAAAGCTTTGCGAAATCCCTTCAACGATCAAGGCTTCTGTCCCAGGAAAGCAAAGCGGCGCACCTTCCACGACAGACCGTTTCTTGCCTCAACAACCGTGTCGGCATGCAGTCTGCTGAGCTCGTCCTTGAGATCTCCCTCCAGTTTGCTGATCAGCTCCCCAAACAGGCCGAGGTAATTCGTCTGGTCCAGCAACAGCAAGTAGGTATCGGTCGAGAATTCCTCCCGAATCACATTCTTCAGGCCTTGTTCCTTGAATGTCTCTGCCAGAGCCACAGACCACCTGCAACATATTGTGATTAGTCACCGTAGGCATGATATAGCGGTCTTGCGAGTGCAGCAAGAAGGTCGAGGAAGGAAAAGAATCACACTTACGACGCTGGGGTGGCGGCGCGGAAACGCGCATCAAGGCGCTGCAGAAGCTTTTCGGCATTCTCGGATGAATTGGCAGGGTCGGCCTTGACAATCGGGCGCTTGCTGGCGTCGTCATTGGGCTCCTCCCATTGCAGGTAGCCACCGGGCTCTAAATATCGTGGCGGATGCCGTCAGCCCGGCCTTTCTCATGAGGCCATTATCAGCAGATGCAGACGGCACATACTGAGCAGTTTCATCATGTTCTGGATGACGGGCACTGGATCGCTGCCCGCTTGGTTGACCACTTGCACGAGCAGTCGCGCATGGACGACATCGAACTTTTCTCTGTACTCTTCCGGGATCTCACCCAGGATATCGAGCTTGCTAAGGGATATGTTGGGCGGGAGGAATCCCGGGGCGGGGTACTGCTCGCTCGAGATGTCGAAGCCGTGGAGCTTTGCGTTGGGGAGTTGACGCAGGAGGTCGAGGAGCCAAATCCTGAGCATTAGAATTAGCTCAGTGCGGAACGATCAAGACGAGCGTAGAACAATCCATACCCAGTGCCAGCGCCTACGTCAGCAATGGCGAGATCTGGGCGGGAGACAGCAATGGACGGATGCAGGAGATATCCCATGTTCTCCTTCCAGATGTAGTGCTGGAGGCTCAGACGGGTCGAAGCCGCGACATTGCGATTGAGGCGATATGGATCCGACGCCTGTGGTACCGAGTTGCCGTTGGACTGGGTCATTGTGATACTGAGAGAGTCAAGATGAAACTTGAAAAAATATGCCGCTGAGATTGGACACACAATGGTAAAGACCACAGATCATTTAAGTACTGAAAAGCATTCACCGCCGCTACTCCAGGTGATCTAAGAATGGTATCTATCCTTCTCTGTCGTCTCTGCCCCTCCCAGGTAGCCCCGCGTGCTCGTCTGGTCATATACACTCGCCGCGCCGAAAACTGGGAGCCATCATGGCCTGCCGCCAGTATTAGGAAACAGGTCTCCCCATGAAGGTCGGTAACCCACGCGTAGACGAGAACGCATGGAGTGGCCTAGCTTTACCGCCAGGGGCGGAAGAGTAGATTGATACTCCACCCACACGAGACTGCGCCTCGGGACGTTCTCCCCGCGCGCGTTGGCCACTTGGCGACCTGTTTAGCGCTACCGCTGCCACTTGAGCTAAACGCTAGCGAACAAGAGAGCCATCGCTTACCAGGTCACATAATGCCGGAATGCTGGATACGAGCTCAGAACACAATCTGGGCCGGGCGAGTTCTCTACCAGACGGAGTGGAGAAAGTCCGCTCTCCCACATGGACCGCGGTTTTCCGCAGCCGGACACGCGGGGATCTGAAGTAGGCGGGGCCGGTCTGGCTGCTCCGTACAGGTGCTACATAGGTCCATATCTATGCAAGTAATGTAACGCAGATGGGGCTTTTGCCATGCTACTGCTTAGCGTGTACATGTCACGTCGCCTGTTTCAAAACTTCACGTGACCTGCGTGTCAACCACGCAACTGGGATATGTATCTATCAGATTGATCATTCTAATATTGTTAGCAATCCTCGTTTGCAACGCGTGAAGTGTACGAGATTTCTATCTTCGTTTTATTCGGGGTTTGATGCTCGCCTGGCCGTTTAGCGGTGGTAGCCGACTCGGCGGCGAGGCCCGGTCGTGCCTTAGTATGGATCGCGGCAGAATACTCCGGTTGTGCCTAACATGGAATACGAGAGACTTGAGGCATCTAATACTACCATGCTGATACTCTGCCAGTTAAATTCTCGAAAATTTTGGGAGCAACCCCATTTACGGCGCGGAAGCGGCGCCACATGGCGGGCTTTCTGAACGGGTAACTCTCGGGTGCAGTAGTGAAAAGATCAAATTGAGGATCAGATTAGGGTATCGTTCTTCCAGCTCCAGTTAGTCGATCTGCTATGGCATGTGCGGTTGTGACCCTTGTTTGGCCTCCATAGTCCTCCGGTGTACAGAGTAAGAGGAGATGTCAATCGTATATCGAAGTTTTCCTGAATTATGGCCAGACAACTCCGATCTCTGGATTCTACCATGATTTAAAATCGCCCAATTGAGGAGATTTCACTGACCTTTTATCGTTCCAATATAAAAGGCTCAGTTAGATGGCTAGATGCTTAGAAATCAGACCTTCGTGTCATCCCAAAACATCCATCTTCTACAGTGGCTACTAGCGAGGACTGGGTGAAGTGAGATTAATACGAAGCAGGCAGCAAGGATCAGCATGACATCCCTGCATTCCTGCGTTAGCCATGCAGGCCCCATGCCCTCCAATGTTAACGGATTGGCTGGGAAGGTTCGCTAAAACTAGGATTAAGGCACCATATACCTACCTATCCGAAGTACCACTGCAAGCCCAGCATTTCGTCAAAAGCTGCTGCCGGCGGTCGTCCGATCAGAGCCAATGTTTGCTCTGCAGACAAGACTTTCTCTGCAGATCATCACCATTGCCGGTGCCAGAATTGGTAATTCTCGTATAGATGTAAATTGGCGGTCCCTCTCGTCTGCATCAATTTTCTAGAAGGTTTAGGAAGGTAGTTCTCTATATAGCCGATATTACCTCGTAGACTCGGGTCATTAAAGGTCTTTGAAAATCCAGCTTCTTGAACAGCTGGTTGTCTCGGCTGCGTACTTTCACCTAGGTCACGGACAGAAAAGTGTATCCATCTGCATGGTCTGCATGGACCCAGCAGTAAAGCTTGGTAAGTTCAGATTTGTCCTCGTCAAGGCGGAAATTGCTGACTAGCTGGCAAATTCAGCCGCACGGAGCCTAACTGGATGCTGGACCTGTCGAGTCCGTAAGAAGAAATGTGACGAAACTCGGCCTGTGTGCCGTTCATGCACTTATTTTGGGTTGGAGTGCCATGGATACGGCCCGAGACCCGAGTGGATGGACAGTGGCAGACGACAGAAAGAACAGGCTGCAAAGTTTAAGCACATTGTCAGCCAACGGAAATCGATGAATCGAAAGGAAAGGCTGCCTCGGGAAGGGCGTTCGCCGCACGATTCTAATCCGAGTCGCGGGCCTGTATCGACCGAAGACGCCCCAACACACATAGCATCGTCGTCTACTTCCGCACCCCTCCCTTTTAATGATCGCAATGATATCGGAGGTCAGGACCCGTTTCTTGATATGATTTTAAGTTCCTTTTTGGACCCGACATGGAATGCACCGCCCAACGGTGACTATGTAGCTACTGCACCCCAGTCCTTGATGAACGAAGAAGCTCACCAACGCCCACCTGCATTTTTCAGGAACAGAGACTCAACGCAAAACTCATTATCACCCGTATCGTCCGGGGATTTCTCATGGTTTGCGCCTGACAGGATGGGTTTGCATGACGGCAAGGCTGCAATCGTGCCACAAGATGAGATGGGATTTGCCACGAGTGGACAGCCCCTCTCCATCGTGGATGAATGGGCATGGGACTCATCTTTAAACGGTAATGGCTTCCTCAGTCAGTCTGGTGTGGACGACAAGGTTGCCGGAAAACCCACTGCTCCAGGACCTCTCCATGAGCCAGTCCGACATGGAGGAGCAGATGACGCGTTATTTATGCACTACTTGGATTGTGTATTCCACATCCAGTACCCATTTTACCTCTCCCGCAACCCACGAGGAAGAGGTTGCCTCTTCTCGATTTTAAGGATGGTTAAGCCTGCTTACCTTGCAACCCTTGCGCTCAGTGAACGAGACCTTCTCTCCACCCATCCGCAACAGGGCGATGTCACTGCCAGCCTAACTCAACTGCGCTCCAAGGGTGGGTACTATGATCTGGCAGCTCAGGGGACACAGCGCCTGCTGCAAGAATCACATACATGGAATAGAAGTGCTCATATGGTTCACAATATTGAGTCTCTCGCGTCCATCCTTCAGCTCTTGTTCTGGGAGGTATGTGGCCTCCACTGCTTTCCTTGTCAGGTCTCAATGGCTCAACAACGATCAAGCTCTTTGCCGGCGCCAGAGGGAATTGGCAGGTCCTCCTTCGTGAAGCCGCTCGCCTGATTCCCGGGCTTCTAGAGGCGCGAACACCCCTGACCAAACCCAAACCGGCATGTTCCGACTATACAAATCTTCCACAGCAGGTAGAAACACTCTCTCTCGACGATCATTGTGCGACTGGTGTCTTGCTTGGCTCCTTTATATCGCTTGATATCATCGCCTCCGCCTCCACTCGGCAGCCCCCTTTTCTCAATATTGACCACGCAGAGGCGCTGCGCAATCCCTGCATAGCATTGGAAAGTATTATTGGCTGTAGCAACTCAGTCATGGCGCTTATCTTTGAGATCTCCTTGCTAGATAGATGGAAGGAGGAGTCGCAGGCGGTCCGCAAGCTAAGCATTATCGATCTGGCGGAGCGTGGCCGCCAGATCGAGGAGCGCCTTCGACAGGAGCTTGGAGACATGGACAGTTTGCCGGAAACCGGCCCATCGCTGTTGAATCGCTCAGGAGCGCTCTCTGCCCCCGCCAACGCCGACGTTAACCGGCTTTTCGCCCTCTCAGCACTCATCTATCTCCATGTTGTCATCTCAGGGGCACACCCGGAGCTGCCGGAGATCGCAGATGCGGTCTCACAAGCCATAGCTGTTTTCAAGGGTCTGTGGGACCCAAGACTGCTACAAAGCGTATTAGTCTGGCCATTTTGCGTGTCTGGCTGCCTAGCCTTGGGCGAACAGCAGAGCTTCTTTCGCGACCTTTTCTCAGCTGCAGAAATTACAGAATCGACGGTTGGTACGTGTTTTGAGGCGTTTAAAATTATGGAGAAATGTTGGGAAACCAGAAAGTCGGGGCCATTTAATTGTGACTGGGTTTCAATAATGAAACAGCGGGGTTATTATGTTTTGCTCAGATAGAACGATCCGATAGAAAATGGAGCAGTCGTGGTCCGCAGCAAGCATACAAAGCTAGCCGTGTCTTCTTCCAGATGAAATTCCGGAAGTCCAGAATCCAGGTACATCCTCGCCTTGCCGTTCTTTTTATTTATCAGCCAGTCGTTCACATCTAAAAGACAGCCAATAGCAAGGTTGTTCTGTAGTCCAGTTCGAAGGAGTCACTGAATCAGAGATGGCAAGTTGATTACTTGGTCATATTCAGCACCATGTATAAATTTATAACTAGGTATACATGTGGGTAGACTGGTCGTGGATTGGATATGGGTTGATCCACATGATGTTTGATCCAACCCATATGGATTATGGTTGATCCACCACCTACCCAACCCAATCCTATATCCATGTGGATTGGATTATGGATAATGGATATATCCATACTACCTCGTCAGGTAACCTCTGGTATTTAGATTACTACCTATTTTTCTAGTATTCTAGCCACACCACTAAGATATTGTTGGTGAGAGCCATGGTATGGTCAATTATTGAGCATATCCATGGGTCTAACCGCTATGGTTGATCATTAACAAACAATGATCTAATCTATGAGATCACCTAGCTATGAGATCATTCGATATTCGAATGGTCAATGCTAGAAGGAATTGTCTATAAATACTCCCTGGAAATCACCCTATAGCTAGTTAGAATTAAGCAAGGAATCAAGCCATTAAGCTAAGGTATCCTTAGCTATTTTCCTTCTACTATTCTATTCTATTTAACCATTCTTCCTTTATACCTAGGCAAGCTTTCTACTCCCCTTTTGCATTCGTGAATTTTCCTTTGTCATTTATATACTATTTAGTATATACTATTCATTTTCATTCACAGATATCTATATATTTTATTATATAATATAATAGTTTACTATATAAATATTATATATTACCTATTAGATAACCTAAAATAGGCATAATTAGGCAGGTAGGGGTGCCCCCCTAAGGGTGGGACGAAAAGTAGTGCAGAGATATATATTTCTTACCACTATCCTAATTAGAGTTGTATTTGATGTGAGTTCGGGCGAGTTCCAGCCTAGTTAGCACCAACCTGCTGCAATTTCGAGTTGAAATTTTAGAAATTGAATCTAAATTGAATCCAATGCAGTTTGGTGTGGTTTTCACTATAAAAACCCACTACTAGGCCTAGATAGGCTATACTAACTAACTATGGTTAGATTTAGTTCAGTTTCGGGTTAGTTAAACTGCTAATTTTAACTATTTTAACCCTTACCATTTCCCCCTTTAGGACCCCTCTAAGGCCCTATATCAAGCATGCTTATATATAATTATGATTTCTATATAAAATATATAGTAATTATCATTATACTAATCTAGATCTAAAATATCGATTTGATATCTATGGGGTTAGATAGGTGGTAGTTAAAAATTATTTAAAAGGTATAATAGTTATCAGACCCTGGTGCCCTTATATATATATCTCTGTACTACTTTTTGTGAATAAAAATAGTGAATAGTATATAGTATATAGTAGATAGTATAGAAATGACAAAGGAAATTTCACAAATGCAAAGGGGAATAGATGGCTTGCCTAGGTATAAAGGAAGAATAGGAAGGATAGTTAAATAGAATAGAATAGTAGAAGGAAAATAGCTAAGGATACCTTAGCTTAATGTCTTGATTCCTTGCTTAATTCTAACTAGCTATAGGGTGATTTCCAGGGTGTATTTATAGACAATTCCTTCTAGCATTGACCGTTCAAATATTGAATGATCTCATAGCTAGGTGATCTCATAGATTAGATCATTGTTTGTTAATGATCAACCATAGCGGTTAGACCCATGGATATGCTTAATAATTAACCATACCATGACTCTCACCAACACTTTTATACCAACCCATGACAGAGATAATTATTCCCTTATATCTTAACAACTACTATGTATTTTTAAATAATATTTATATCACTAGATAGCCCTTGATTCAGGCTATCCAGCAATACTAATATTAATTAAGAATATTTAGAATTTAATAATTTCTAGGTAAAACGGTGCAGGTTAGTTAAACCTAACTTAAAAAACTGTAAAAACTGAAAACTGCAGTTTTTACCTAACCTAGATCAGGTCCAGGGTAGCCTAACCAAACTCAAAGTGATTCCCTAGGCTTGCCCCCGACCCCGCACCACTGCGAGTTCAGTGAGGTTTGGGTTCGATTTTTGCGGGTCGGTTATGCCACTCTAATCCTAATTACTGTCGTTTAAAATCTAAAATCTACTATAACTCTAGTTTTTCTTAGTAGATCTAATATTTTTATTTTATAAATAGATTAATAGGACTATTCTTTATCTATAGATATAAAAATATTCCCCTATCTAGGCCTAGGCCAGGTTAGATAAGCTTATCAGCTTCTAGAGGCCCTAGATCACATGCACCTAATGGGTTATCCATATCCATATAGATTAGGCAGGTTCAACCTATATCCACTTGGGTTGGATCAACCCTACCTAGATCCAACCCAAATGTGGATTGGGTTGGTTGGATATGGATTTGTGGATTGGGTCAGCCAGTCTACATATGGGGCTGTGGGGTCATAGTTAAACAACAAACCCTAAATGGGATGCAATGCATACCACCCACCCTCATGGATAGGAGACACTACAAAACAATTCCAACCCCTTGCTTTTGACGGCATGCAGGATATCAAAGACACCGTCTCTATATCTCTCCTGCTGGTCGACTATTACTGTGCAATGAGATGGAAATCTAGGTTTCACAGAGCAGCTTAGCTTGCGAAAAATTTAGCACTACGTAGAGGAATCTTTGTCTGTTGGGATTGAGTGGAACATTTTACCGGTATTCAACACTGAAGAGTCACCCCGGCCCATACCGGGAATTGATCTAATAAAGTATTCAGTTCATAATAGACACTCTGAATAACAAAGGACAGGTCCTATCTCTGGACCGCTCGCTGAGGAGCTGCAAGGTGTGCGGCTGGATATATTGACATATCCACGAACATTATTGACTACCCAGGTTTGGCAAAGAGATATGAAAGAACAGGCAGGTTGTCTCAGCAAAGTCGGTCACCGGTCTAAAGCTGAGAGTAGCGCCATTTCTACTATAATAAGGTTGCTGGGTTGACAAAGACTTTACACTTAAGTGTCAGTGGCTATTCAAGCTTACTGCGGCCAGCGTACAGTTGGCTCTCCCTATATATATGGTGTTTTTTTTTTTTTTTTTTTTTTTTTTTTCCCCTTTATCTGGACGCTACACAGGCGGGTTGCGAATACCGCCAGTCCACAATCTGACGAGGCCCCTTTCATTGGTTAACTTAGAAAATCGAACACCTTTTGCAGTCGGCAAGGTGCTGACGTGATGACCAGGCATACTTTACAGCAGCAGCCACTGATGTAGGCTTGATACGGAAGGTATGAATGGTATGCTCAAATAGAGGGTTTAAAGAGAGCAGGTAAAAGAGTAATACGTCATAAGGAAGGTATTATTAAAACCAAGCAGGCTTCACTGGTTCATAGAGCATCTGGCCGATACACATATACAGGCCTCCGAATCCTATACTCTAGTGTGTGAACTCAAAAGATCTTTATTATACTTGGTAACGAGAAGAAGTTGGTAACGAGAAGACACATCCGACATAGGATATTTAGTACGCAGAATGCCAAATCTGACGCTCGGCTGGTAAGTAATTAGCATTTGTCCTGGTCAACCAGCCTTCGATAGTATCGCGGGTGATTGAGTATACTAGAATAACGGCTGAATGAGCGKGTAATGACCGCGATGGTCGCGACCCCATTCCTGTCTTATCGTGGTAGGAGGACCACGAGTCCGCATGCGGGCAGAATATAACTTGGGCATTAGCAACTTCGCCGGCAATAGATGAGACCGCGCCGTATTTGTCACACTCCGTTCCTGGATAATGTGGGCTGCCTGGCACTCAAGAGTAGCTGTCCCTCTGCCAGTGGATTCCACGATAAAGATCTCCTTGCAAAGAAACAGAGGAGTAATTCAGATGTGTGCTTGGAGTGCTGCAAACTACCACCGATTATGGTCATTGACAACTATACTTATAACCATAGCCCTCTTTTATATCCTCGCGGCTGATTTATGACAAACTCTTTCTATCCAAGACACAAGCAGAAGGCAGGGAACGAAACCTCAGACGCTTGAGACCCGCATATTATTCGACACGAAACATCCTGTTCGCCCCAACATTACCCACACCGCTCGTTAGGGTACCTTTCTCTGATCCCTTTCTTTCTTAGTGGATTTCACAGAACAATGACACAACCTGATAATCATATTTCCAAGCTTGCCGCTAACAGCGCCCCTTCAATCCATCCGGAGTCAATCCTGGGGGATTTTCTGCGGAATAATGACGACGTAGTTTTCGTTCGGTTCCAATGGCAGGATTATTCAGGAATTCTTAGGGGCCGTGTGGTACCAGTCAAACAATGTCTACAGCTTGCAGCGGAAGGTAAACTCGTCCAAGTCCCTCCGTTTGCCTTCGAGTGTGTGTTGGATAATACACTCAGGCCGGGCATGGATCCGACCGGGGTGGATTGGCTTGTACCGGATTGGACGAGTATTCGCACCAGTTCGCGAAGCAGCCTTCCAGACGGATGCTATGCCACCGTGATGTGTGATGTTGTACGGACTACGCCGGCACAACCGGGCCCGAATTTTGATTTATGCCCGCGCCGGGCACTAGAAAAAGTGATACATAAAGCAAGAGACACCTACCGCAAGGATTTTCTAGTTGGTTTTGAAGTCGAGTTCGAAATTATGAAGGTCTCCGGGAATGGCGGTTTTATCCCACTAAGTGCCGGGATGGGGCGGTTTGCCATTGCAGGACAGCGTGACCCATGCTTCAAATACGTGGAAGAATGTATCCATGAGCTGCAGGTGGCGGGGGTGAGCATCCTAACCTTCCAAACCGAAGGACGCAGGGGCCAATATGAGATCTCTCTGGGGCCGCTTCCCCCCTTACAAGCAGTCGACCAACTCGTCCTGGTACATGACTGCATTAAAAGTGTGGTGGCTCGCCATGGGCACGTCGCCACCATGTGCCCCAAACCAGTGCAAGGTCGGAGGCAAGCCACGGGCCAGCACACTCACATCTCCATTCACCCGCCAGACCGCGAAGATTCCTTCCTCGCGGGCATGCTCAAGCGACTGAGATCGCTCTGCGCATTTGGCTTACCATATGATCTCTCCTATGAACGCGTCCAACCCTATCTGGGCGGTGAAATCGTCGCATGGGGGACGCAGAATCGAGAAGTTGCCATCCGGAAGATCGGCCCTGGGCACTGGGAGGTCAGATGTATCGATGCAACTGCCAACATGTATCTGGCATTGGCAGCATTGCTGAGTGCTGGTATCCTCGGCCTTGGGCGCCAGGAAACACTCACGTGGCCGGATACCGCAATCCCAAAACAATGTTTGAGTGGTATTGGAGAAGAGCCGTGCTACCTTCCGCGGAAATTGGAAGTTGCACTAGACCTCCTTGAGGCGGAGATATCTCAGGTAGAATGTATGATGGGAAGTAGGATCGCGCGCCATTACTTAGCGCACAAGCGGTTCGAGCTGTCGCGGACGAAGGAGATGGATGGCGACAAGGCAAGGAACCTCCACATTGAACTCTTCTAGTCGCAAGGTGGCAAAAGTCTATTTTGTATTGACCGGAAATGACGCTGTGTCCTAAAGGGGAATATGATCTGGTCTGTAAAATCCGCTCCCGGAGAAGACACGACAATTAGATTCAAAGTATTTGAGAAACTTGCAGCCACGAAGCCGCACGTGCCGTTCTTTTTCATTTTACTTTTCTTATCTAATCCAGTGATCTCTAGCCCTGGCATAATCACGATTGATAAGGACAGGGCGCAAGTGACAGGGGGCTTGAACAAAATGCCGTTCACGGCAGCACCATAGACGGGGGAAAGCGGATGCCACATTCGTATTTTAAGGAGGTATCCGTCACCTCTTTACCAATGTCTCTAAGATAGCAAGAGATACATTGCCAGCTAGATCTTGCGCTCTGCCGAGCTTTATGGAAACCTGATCCTCAATAACACTGAATCGCTGTCATGGCTCGTATCAATAAAGAGGCCAACTCGCGCTTCTTTACTTCCATCCCCATCCTCGACTTCTCTCAAACTGCGTCAGTAAAGACGAAACCTGGCTTCATCAGGGAACTCAGAGATGCACTCATCAATGTGGGCTTCTTCTACGTGAAGAACACACCTCTGCCGGCACAGGTAGTCAAAAGCCTGATGGCACAAACAGTGAACGTGTTCGATATGCTCATGGAAAAGAAGCTGGAGATGGCGATGATCAACAGCAAGCATTTCCTCGGATACTCTCAATTAGGAGCGGAGAAGACCGGTCAAATGGCGGACTATCGAGAACAGTTCGACGTACACTTTATACTCTCACCGTTAGAAGACAAGCATGCTAACCTCCACATCCAGTTCAGTACCGAATTGCCAGCCCCCGCTCCTGACGAGCCGGTGTATCAAAATGTCCGCGGTCCGAATCAGGTAGGAAGGCACCCTAACTGGCTAGATACGCGCGCCATGTGGATAAGCATCTTTTGACACATGACAATTCTCCAGTAGTGGCCAGACGAGACTGTTGCTCCTGGATTTCGCCACGTTATAGAGACGTACCTCAGGGTCATTAATCAAATTGCCGAAGCATTCAAAATGCTGGTTGCCGAAGCCCTCGATCTGGAGCCAGACTCCTTACATCGCCTGTTCGATGTCCCGCCGCAAATCAAAATGAAACTAGTCAAATATCCTCCACCGCCACGATCTTCCGGTTCAGAAGAGCATATCAATCTACAAGGATCTGGGGCGCACAAGGATGGCAGCTTTCTCACTTACCTGCTGCAAGGAACCCCTCACCTGGGCCTTGAAGTGCAGAACAAAGCAGAAGATTGGATTTCGGTGCCCCCAATCCCTGGGTCGCTGGTTGTCAATATCGGTCGGTCCCTGGAATCAATCACGCGAGGGGTCTGTGTGGCTACCACCCATCGAGTGCGCCTGGATAGCGACTATTTTAGAGCTACCGATGGCAGCTCGCTCGGGCCCCGTTATTCCTTCCCAGCATTCCAGAGTTTAAGCCTGGAGCTCACGCAAGAAAACATGTTTTTAGATCTTCCAGCTCATATTACTGCACTGGCGAAGGACCGAGAACTGAATTCCGACGTCGAAGAGGCTTTTAAGCACGTGTACAATGGCAGCATTGGGGAAGGCACTTTCATGGCACGCCTCACAAGTCATCCAGATGTCGCACAGAGATGGTATCCTGCTGAGACTACTCGAGCACTCGAAAGACAGAAAGGAATCAGAGACGAGAGCCATAATCACACGCGAGGAGAGTAGCATCAATCACAGTGTTGCCGTGGACGCCACATTATGGTTTGCTCTGTGGGATTGGCTGAGTGTTAGAGCAACTAAAACGCAAGCGACACGGGATCTAATCAGTTACACTAATTCCATAAGAGGATTTGGATTGTTTGGTACACTCACTGCTGTTTTCACGCAGCTTTCTGAAGCTGGTAGCATATTTTACTCATCGCTTCTTTGCGGTCATATTACGTGGGGATGAGCGAGGCCGACGTAGATATAGCTGTAAAATCGCATAGGGTGGTAGTGCATCCACCTTCCGTAATAACATAGGCCTACGTTTCAGGCATTCCGGACTTGTGGCTGGGTATGCATCCGGTGCTGGGCCATGCTCCCTGTTTACGCTCGGCAACGCACCCCTTGCGCATTAAGATGAAAGGCACATTAGCTGATGGGCTCCTTGCAGCTAAAGGGGATGTTGACAAAGCACTGCTGCGTGCATGTCTGCTTTGCACCCTATTAAATCCTTGGACTTCTGATATCAGTGGTGTAGCTCAAGAGATTTCCCTGTCGGTGTTGCCAATGTCCGCCTTCGACGGCATTACATTTCCCAATTATGCTTCATTTTGTCTCTAGGGCTGTAGTTTAGCACAGCGATTATGTCCCATTCGAATACTGATATTTACGCCATTCGCAGGAACTTCCCTGGCCTTGAACATGGCATCATCTGTCTCAATAATTCAAGTGGCACAGTTGCCCACAAAGCTGTGATTGACATGCATGTTCCTCTCCTATTGAAAGCATCATATTTCTGCTGCTATGCAGTTCATTGCTCACTGCTTCGTAGGGTCCAGTCATCCTTACGCGGCCTCCCCTTAAACCTAGGCCTTCGTAATCCGTACGATTCCCGCGCAAAACAAGAGAGAAAAGAATGTTTTCAGAAATTGGCTTCATTCATAAATGCCTCACCAGATGAGATTGGTAAGTCATGGCGGACAAATGTTCAGTGCTGTCCCCAGGGACATTAACACTGACGGAGAACCGCAGCCTTCGGACCCTCGTCGACGCAACTCTTTCACAACCTCGCCCAGAGTCTCGAGCCTTCACTCGCCACCGGTTCCGAGATCATTATTTCAAACCTTTGCCATGAATCTGCTATTAATGCCTGGTTGCATCTGGCCAAGCGTTCACGCGCCACTGTCAAATGGTGGACCCATCCGCCAACCAATAATCCAACCCTGTCCCTGGAGAACCTGCGGCAGCTTCTCTCTCCCAAGACTCGACTTGTCACCTGTAATCATGTTTCGAACGTTTTCGGGACAATTCACGACATTCGTGCTGTTGCAGATATGGTACATACAATACCCGGTGCGATGCTCTGCGTAGATGGGGTAGCGCTGGCACCACACCGGCCCATTGACGTGAAGGCGCTGGATGTGGATTTCTACTTCTGCAGCTGGTACAAGATCTTCGGCCCTCATATTGCCCAGCTGTACGCCCATCAGAGGGTTCAGGAGCGGCAAATGATGAGCATCAATCATCCAATTCCGAGCCCATCTGCCTGCGATGCCAAACTGCACCCGGGGATGGGTTGCTTTGAACTAGAACAGAGTTTGATCGCCGTAGTGGACTACATCAATTCTATCGGCTGGAGTAGTATTGTTCACCAAGAGATGGTTCTTCAGGAGGCACTTTTGAGTTATCTTCACAGCAGGATGGACACTTTCACCGTTTATGGGGAACCGTCTTCGGACCCGTCGAGGCGCATATGCCTGGTCAGCTTCCGTGTTAATGGGCGATCATCGAAAGAGATTGAAAACATCATCCAGTGCCACACCAACTTCCGCATTGCCAGCGGACATGCCTATTCGTTTCGGTATGTTTATGATGTCCTCGGGCTTCCGGAAGACGGGGTGATACGTGTGAGCTTCGCCCATTATAACACTCTCGAGGAAGTAAAAGGATTTACGAACATGTTGGATCAGCTGCTCGCGAACGAGTTGGAAGGCCATACCCTTCCCTGTGGACTTTGCGGAATGGGTCAATAGTTATGATGTCGTAGAGTGGGGGATGCTCTTCTCATCGGGCTCCTCCTGGAATAAGGACGTTATCATGCCCAGGGGTAATATACTTCTGAGTTATTGCTCAGGAACATGGGCCGCTGCTGCAAGATCGACGTATCTGGTTCCATCGGATTGCCAAGCCCCTTGGCGTCAAAGAGACTTTAGGCTAGGATCTAGGAACGATGGGCACCAGAACTATGGTTATATAATCTCGGCTCACTGGGAGCCCCGAGTGTCCGAGAATTACCTAATCCTTGGGTCATCATCCAGTTTATACTTGTTTCCGTGTGCACTGATCATCCACTTTCTTATCTTAGTAGATAATGCCACCCTGCTTCAAGATACTATAAATGAGTGGACCGTATGAGGTGCTAGTCAATCCTCTTATAATTTTAAACTTCGCAAGATTTTCAAGATGCCGAAGCCAGTTGCAATCATTGCCGGCGCAGGGCCGGGAACAGGCGGTGCTGTCGCCCGCCGGTTTGCAAAGGCCTACCCTGTGGTTCTGCTTGCTCGATCGCAACTATCACTCGACCCCTTGGTTCACGACATCACGCAGAGTGGAGGCTCTGCAATTGGCATACCTACCGACGTGACCAGCTCCTCGAGTATGAGTTCGACAATGGAGCAAATCAAGACCAAGTTTGGTCCTGATCTTAGCATCGCAGCAGCGATCTATAACGTTGCAAGTAAATTTATAAGAAAGCCTTTCCTGGAACAAAGCCCAGAAGAGTTCCTAGAGAGCCTTGAGCCGTCCATTAAGGGTGCATTCAACTTTGCTCAGGCCACACTGCCCTTGATGTTGAATGAAAACAGAGGACAGTATCCACCCACCCTCATTTTCACAGGTACAAGCAACTCGAATCTACTGGTATAACATCTCTAACTGCCTATAATAGGTGCAACGGCTGCACTTAAAGGTAGCTCTGGACTATCTGGGTTCGCCATGAGCAAGTTTGGAATCCGTGCTCTGTCTCAGTCTCTCGCGCGTGAATTCGGGCCCAAAGGCGTTCACGCGTCCCATGCTATCATTGACGGGATCATTGATACCGAGAAGACTAAGGGCTACAGTCAAGACATCCCGGATTCGAAGATTGATCCTAAGTGGGTAAGTGCATGGGCATCTCTGGAGCGAACAGTTCTTCTACTGATCGTCGTTCACCGTTCACTAGATTGCGGAATCGTATTGGTTTTTGCACACCCAGCCCAAGACTTCATTTACTCATGAAATAGACCTCAGGCCGTATTCAGAGAAGTGGTAAAAGGGAAAAAAGAATGACTGTCCATTAATCCTTGACTGATGTTTAATGACGCAATTATCCTTGTGTGATAGGCAGGAGCACCGCCTTCTACATGAACGCTGGCACAGACGGGATAGGTGCTTGACAACCAATGTTTATGTCCGCGAAAACGCCTACTACAGACACCTAGTGGACAAATATTTACGTTACAGAAGCCGGGGACCACAACTACAATAGAGCGTCAGTGCCTCCAGTACAGCCGAAACTATTCTACAATGCTATCACTTCTCTATGAGGGAGTAGATATATCAGGTGTCGAAAGAGGTCTAATCCTAGTTGTCATACGAGCGGCTCTCTTTACGGAGACATTTTTCCTCCATAAGATGCCTTATATTCTACATTGTCTGAGTAGTAGCATCGCCTAAATGTCACGGAAATGGGCGAAGAATCAGATCGATCGACGTTGGAGAACTATACAGGAAGCCCACAGCATGTTGAGTAGTTTGGGAAATCTCATGAACGATATGATTCGATTTCGGATTTTAACTCCAAGATAAGATCCTTTCATGAGTGACAGGAGTACTAAACTCACTGCCAGGCGGAAACATTCTTCTGGACAAACTCCTCCCAAGTAGTAGGCTTAGAGTCAAGAAGCTTCAGACTAGGTTCCAGGGGCTCTCCCAGGTAGTAACCAGGATCCTCGACGAACAACTGGTTCTCAAGGTACTCCTCCGCAACAGCAGGAGGCAAGGAGTCCTTATACTGCTCCGGAGAAACCTGTATGAAAACAGCCTTCTTGCCGGAAACCTGAGAGAAGGTGTCCACAATTTCTTCCGGGGTGTAGTACTTGGCAGCCGCCAGGATTTGCTTGTTCTTTAACTGATCCGCGTGCTTAATCGCGGCCTTCACAAAGAGACCTGCATAGGTACTTCAGTTACTGTTTCGAAAACATAAGATATAGGACACTTACCTGTATCCTGAGCGGCGTCAAACAGAGGGAACTTGGCTTGCTTGCCAACAGGAAAGAAGAGCTGGTATGAGCCATCCTCAGCCCGTTTGAGCATCTGCTTGAAGTTGCTCATGTAGTATCCAGGAAGGACAAAGCTGCATCCCACTCCTGAAGCACGGATATACTTCTCAACATTGGCCTTGCTATCAAAATGAGGAACATGGGTCAGTCGTCCCTTGCTCTCTTCCTTCACATGGTGCAGGGAAGAGAAGATGAGGTGAGAGACGCCAACAGCTTTGGAAACATCGGTCACATTCTTGCCCTGGGAGTATTCAATGTCGGCGTTCATAGTTTCCCAGTAGTTGGTGACCAAAAAGACGGTGTGGGAGCCCTCAAGGGCTGCGGTAAGAGAGTCCACAGAGCTCAAATCAGCCTGGCTTTGTCAATGATTGCTTCTGAAAGTCTAGGTATTCATGTGAAATCCTACAGCGACAACTTCGACACCCCGCTTGGCCAGCTCCTGGGCTGATTTCTTACTAGTATCGCGGGTGATACCTCGGAGCTTGAATTCCTTAGAGAGTTGGGGATCGGTGAGGATGGCATCAATAACAGAACCACCCTGGTTGCCGGTGGCGCCAAACACGGTGATCAACTTAGACATGGCGGAGTGCTGAGATGCAGTAGGTTGAAATTGGACTTAAGGATATGATGAACGTAGTTTTTTGGTTTTGTGTGCTTGATGATTTAACCTTAAGGATCGAGACTTCCGGGGAGCTTTTATACCTTCAAACCTTGATTTGGCCAAAAGGCAAGTACACTCCCTCTGGCAAGTAAGTTATCGACGAATGAATAAGCTCGGCGTCGAATTAAAGGCCGATTGCCGCTGATTCTATCTTGGCGGATCCCCGATCCCCGCTTTGGCAGAACCTTTTCGCAGCCACCCTGCAGCTTGAGTAAGACAGGAGACCATTTGTCAGATCGGGTGTCTGAAAGTCCGAATACAGTTCGATGACGGTACCTTAGATCAGACCACATTCATGTGTTTGTCGATCTCCTCGCCAATTTTCATTAGCACCATAGTGCCTAGGACGTACGTCATGTCGTCACTGAAGTAGCCCTTAGAGCCTTTAGGGGTCGTGGGGCATATCCGGCCCACCGCAGTAAGGTTGGAGCACGGCGGGGTTTGGAGGAGGGTAAATGGACTTGATTGGCCTGTGCAGCAGAGTCCAAGTGGGGCTATATMGCTAGGTAGCCGGTTGCAGATCATTATCTTGCTGCGACTGGACGGTTTATTTATGTGGGCTTTTGGTAATAGGGAAGACCTTCAGAAGGCCCAGCAAATCAACAGCTAACGATTGATGGCATGGCTGTCCCGTAGAGAGGACAGCGATATATAATGATTATCAACAAGAGAAGAACAACAAGGAATTATCCTGCGAGTATCCTTTTGCCAACGTGCTGTAGAATCGGCCCCAGGGCGTTAACCACCAGATTCATCTTCGCCAGCATCACTCGCTTACTATTAAGTAGCCGACAGAATACCATCCTCATTCTCATATATCACCACAATCATGTAACCTGCTTCATTCCGTGGGGATCAGGTCGTCCCTCATACTCCGTCACAGGGCATGCTGGGGCAAAGCAGTGTATTTCCCATCGCATTGGTATAGACTCACGTCCATTAACGCATCCCTAAAGATGCCTAAGGATGCACTTTCGACGGCGAGTGAATCTAAATGGTACTGTTCCAAGTTTTGAGAAGAACTGACCATGACTGGATCCGGAATATTGGATTCGACGGGAAGAGTCGATCCGGGCGGACGCAGTTGATGGTCTCGAATCGCAGCCGCCCGGTCCATAAGGCGTTGCAGTGGTCGCATTATCAACCCTTCTCTGTGGCACACTGGCCCGTTCCATCGTTCGTAAACACGGTCCACGACCATCCACGCGCGATCAGACAAAGAGGAGGTTGGCCGCTCGCAGAGTTCTGACAAAACAAAGGCAAATGCTTGCCACTGGACGTATCCCTGAAACAACCATGACCATTTTGCAGTGTGTTGGTGAGTCTCGAGTAGATAGACGAAATCGAGTACTTCAATAGCCGTGAGGACAAGGACTTCGCATCGGTCAGGCCACAAGGTTGCATCAAACCCTTCAGCGGTCAGCAGAGAGAAATGAGAGACAAGCCACAACCGTGCAAGTGCAACTCGTGCAATAGTCGCAGCCACCCAGTGAATGGGGATGCTGAGATCACAAAACTGGAGATATCGTTCGTCAAGGAGCTGACGAGACTCTTCTATTACCAGATTACGGTTCTTGAAAATTTCCTTGTGACCATCCACCCTGGTTGCCGCCATTTGCATCAACTTGCGATTGGATATTAAGATCTGACAACGGACCAAAGTCAGGGTCATATCCGTGAAGCCGACTTTCTCTTGTGGAGGCTCGACTAAATCGGAGGACCAGTCGTCGTCGTTGAGATTCAACGGCAATCGTGTGTCGTAGTCGCCTTCCCGGATCTGGGGGCTCGTTGCTTGATACTCAGATGATTGAACATGCAATAGATAGATGTACCACCAGAGTCGTCGCCGCATTTCTGTCTAGAAAGGGCTTAGACCAAAGTGGCTGCCATCACGATGGAGCCCAGGACCTAAGCCAAGGCGGACGACCACAGCTATCATGGTCCAGACAAATTGTGCATCGTTTGGATGACAAGCGCAGGTCAAGAAGAGGACGGCTGCTTGTAGCACCATAAGTTTGTGGGTTTGAAGAAACCCTGCTCGCGCCAACGCCTGCTCGACGGCGAAGCGATATCGTTTGACCAAGGTACCGTGGTCAACCCCCAAGCGGCGGAGGCATTGTTCTGGGGCCATGCTCGAGATTGCGGCGAAGTAAACAGAAAAGGCCAAGGCTTCAGAGCCGCTATCAAGCACTTCTGGATTGGCGCTCGTTTTTTGAATCAGGCTCCTCAACGCTGGTTTATGAACGATCGTAATTATTGGCCCTACATTTTCTTCGAAGGCATTCAAAAGTATCTGGCTGCTAGGCGGCGAGGGATGGTACCTGCGTAGTGAGTGAAGCAAAGAATAATAACCAAATATAAAAGGACTGGAATTTTCCGAGTATGCTGCAGCTGAAGTGGGTGATGACGTGTCTACCTCGGATGACAAGACGGTCGATGAGGGGGACACGCAGAGGTCTCGAAGTTCCTTGATCTTTCACACGGTCATCAACAGAGCTCAGCCAGCTTCTCACGCGTCCATACTCGTGTCTAGGATGAGAAGAGGTGGGGGCATAGTTTACCTGATTTCCTAGATCCGTCAGCACCCGATGGTCCACGTATCGGCTTGTCCCATTGCTAGGGTCAATAACTAATCGTCCAACTTGATCTCCCAGCGTGCTGTTAACTGTGCTAAGGGTCGCTGTTGGTGAGCCTAGGCCGTGACAAATTCCGGTATTAGGCTCTTCAACTCCCCTTTGTAAAAAGGTGGCACGAGGCTTCGAAGGCCCTAGACCTGCATTGTGGCTGCTCTCTGGACCCTCCTGAATGTCTGCAGGGGCAAGTTTAGCAATGCTTTGTGCGCTGATTTCCTCGACTTTCCGTTCCAAATTGCTCAGTCGCGAGATCAACTCCGCCTTGTTGGACTTTCTTGGACCTTTCGGAGGCCTGCGCCCAGGTGGTGGGAATGTACACTCAACCCCCAGCCTCACACAGTTTTCACAAGGAAATACTTTGTTACATCGGACCTTCCTTCGGTTACAGTCGCGGCAACTACGAAGGAGTAGGGATGGCCCTCCTTTGGAGAAAAATTGGGGGTTCTCTGGTTTGACGTGTTCGTGAGCCATTTGAGCATAGTTGGAATGATTCCATGCAAATTGGAGGTGCTCCCCACATTCCGCATAATTTCAGATAACTTATCTGACGGTTGTTTGGACTTTCTTATTAAGCTACCGTTGTTTCCTCTTGGTGTTGCATGTTCCACGGACTAGTGTGCTCCGGCCATTTGCTTAAACTCTTTTAACCATTTGAACGTACTTGAACCATCATGGTAGTACCTCGGGCCAGATAAACGAGGTATTGATAAAAAAAAGAAGGGAACTGTATATGATATTATAAAAGGCTTCAGTGCAATAGGAGAACCTGGGGACTCGGAATAAAATTTAGAATAGTCCAACACTCCAACCTTATGTAACGTCAATACTAGATACCGACAAACACAGGAGCAACTTAAGAGTGAGAGCGAAAAAGTAGATCAGCAAGAGTAGGTTTTCCTCAAGGTGAGAAAGGGGAAGTTTAAGAATCGAAAACAGTTCGCTCTATGCACGAGGTAAATGATTCTACCCTGGGTGGGTTGGATACAGCAACCTCGAAAACTGACAGGGTCTTTCAGTTACCTGCCCTGCTCACTTGGCCGATGTACCTCGTCTATTAGCTTTAGATTAGGTTGTCACTTTCATTGAATCGCAGCACCATACCGACACATCTACATGGGTGTCAAAAGTAAATGATACATCCCTTTTTTGAGGGGTACGTGCGAATATATTCCGCCAACTAATTATCCGCACCTTTTACGTACATCTTCCCATTCCGGATCTAGACAATGCCTCGAGAAAAAGGGTCTAATGTGCTTTCACCCTAGTTAGCTCCCGCATATGTAAGCAAATATATAGGGTAACTACCTTTTTGAGGTTCGGGCCAGTGTGGTGGGCGTAGAGAATGATGGGTCTCATGGTCGGCATAGTAAAGAGAACTGGTGCTTATTTGGGGAATGAAGTAAGGCATTAGATAAAACATCTGCGGCTTTATATTCCCCTGTATTCACATGTTAGCCTTCTTGAATTACTAAATCAAAACTTGACACTACTGAAAGTCGTTTAGGTAATAGTCTACTACATGGGGAAGGCTAAGATAATTCATTCCTATTATGTTTTGTAGCCCAAGCCTGTCATCATGTCAAAGAAGCCTACTACGAGCCGTACAGGTAGCTATCGCCCTTGTGAGGAGCTTGCTTGCTCCGAGGACTGTTCACCGGCAATACACTTGGGCCTTGAGTTCCAGACAGCCTTTTAGACATGATTGAGACTATGTGAATTAGACAACAAGGTAATAGGGCACATTTTCGCGACCCCCTACCTAATGCCAGAAGAAGTTAGGAAGGTCAAACTGATAGTCCTGGACCACTGCTGACCAATCTGGCCACTCGGCGTTGCTAAAATCCAGCCCAGGCTCGTCTGCAAGCGCGTCTCCAGGAAGACACGGAGAAGGTCCTGCGAAGACAGATTGATATTCTTCAGACGGGCGTTCTGAACTGCGGTTAGCAGTGCTCACGCTCCCGTTATCTTTTCTCTTTCGGGCTTTTTCCTTMACTGATATCGCTTTCGCTCTAAGCGCCACTAGAATGGTCGAATTGGATCCCGATCTGAAGCTGGTACTATCGGCAGTCTCCTGAGAAAATACTGCATCCACAGCGCGCCATGCTCTGTCAATATTGGGGCCTTCGGGTCTGACGCACAAATGCCACAATATGTACATCGCAACATGGTACTGCGGGTAAGCCTTCTCAATCCAGGTGAATTGGCTTAACAGACCATGTTCTAGGGAGAGCCTTGGCTCGAGAATTTCCAAAGCTTCAATAAGATTCTCTTCAGTGGCAAAGTCTGCCTGTGGGCGAGAAGGCTGCAGTAATATCCACTGGAGTTTTGTGACGAAGTCCCGCTTTCGAAGCAGGAATTGAGAGCAGGATAGCGTTAGATTTTGCAAAGGTATGATCGGATTGCAAAATCGGAGCCACTTGTCGATGCGTTCCCTGGTTTCTTTGAATATTTGGGCTCTTTCGGCTTCGTTTGGAGGGCATGAGGGCGAAGATGACGCAGCTAGGACCGCCAACTTTTGCATCGTCCTGGTAAGGTCTATATTGATTAATGAGAATGTCATCGGTGTCCAGTAATTTTTCGCGGGAGGAAGGCTCTGCAGTTCAGGATGGAGATCTGTGTCATCAAGGTTGCGAGGTAGATCAACGTCGGACCCCATTAACAGGCTATTGGTACTCTCTAGGCCGTAGTCCTCCCCTCCACGGCTGTCTCGCGTGACCAAATGCCACCAAAGGCGTCGACGCATCTCGGACTGGAATGGAGATAGGCCAAGGCGCTCCCCATCGCGATGGAGGCCCAATGACTGGGCTATACGGATCGCAAGACCGTTGAGAATCCACATCCCTTTGCCGCGGTTTTGGACTCGGAGGGCTGCCTAGAGCCCTGGTTAATATACGAATCTTTATCGAAGGGAAGGAGAACCTACCAGGTATATTGCCAATGCCTGGAGTCCAGTCACAGTCGGATGGTCTAAGAAGTCTCCATGGGCAAGAGTCTGTTCCAGGCCGAGCTTAAACCTGAGTAAGAGGGCATGTGAATCCTGTTCTAGGGTTATCTGAGGGTTCGGGGTGTCGAGAGAGCTCGTTGACGCGAAGTAAATGGCGAAGCATAATGCCAGGTTTTCTAAAGGTGCCGTCGACGGGTTGTCGATTGTTGAATATACTTTTACCTGATCGGTCGGGAGGTGTAATATCTTCAACCCTATACATACCTCCACACTCTCTACGAAAAGGTTCCATAGTCTTATCGCCAGTTGTTGAGGTGGATGAAGACTAGCTGGTGGTACTGATAGTATCGGCGCCGAGAGTATCCCCTGCGCATTATATGGGGAAGACGCTGGAGCGGGCAGTGATCCTGTGAGAGGCGGTGTAAGAATATTCTTGATGTTGTGCTCCTACGCGAACTGTCAGAACAGCACACAGCGAACAAGGTGAAGATATAATGCGATGCCTTACTTGCTTCATAATACCAGAGAGAAGTGATTCGTTAAAGTATTGAGTTGACGACCCTTTCTGGACGATTATGTCCTCTGGGGATCTATCGTTCCCGCTATTGGCATCGAACGCCGCGGGCGGCGCTGAAGGAACATCCGTCGAAGTCTCGGCGATAGTGGCATTTATGGCCGAAGACCTGGCTTGTCTAGCTTGTGCGACAGACTTCTCTAGGCTGGCTACCCGGGAGGCCATGTCCGCCATTATAGTATTCGCAGTTCGCCGTCTCCGGGGGCCCAGAGGCGGATAGCTACAGGTCCTGTCGGACCGTATGCAAGCCGAGCATGGCTCTTTTTTGTCACACCGAATTTTCCTTTCGTGGCAGCTGTAACACGAGCGGTGGGCCAAGGGAGTGGACTTGACTACTCCCACTGTGCGTGTGGATTTGGGCTCTGGGTGTGACCCGATGCGAGAGTGAGATGTAGTCTGTTCCGACCTCATATCAGCATGCGATTGTTGGGTGCAGAAATGTGTAGCATCGAATAGCATCGGATTTATTATAATAGTCGACAAAATGGATCTTCTGCGAGGCTGTCGCGCTGCGAAAGAATTGTCCTGGTGACGCGGAGAGGGATTTAACCAGCTTGATTAGGCCGGGGGCTACACCAAATCCTTTCGGTCACTTTAAGGCCGATGCCGAGAGCTTGTTTCAGTATTACCGTAGCTCCTCTAGCGGAGTTTTTTTTGTTCTTGTGGCTGATGGACTATCGATCTTCCAGGACAAGAACTCTGTTTCTCCTGACTTTTTTGACAGCAAATAAAAGGCGATATGATCGGGATGTGGGCTATCTTGGCTTCGGTCGTAATGACCACAATATGTAGCAAGCGCTGACTACAAATACTGACCGAATTCCATAGGACGGCTCAGACAATATCATGGCGAGACCTTCATTCAATCTTTCCCTTGTAGCGGACTTTTGTCTTTTCTCAAAGATCTCGAAGTCTTATTTTGGCTTTTATCATTATGGAAAGTTCGACAGCAAACAACCAGAAAGCTAGTGGCTCAGACGTCTGTTCCATGTCGCAGCGCAATGATTCGGAAAAAGCTATCAGTGCCGAGTCGAGACCTCCAGGGAGTGATGCTCCAGACGGCGGCTCTGGTGCGTGGCTTGTCGTGCTCGGTGCCTGGTGCACTTCCTTTTGCAGTTTTGGTTGGCTCAACAGTATGATTGACAACCGAGCTTTAGCTGTACAGCGCTGACAAGACTTAGGTGTGKGCGTGTTCCAGGAGTACTATCAGAATGAGCTGCTTAACGGCTATTCGCCAAGCACCATTTCATGGATTTCATCGCTGGAAATCTTCTTCATGATGGGCATGGTGTGTTTTTTTTCTATCAACTGACGCGAGTACTAATAATCTCTTAGGGACCCTTCGTGGGGGCCGTGTATGATCGCTACGGTCCCCGGCTATTGCTCCTAATCGGGAGTATTATGCACGTCTTTGGAATTATGATGGCTAGTCTTGGAAAGGACTACTATCAGATACTGCTCGCGCAGGGACTCTGTTCTGGTCTTGGTGCCTCGGCGATCTTCTCACCCTGTGGGTTTCTCTATTTCCCCGGACTGAATCCGATGCTTGTGAATTGACCATGTCAGCTATCACCTGCGCGGCGGCATGGTTTAACCGCAATCGTGGAGCAGCGTTTGGGGTACTATTCACAGGCTCCAGCGTTGGCGGTATCGTTTTCCCCATCCTGGTATCACATCTCATCCGCGAAATCGGGTTCGGTTGGGCTATGCGCGTCTGCGCATTTCTGATACTTTTCCTCCTCATCATCGCCAATGTAACTGTTCGTGCCTGGCAGCCTCCGAGACCCAAGAGGGTTACAGGGGCGCAACTCGTTAAGCCGCTCACCGAATTCCAATTTGTCCTACTTGCAGTCGGTTTCTTCCTCTTCACGTATGGCTTCTACGTGCCCATCAATTACCTTCCCACCCAAGCGCTAGCGGCAGGAATGAGCTCGAACCTCGCTCAGTATCTCCTGCCGATCTTGAATGCAGGCTCTCTTTTTGGCCGTCTTTTCGCAGGCTTTATGAGCGACAAAATAGGCCGGTACAACATCTTCATCGTCGTGTGCTATCTGTCGGGAATCTTTATTCTGGCCCTCTGGTTGCCGGACTCCAGCAATGCGGGCCTGGTTGCCTTTGCTCTTTTTTTCGGCTTTTTTTCGGGGTCTTATGTTTCCTTAATTACGCCTTTGATCATGCAGGTTTCGCCCATGGCGGAGCTTGGCTTCCGTACAGGTATTGTTCTTTTCGCTAGCGCGATTGCTGGCTTGACAACGAATCCTATCAATGGCGCTATCTTGGAAAGTGGTGGTGGATGGTCTGGATTGAAGATCTTTTCTGGGGTGTTCTGTCTCGTTGGCACTACAGTAGTGCTTATTGCGAGGATAAGGAAAACGGGGTGGGAACTCTTCGTTGTGTTTTAAATATTCGGCTAGGAAGGAGGGGTGTGGGCATTCTTGATCAAATATTTGTGGTACATAGAACGGAGAATAATTGCTTAATACGAAACTCCGCTGATGAAATCCGACGGTATGCCGAAGAGGATAATCACATTTTGTGCTTCAGAAAGCTTGCTGTATCTTTTAAAACCTCATCAATAACGCTTAGAAAAACAAGGCAATTGATTAGGATTTTACGCCCTTCAAATCAACATTCTTGTCAACCCCTGGCCTCCTCGGCCGACAACCCGAACAGGCCAGGAATTGCCTACTGCGGTTGGCCCGTGGAAGAGAAGTGCAAGTAAGCGGTTCTCACATTCAAGATAAAGATATCTTGTTATTCAGGTGTGGTTCGAATTTAAATTGACTTTAGCGCAAACGGCCAACCTCCATCCATGTCACAAAAGGGATATCAGAATAGGTCACAGTCTCTCATACTAAACCCGACAGAAGGCATTACGTCTGGGTTTACCTTTGACAGAGCCCAGCAGCCGAATACAGCCATCTTGGAAAATCACTGGGCCCTTGTGAAACACCTCGCCCCGATCAGTTTTGTGGTACAACTCATCCACCAGCACTCTTGCTGCGGGATCAAGACTAGGCTGGTCTTTCCACTTCCACTCTAGACTGCCACCATATTCCTGAGGCAGGTCCGAAGCATCGATATAACGAAGAAGGACAGATTTGGCTTCCGAGGAGGATAAGATTGATATTTTTGCCCGGGTGCCCGGATCAAACCATCGGCTGATCAATTCCCAAATAGATCTGAAGAACGCCGGCGCTCCGACCACCTAAATATGGTACCTAGATTAGACAAGGGGCTAGATTGACCGGAAGTTAATGTTGGTTTACTTACGAAGACTCGTCCTAGAGTTTCCGGGTAATGGGCCGTGGCAAGCGTGCTGCCCAGCTGGAGATACTGACGGATCGACCACCATTGCTGCAGACTGACGCCGCTAATGTCCACAATGTGCGTTGAGGATGACACCGGACGTGACATATCCGGGCGGGGAAGCTCAGAGGTAAGCGGCAGGACAAATTGCAGCAGATTTTCATACAGAGCATGAAAATGCAGCTCGAATGCGGGGACGGGAGACACCTCGTGGCTGGCGGGTTTTGGAGCAGCAGAAACCAGCTTGAGGTATTCAACAAGTTTGTCCCTGGTGAAATATCTCACTGGAAATACGTAAACCGGGCGTCCATCACGATCTCGCCGACCGATCCATTGTGGGTACTATATGGCCATATATTGGCAAACGTTAGAGTAACTTCTTTCGTGGCGAGAGCCGAGTGAGATAGAGTCCCATACCATTTGCCGGGTCAGCTCGTATGCGTCAACATCAAGCTCCTCGTAGAAGTGCCGTATCTGATGCTCTCTTCTCCATTTCTGAAAATACTCGAATTGTCGACAGGCAGCCTGAAGGTCAAACTGTTTGGCGGCCAGAAAGCGCCTGGATACGTATCAGCCACGCGTCATTGTCATTTCAAATCCAAGGCAGTACATCAGGGTGTTGTCATCGGTGTTCTGTTCTCGACTGAATTGCTGAAAGCCGTGTCCGCGCAGGAGTTTCTTGAATAAATCCAGTGTCTTCCCCGTAGTCGCTGAATGGGCCATTGCTTTACGTATTGGAGCGCGGAAAAACAAATTAGCCAATGAGTTAACAACAAAAGCGTTCACAGCCAGCCAATCGGAGGGTCTAGGAGATGTTGTCTATGGACGATGAATATCTGGGAAATATCATTTAATTGATTAGGTACATGTCGCCAAAGTGCTGGACAACAGCAGCACGGAAATAAAGGAGATATTTGAAATGTCAGAAAAAAGATCTAGACACGCATGGTAACAAATGATGGATGAATAATCAAGTGTTATACAGCTACCTACGTGAAAGAAGATTCCTTGGGAGTTGAATGCAGCGACGGCGGGGAAAACGATACATCAGCGCAGTATATAACCAATAGAAGACACGGTTGAGAGTCGGCAAAAGTGGCAAATATCCTCCCGTTCATAATCGGTTGACTCCCTCCCGCAGTGAACTTGTGGTAGAAGATATGGGGAGTAGTTAGTGGAAGACGGATGACACTACTCCGGCATTGTGATTGATTGAATCAAAGTTACTGGTAATGACTATCAAGTGTACCATTGCCGACGCTTCCGAGCAGCTCACACCATCAGGTCGATGGTACGCGCTGTATCATTTTCGCAAATGAACATGAAAGTGATCATTCCGGTAAGCGAGCATTCACACCGCAAGCATCCTACTCAGAAGAGGTCTGACCCACCAAGGTCCGCGACCCCATACCGCCTTCTTGGACAACATCGTCCATGCTCTTCGAGACGTGCCACGCCTTAGAGCCTCTAGATGTCACTCATCGCGTCCTGGGAAGAAACCCGCGCAGTCTCTATATCCCACACACCCGTCGGCCACGAGATCAGGGGACAATGTTGCTAACCGACTTGTCACGGAATATGCAGTGCCCGTTCTCGGTAAATTTGCGGACGTAAACTATTCCCAGCATCGCCAGCATTCTTCAAACGGTCGTTGAAGCGGTTCGTAGTCTGCCGGAAGGGAATAGGGTAGTGAGACGATGTCAACAAACTATCAGCAGATATTACACATGTGCTTGGAGTTGATGCCCCAAGACCGGATCTAGGATCAGAGAAACTGGATCAAACCGAGAATCTTTCGACCGCCAAGAAGAACAGTTCAGGCGTGATCCCAGGGACCCTCGCTTCCGAGGACGACCTGGATCACCTGCACTTCGGATGTGCTTGGGATGTTCCCCCTATTCGACATGTATTAGGCGCTAGTAGACTCCCTGGTCAATGATTGGGGGTCCAACGTATTGATTTGTAATTAGCATGTCCTGGTCAGCATAGGAGCGATGGAAGAAGAGGCGAAGGATATTCCTCTATGTTGACACTGTTTAAGGTAACTAGTGTTCTGAACTCGTCAAGTTTCGCTGTACGTACGTAATGGCCTTTATATACCAAAAGTCAGCATTTTGCATTAAATATGCACTGCAGCGTGGCTCGCATGGTAGAAGGAACTGCCAGTTTTTCACGGCGTGTCTAATCCTTGGTATGGATCGGCTAATATCAAATGGTCAAAAGGCTTCTAACCATTTTTTTAATGTAACACTCGATTCTCTTCGATAATATCTGATAAGTCAACACTTTGAATGATCCGCATGCACTGAAGCCCTATGAAACAAGACATCCATAAAGGCATGAGGGCCCTTGAGTATTGTCCAAGTAGCAATCTATGATAGAAATAGAATGTGCAACCCTGTTGCTCCCTTATCAAATCTCGATGCCTAGCGACAGATACAATGAACTGACTAGACTACGACTGGAAGGACCAAGTATGACTCATAAGTGCAGCCTGAGTAAATGGCATGCTTGCCTTCGTTGACTGTCTCTTCGTGGAATTGTACGACGTCCGGTGTCTTGTGTCGGAAGCTATCATTACCTTGGATGCGCACCTGGAGCACCTCACCCTCGTGGAAAAGTGTCGACGTGGGGAGAATTTCGATGTCCACAGGAACAACCTCACCTGGATGTAGGAGCAGTCGGCGCTCATGGAGATGGAATGGACAGCTGATGGTTGTCTTTGCTTTATCCAATTCGCGGTGACTGACACGAAGCCAGCCCAAACCCAACGGGCCATCATCAATCATGGAGAACGCAACGAATGGGGTGACCTTGCCCTCGCGATCGAGCTTGTCGAGCTGCACGAACAGATCCATATCCTCGCCATGGTCGGTTGACACCCACAGCCGTAGCCGCATGGTGCCGGTCAGCTCGGTTTCCTGAGAGAATCGGTAATGGAACATGACGCAGTCGTCCGTCACCCGAGAATTGTAAGTAGCTACGGCGACGGAGGCCGGCAGCTCGTCGACGAGCAACCGCGACCGGGCGTCAAGGTATTTCGTCGTGTACTTGGTCCTGGCAAGGGGCCACTCCTGTTCATTGCGAAACGTGCCCTCCCATGCGCGGTCTCGGACCTCCAGGCGCACGCGCGGATAGTTATCAACCTCGCTTGTCTGGCCTTTGAGGAATTTCTGGAAGAAGGCTTCCTGCCGACGGACACTCTCCGGCTCGAAGAAGTATCGCCACTTCTTGCGGCCGTGGATTTCGAGCCATTTCTCCTTGGAACTGATCCCCATGAAGCCGTTGAGAGTGCCGCGAGTGTGCATGCCGTGGTCGCCCCAGTCTGCAACGACGTAGGCCGGCACGTTTATGCGGGGCAAGTCTTGCACGCATTTGGACCGGTGGTAGTCATCCCGCAAAGGGTGGGCCTTGTTGTTGGCGATCAGGTCCTCAACCAGGTTGACGCCGCTTCGACACGACCACTGGGTGAAATGAAGGAACCTCGTCTCTGGGATGCCGCCATGGTGCGTATAGTCGCGGTAGAAGTCGGTGAAGCCCTCCCAGGGCATGAAGCAGGCAAGATGAGGCGGATTCTGGGCCGCAATTCCCCACTGCACGATTGCCAGATACGAAACCCCTACCATGCCCACCTTGCCGTTGGACCAGGGCAGAGTACCAGCCCATTCGATGCAGTCGTGTCCGTCCCGGCTCTCCTGCTGGCTGAAGATTTCAAGGTCCCCTTCAGACCCCCAAGAGCCGCGACTGTCACCGTTGATCACCGCGTACCCTTTCTTTGTCCAGACCACTGGGTCTATACTCTCCCAGACCGCATATTTAGAGACCCAACCGGGCGGCACATCCGCACCGGGGAAAATGTCAAAAGTCTTGGGGCCGTGTTTGCCGTACGGGCTGAAGGTGAAGATGATAGGCAGTTTCTCAGTGACACCTTGAGGGCGGAATACATCCACGTAGACCTTGACCCCATCACGCATTGTGACAGGCACATCCCAAGTAATGTCCATCCCATCCATTGTCTCTTGACGATTGGGAATGAGTGGAGGGCGGGTCGTTTCTTTAGGATCGATGCCTTTCTTCCAGTAAAAGGGTTTGACTCCAGAGGGATTCTTGCCGGCGACCTCCATGTTTGTCAGGTTTGGTGATAAGGATAAAGAACTATTCAAGCTGCGAAGTTAAGGAGAACCTCTGTTCAAAGAAGTATAGTTTGTCTGCTCGGGCAGATATCCGGACACTGGACGGCTTTAAATACTCAGCAGCAGCATACTCCTCTTTGTTGTTAGAGGGTTACAAGAACCGTGTCTCCCGTCTGTCCACAGGTCCTTCGGTGTGTCATTCAACCGACTATAGTTAGTGACCTTTGTCACTCGACTTGATCCTTACATGCGGAATGGAGGTGTAGCCGGAGCTGGATGATGGTAATCTCCACCTGTGATGCGGGAGAATGTACTCCGACGAGATGAGTGGCCTGGCAACAGCGCAGAGAAGGGCTGAAGAGACGAAGTCGCCACGCCACACAACTCAAAGATCCGGGGATATCACGGAGAGCTCATTATGGGGAGGTCCAACGCTCCATTCTAAGTGCCGAGCGACGGCCAACAAGTTGAATACAAAGTTCTGTTGAAACCCCCGCTCCAACCCGCTCTTTTTCTCCCCTTCTTAGCTTGAGTGCGCGCTCATACAACACCCATCCTGTAGCCTCTATCATATCACACACGCAAAAATTTTCAATACTCTATTCAACAGCGATACCAATATGGCCACTCCTTCTGTCATCGCCCTGACCTCTGCCGACACGGGAATGTACGACATTGGTGTCAATGGCGATTCTCTGGCCACCGTCAACCAATTTCTACAAGAAAATCACGATCGCTACCATCCCTTTTTCAACGACAAAGGCTTCCATAATCACATAACGCATTATATGCTTGCTGCGTTGGCACTGGGTGCTACACCTTGGCAACTGACTCGGGCGTTTGAGCAGGAGAAAGCCATACAGCGAGCCCAACTTCCACCGAACGCGAGCAATGTCGCACAATTATCCGACGAGATATTTTTCAGAAACTCTCTAGGCCAGGAAGTATTTTACACTGATTTTCTGGTGTTTTTCCAAAACCAGATTGCCGCCAAAGGAGTGGCGTCCGTCCTGAATGAACATCTATTTTCTAGAACGAAGAAGGCGGAGCTTTTGTTCACGCGACTATTTGCTAGTATGTAATCCTCGCTCTCTCTTTTTTGCACCGGCCTGACCGGAATCTGACTTCCGATCGCTCTATTAGGTTTCCTCCATCCTCTCATCCATCTTGGATACGGAGTTGAGTTTAACCAGCCGGCCATTGTAGCCGAAGCTCTGGCGCAAACAGCCGTTCATAAGAATGAAGTCGCAGTAGTCATGCTTGGCACTGAAGCGGCAGCCCCAGCCACCGCAGGGCAAACCGAGACAAAGAAGCAAGATGCGCCCTCTCTACTTGATCTCCTCTCTGAGGTCCAGTCGAAAGAAGGCGTCCGTGACGCCTCTTGCTGGGGCGACGGCAGCTGGATCGAAGATATCCCGCTCACAAAAGCCCCCGAAGAACTCTGGAATATCGCTGCGAAATGGCGCGTGACCGCCGACGAGCTAGAAGCCCGGACAGCAGAAATGATCAACGTCAACGCTTACTTCTGCGGTGCAGCCCAGATGCCGCCCAAGGAATGTAAGCTGGACTTCTTCCTCATTCATAATTTGAACTGCTCAATTTTCTTTGCCGCTTTCCTGAAGCAGGACTGGCTCGCCGTCCAGGACAAGATACGCCTGCTTGAGTGGAAGGGGCGGTTCGATGTCATCTCCTATGCAGCGCGGGGATCTCCAAAGCTGGATTTGCAAGAGATTCGGAATTATAAGCCCCGACGGCCGGGAACTGGCTGGAAGGATCTGTTCCGGCGCGTGAATGATTTTGATGATGACTCGCACGTTACCAAGTTCTTGCGAGGGTTGGCGCATGGCCAGCGGTTCTGTCTGCCCTACCAGGGAAATGTATGTTTTCCTCTACCAGATGAACTGTGGCTTCAAATCGGGCATATGGCCATGGACTCTACGGAGAAGGAGCCGGTGGCTAGGAATCGATGGGTGAGAGGCGCAGGTTTTCCGTCACAGTGGGACCATTTTCACGACAGAATGTAAGGGGTGAAGCACTGGTTTGGGACCTAGCTTGGATAGCGAATCTGTATATGCTATATAGTAGCTGCAGTAAAAAACAAGTGGATTGCCGTGTTTTATAGAGTTCTAATAGCGACCATCGTTTCCCCTCTAATTCATTTCGTCTGTCGGGAGCCCTTACGAGACTCTACAGCGTCGAGCTCCTTACCAAGGCCAGAAATTTAGGCATAGCCTCTAGGATATGTCCCACAGTGTGGACAGCTCCCTAATCACACACCACACACTCTCTCTTCCCCTCAGCTACGAACTAGTCTACAAGGATGATATGCAACCCGTAGGCTGAGGAATTCATCATCTTGACACCTTTCTAGTATAGCGGAATGGATTTGATACCTCTGAAAGGCTAATTAAATTCTGGTAACAGATTCCCTCCGGGCGTCTTTGGACACTATGACGTGGAGTAATAGAACTGGGGAGCTGACGTGGAGCTCTACAATGGCCAGAAAATAGTAGCAGTAGCGGTTCCTAGATTGTGTGGCAATAGAGAAATCAAGGTGAGGCACATATGTGACAAGATTTACTTTAGAAAAATCCATGGACCCATGTACAATGATGTGGTTTGGGCGTCCAGCTCGACTTTTTGAGCTCTTGGACCGTGGAATCCATCGTTTTCATGACATCTCCAAGGCACCAGCTCATATATAATATGTTCAGCAGTCAACTGAAGCAATTGCTTTGACACATATGGTTGATTCTGCATTCTACCTTTGCCTTGACACCCTGCACACCCTCTGATGATTGACCTGGTAATGGACCTTACTAAGCGTACAATTTTACTGACAAGGAGTTCAGCCACAAATAGGGGTCTGCTGGAGCTATTACTTTATATGACTTAGGCAGTGGCGCTCTCAGCTTGAATCACGTATCAATGTACATGGATATAGCTTATGCAAGTAACTATTGGAGCGAAAGCACTAAATGAAGACAGGTCCGTTTGCAGAGCAGAGAATCTTGTTGTTTCTGCCTTATTCCCAAGTCATGTTTCTAATTTTTTCAGCAGCCTTACTATGCTTCCTGTAGTTGCATACAAGGTGCTGGTCTACGTATTTCTTTCGTGGCTGGCTGGCACTACGGTAAGACATACTTAACACGTATTTAGCCGACGTGAAGTACAGTCTACTCATCATCAACCTAGGCCTTAAAGAGCGTATAGGACAGCAAGAAAGTCAATATATTGATTAGTTGCGGTACCTTTTGCGGCAACAAGTCACCGTAGCCGAACTTGGACCTGGGTAGAATGTGGAGTACGAGGAGGTACTCTACCCCGTTGTTACTATCTACTTTAAACAACATCTGATAGAACTCTTGAGGTGTGTTCAACGCATAAAGTCATCAATGATTGAGTTTACGGAAAATATACCCTTGCTACTATAGCTACTGCCTTACAAGGTATTCACACAATAGTCGCACAACCAAATGATACATTCACCCAGAAATATGCTCTTCGTGCACCACAGCTGCTTTATTTCCCTGGGCTAACGACTGGATCGGTTGCGGTTTTGATGACTGGGCTTCCAGTCCGGCCATTAACGGATTCGGGTCCTGAGGGGCCTGGTCAGCATTGTGCAAGTAAATAGGGCAGACAGCCCCCGAAAAGAAAGCCTCCTCCCCCTTCTCCATTAAAAAAAAAAAAAAAAAAAAAAAAAAAAAAAAGGAGAAAGACCCACCAGGATGAGCCGGTTACTAGCCAGCAGCAGTCTCCCATTTTGCTCCACAAACTCCAGCATTGCCACTGACTCTCCCGCCACATGATAGCCACCTGGGAAAGTGATCTCATACGCAGTAATCACTGCAACGTCCAGGCCTTGTGCGCGGTGCAAGTAGACTTTTGCCGGAACGTGGTTCAAACCTGGAAATGAGTCCCAGAAGCGGAGGATATGATTCCGGATCACTTTAACTCCAAGCTTTTGTGAGTGACTAGGTACCTGGAAAGCAGACTGACAAGAAAGGGCTGAGGGGGAGAGGGTGAACCCACTCTCGTGTCCAGTGAAGGTCTGACCAAATGCCTCAAACTTGCCTTCGGGGAGGTAGAGCTCGCTCCACTGCTTGCCTGCCTCCGGGGTGTGTCCATCGAGGAGTTGGAAGAATGTTTCAATGGAGTCCTTGACAGAGGGCGAGACGGTGTCCGGCCAGAGTGTGTCGGCTGTTTTGACGTGCATGACTTGAGTTTCAATGAGTATCAGGCGCGAAATTGAAACGATCAATAAGTGCAGAAACTCATACTGACCCCTTCTTATATATTTTTGGGTTTGTCCAGCTACTGTATATCCGCAGGGGAGGGGCCTCCCCGCAACTTCCCCGCAAACAAAGTCTCTACCCCAACGGCCTCTCGGGTATTGTATGGGAGAGGAGATCTTATTCCTACTCACTTTCATCGACGGCAGCTAGAGCCGGGTAAGGGATATTTCGGGGACGGAACACGCTACTCCGCCCAAACTCTCGTTAGCAGAGGATGCACGGAAGGAGGCTACGGAAGTAGCTTTGTATGCTTCAACACAATTAATTGTAGAATGAAGAGACCCTGATTCAGGTGCTGCTAGAGAGTCATTATCAATATTGACACTTGTGTAATAATTAATGGGCCTGACGTGGAAGGTGTACCGTGTACCCAGAAATGGCGATCGCTTGAAGTACAGCAACATGGACCTGGGTCGGTCGAAAAACATTACAGCTGCTGGGAAATCACAGTAATATGAACATTGGGTCCATAGAGTTTACCTAGATTCATGATCATAAAGCAGTCTCAAGTAGCTCGTAACAGTGAGGGTGAGCGGCACAAAGACAATATTCAAAGGAGCAGCCGCCCCGTTTGGCTCAGGATCCTATTGTAGCCATTCGGAAAAGTTGACAGAGGGTTGGTTGGTGGCAGCCTCACTCTCTAGAATCTTCAACTCGTCGTTTCCAAAGATGTTACGCAACGGGAGTTGGAAGTTATGTGGCGAACCATATGCGTAAGATGTTCGAGCAAGTTCAGCAGGGGGCTTGGTTTCCAGAGCAAGCGAGCAGAGGCGATCCAACACGAACGAAAATGATGAGACCAGAGCATCGTTGTCAACAGGCACAAAATCCATGATCTGCCCAACCATTGCAATATCTTGAAGGCAAGATATTGACTCTAGTGAGGAGGGGTCCGCTTTAAGGTGAATCGCGGGGACTAGAACTGCGTGGAATAATGCGTATCTGAAAAAAGCCGTTTCAATTAGTATGCTTTAGCGTTGCTCGTAAGGTTCACATTCAAGGAGGAAAATTTTGGATTGTGCGAAACATACAGGATGAAAGGGAGATTAAGAACCGAGTACTGCTTTCTCTTTAACATGTCTGATATCATTTCAATGGTTGTTTGCGCAGCATGGAGCCCTTCCATCCGACAAGCTCGTTCCGCAGAGAGTTCCTCCCTCGCGGGCTCCCGATTGGTATGACATCTCATTTTCATCCAGCGAAGGAGAAGGGGTCTTTGGATGAGTAATTTTAGGCTCCTGTCGCAGAGAGTCTGCCGACAGCGCGTCGCAATGTGCCAATCAGGGACGGGATCTACGTTGCAATTCTGCGTGCAGTACGGGAATGCGATATGCCAGTCGTCAATCTGTTTCTTAAGGGCATGGACATCCTGCCATGTTACGCTTGACTTGGCTAGCAGCCCGCGATATATACTGTTAGCCATGCGGTGATAGCTCGATTGCTGGATCAAGCCCAAATAAATCGTCGGTCCATCTACCTCTACAGGCCACGTCCTTGATGACGGCAGCAAGTCCTGCGCTCATTGTCAGCAAACAGAGTAGCCAGATATCATTTCCCAGGAGAAAAGACCATCCAAGTACACTTACGGAGTCATTCAGGTTCGAGGGAAACTGGACTGTAATCAAATCGTCTTCTGGAAGGAGTAACGGGCGGCCGCAGATCTTGGCCGAACAACTCTCGAAACAGTAGACAGACCACCATACTCGCCGCTGAATTTCGTGAGATAAAGGAGAGGGCGGAGGATTCGCGTCCGTTGGTTCACGGTGAAGATTGAGATTAATTGCCATCTGCATTGCCCATCCCAGGTACTGCTGGCTTTCCACGGGACTCCCCTGTCTCTGGGAGAAGTCACTCAGCAATAACAGGGCCTGCACCAAGCATAGATTTCCTGTCGTGCCGAAAATGGGCTCGTGCCGTAGACGCTCCTTCGCCCTGATGTAGTATCTCGAATGAATGCCCAGAGACCTGTCCGAACTCAGCCACGCGCCGAATGCCATGACTGTGTCCGCAAGAATGGGCCAGACGCGCGGATGAGCGCGTAGCACAGGGTTTCTATGCTCAGATCGAAAGGTCGCCTCTTGCACGAATGGGTAGATTGGGTGGTAAGTGCAAAAATAGTTATCGATCAGCTGCGATTCGTCCACTCCAGGTGTTGTCTCAGCCAGTCTGATGGGTTGATTAAAGGCATCAAGGAGAGTGTCGATCTCAGTGCTGCCTGCGGCGGAGAGCGGCTCAGTGGCACCTTCTGAAGACGACCTGTCACTAGTTGAACTGAACGTCAAATCACCCCGGGAATATGCCTTCGTAGATAATTCATCCGGTCGGGAATCATGGCTTCGAGGCAGATCGTCATCAAGGACCAGCCGAAGGATGGAGTCGATTTCTCCGGCAGGGAACAGTCTATCCAGAGCTGTCTCCAGCATTCGCACGCGGGTTTCCACCTCAGTCAAATGTCTATTGAAGAGGTCAGCACAAATCAGTGCCCAAAGGAGGCTTGGGTCTTTGTAGAAATAAGACGGTTTTTTCTCACTGCCGGGTCAACGGAGTCCGCACCGCGCTGGGTGGATACACACACTGTCGATTCAGTTGTTTACATTGCAGACAGGTGGGGCGTCCCTTGGAACACTACACAGAAATTAGAGAGAGAGGAATTCATATCGTTGATAAGTGATGCATTTTGCTGAGCAATCCAGCAGATTTAATAGCTTGAATATACGGACCTTGGACTTCCGAGCGCGGCACGCTGCGCACTGAGAGATTGTAATCATGTTAGAAGGTCTATTCCATATCCATACTAATTCTAATCACTTACTGCTGGAATGTGAGAGTTGCGCCCATAAGTCCCAGGCTCGAATCCGTTCGGCGGCATTTTATCCGCATGAGACTCTCTTCTTAGGATGCGCTCTGAAGGTCACGACGATCGGTGGTATGGGAGAGAATAATAGGGAATTAATTCCGAGTATCAACTCGCACTGCAGCGTTATGTATTCTTAATAAATGTTGTCTTTGCCACCTTGGAAAGTTAAAAACTGATCTGGTTTATCCGTTTCCGTTGTCCAGGCCCGCTAGCTCAAAGTCTTGTCTCTGAATTCTGGTTTGACTAATCATACCGCAAGGTTCTATCACAGTTTAAGCCAGGTGATATCATATAGCCTACTAGAACTAGATTACCTTCATCCTTCTTTATTCTGCAACGCGTTATTATGATTAGCGCGGAGTGGCTGGCAAAATCCTATGTTCGTAATCTGAACGTTCGATGTAAATATAGCCGTCAAATAGTTCTCTACTTCAGCTTTGCTTGAAACTTCTTGCAGAACTCATAGTCAATATACCCTTCGGAGGTCTGCGCGTACATGGTCGCTGGATCCAGAGGGCTGAACGGAATACCCTCTTGAACCCGATAGACGAGGTCTGGGTTGGAAATGTACGGACGTCCAAAAGCAACCAACAAATCGTTATCTTCATAGGTCTCATCCACAACTTTGCGAGCCGACTCGCCATCGTAGTTGCCGGCGAGGATGACGGGCCCTGCTCTTTTGTAGGCGTCCAGTAGAAATCGAAGGCTATCAGTCGACTTCTTGGCCTCCGACTCACAGGCGTGCAGGTAGGCCAACTTGAAGTCCGCCAGTCTGACGACAAGATCAGCAAACTGGGGGATGGGATCGGACATGCGCATGCCCTGGTATCGACTCCACGGGCTTAATCGAATCGCTGTGCGATCATTTCCCACTGCATCCGCGACCGCTCGAGTAACGTCGAGAGCAAACCGGGATCTCCTTTCGATACTGCCGCCCCAGGCATCGGTTCGGCGGTTCAAGACATCCTGAATGAACTGATCGACGAGGTAGCCATTTGCTCCGTGAATCTCCACACCGTCAAATCCGGCAGCGATGGCATTCCCGGCCGCCGTTGTAAAGTCCTCGACGGCTCCGAGGATCTCCTTTTCAGTTAAAGGCCGAGGGTAATGCATTTCATCGCTAAAAGTGCTTTTCATCGGAACGTCACTACTTGACACCAGATCGTAACCTGAGCTTTTCAAGTACGGCGGATTAGCTGCACGTCCAAGCGCCCACAGTTGCAAGTAAATGTAAGAACCCTGTTCGTGGACGGCGTGCGTGACTTCCTTCCAGGCTGCAATCTGTTCTTCGGTGTGGATTCCGGGGTACGTTAGGGTAACCCCCATGTCGGGGGCTAATGACAGTGGCTTCCGTAATGAGTAGCGTCCCAGGGACAGAGGCTCGCTGTCGGTAAAACTCCTTCACAGAGGGTAACGGGCGATGATGCTGGTCGGCTCGGAGACGGGTCATGGGTGCCATGACGATGCGCTGATTGAGGGTCATACGCCCAACCTTGATGGGGATGAATAATTTCGACATCTCTATGTCTGTACTTACGACTTTGGACTTTACAGAAAACTGTTTCAGGAAGAGAGATCTACATATAAAGGGCTTGACTATGCTTACATATATATTAATCAAAAATTTTCATAAACCGTAATATTGTAGATGAGGGTTACGAAAGCATTATCCAACCTAGTGTGCAATTTAACCCAGTCGCAATCCAGGTTGAGATTAGTCCGTGACAATGTGAGTATTGAGGTAGAAGATCCAGTTTGCAGATGTCTGTTACGACAGAAGTCTTCAACATGTATGCTACTAGGGATATCCACCTAAGACTCCACTTTGTTCTGCGGGAGACGGTCTACCGCGACTCCTATTGGCGGTCGGCCTCGATCACTTTTAAGCCCGAGCAGAAAACAGCTTAATAATGGATGGACTAGGGTACTAGGGAATTCTGCCTCCGTAAGTACGGAAAGTGCGGCACAGCCGCACAAGCATACCCCACGGTCACCACTGATAGTTTGTAATAATCTAAGTAGATGCATTCATCGTCCATGACGCCCGTCATAGATTGATGTCAGCACTAACACCATCACGGATACATGTCGCCATATGGCAGAAAGCCAGCGGGCATAAAAAAGTTTCTCTCCGCTCCGTAACACAATGTCCATCACAGCCTGTATAGAACTCCCACTTACCGATCTATTCGCCTTCAACTTCGTCCACTCTGTACCTGTCTGTACCCACACAAACCATGGTCATCACCGTCGGAATCGCGGTAATCACAGGCAAATTCGCCCGGCTGGTTATGAAGCACCTTCTCGCATCACAAGAGGTCAGTATCCGGGGCTTCTGCCGTAATCCCAGCAAGCTACCCGAGCACCTGCTCAACTCTTCCCGGGTGACCATCATCTCGGGAGATGCCGACGACCTGGATACGTTGCGCCAGTTTGTTCGCGGCACCGATGTTATCATTTGCTGTTACCTTGGCGACAATACTTTGATGACTGAAGGACAGAAGCTCCTCGTCGATGCGTGCGAGCTCGAGTCTGTGCCTCGGTACATCGCCTTGACTACACGAAGCTGGAATATGGCCAGCATCCGGCTAAGGATCCTATGAAGCATGTAAAAGCATACTTGGAGACCAAGAAGAACGTCAAGGGTGTCCACGTGCTCATCGGTGCCTTTATGGAGACTTTCTGGAGTGGATATTTCGGCCTCTTCGATTCTAAAGATTACAAGTTCTCCTTCTATGGGACAGGAGATGAGATCTGGGAGTCTACCACGTATGGCACCGCGGCGCAGTATGTCGCTGCAGTAGCGCTGGATCGCAATGCGGTAGGGTTGCTTCACTGTAAGTATTAGATGCCCCTTGAGATCGGAAATTCCTGCCGTGATAGCTAACCTTCAACCTATCATTAGTCCTCGGAGATCGCAAAACCACTCGCCAGATTGCGGATGAATTCGCCGAAGTGTATGGCAAGAGAGCTAAGTTGGAGCGAAAAGGCTCCTTGGATGATCTTTATAATACCATGCAAGCCGCCCTCAAGAAAGATCCTTCGGATATCTACTCATACCTCGCTCTGTAAGCCTCCATAAATGAAGACGCGTGCTCTAGAACTAGCTGACTTTTCATTCAGGTTCTACCAATATTACTGCACGAATGGTCAGACGTACCTGAAGAAGGAGCAGGACAATGCCAGGTACCCAAGTGTGAAACCGATCTCGTTTAAAGACTTCATGCAGACACTCGAAATCGATGAACTAAACGTTGCGTATCAGAATCTGGGATTGGAATCCTGAAGACACAAGCCTCCAGATATTTCAATCCGTCCAATTTGAGAAGTAACACTAATGTCACTTTTGCGGGCAGGACTTAGGACTATCCATAGACACAAAAATATCGTTCAACAGCATAATCACTTTCTATTTATTATGTTAAATGAATTATCAGGATTCCCTAAGCAGGGAACTCAGATCTTGGGCCAATCCTCTTTCAGCATGGTACACATCTATTCCATCGCACAGGAAAAGGCAATCTCTGTCTCATCTCACAGAGGACTAGTAACAATCTACACAGCCTTCTGAAGATCTTAATTATGTGATATTAGACTGCTAGAAAGTGTTCTTTTCTTTTAAAGTCTCTTCTATAGGCTGCAGACCTGTCAACCAAGCTAGCGAGTATTCTGAGGTGTCTGCAAAGCAGAGAATATTAAACCTTCAATAAGAGGTAGTGGCATAGGTGTATAAAGTTAGAAGGTGATCTTCTCAAGTACCTAGTCTTAACTAAGTGGTTTAAGACCAGCTCCTGCCAAGCCATTGCATATATGCTTTTCAGTGAAGACTGCTTCGCACATAGGGGTAATGGAGGTGGAGAAAGTCCTCTATCAATATGGCTATTCCCAGCTACCATCATCTTTTTGACTAGTGCCCTATACACACGTTTAAGAGGCCTAAAAATACCAATATCTAATGGTTGAAGAAGGTGAGATGTACACAAAGGTATATAAAGACAGATAGTTACACTCCCTTCTACGGAAGTTATCAAACTCTGCAGTTTGATGACTTAAATAGCTCTTAAGAATAAGTAACTGCTTTGCACTAGTCAAATATTATTTCATAAAAAGGTTAAATACTTGCTTTAACTTTGCAAGGCCTATTTTGTTTATTATGTAGGTATTAGAACTATTAGTAAGCTTCTAATCTAGCAGAAGATTAGGTTCATGGTATCAACACGCCTGGTGTTCTCCCTTTATAACCCACCGGCAGTATAGAAATCCCTTTATAGCTCATGCAATCAATGATGGTAACTATTCCCGATTTCCCCTAATTACTATATGAGGCCTTTTCCTGCGCTCTACTGCAGTAATAACCTTAGAGGTTATATAGAGCTCAGTTACAAATCTGGTCTTATTAGGGTTTTAGAGTTCCAATATCATATCCACTTCCACGGGGCATTTGATGTTACGCCGATGGCGGGCTGACCAGGGACGGCATTGCGAACTGGATATACGCGTTTTTGCATTCTTCTCTCATATCTGTGTATGATCGAGTCCATTCCTAAAACACACTTTACAGTCAGCAGTCACCTAACATTGGCATTCAGTTGATGAGTATGTTTGTCGATCATGGGCTCCGCGACGCCAAGTGATTATCCCTTGAGGAATTCCCAGCGCCTTGGATGAAAGATCCTCTTTTGGAGCCAATCCTCAGTCGGTCAGTCCATTTCAAGCAGCGGGCCGAAGTTCAAATCACCGCAACGGGCGATCAAGCATATAGACTGGAGGTGCTCCGCAGCTCATTAGGGATGGGATCAGTGTCAGTGGAGACCTCGAAGTCACGGTCATAAGCGTCAGATCCGCTTCAGATCCAAATCTGCCTTCAGGTCATCAGCCCACAGCATTCAACCACATGTTTGAGTTACCTAATAAAACAACGGAGGCAATTGTAAGAAGTCTATATTGGGCCGTTAGATACCATGTCGTCAAGTTGGTCCTAGGCCTCCCGCTTGCATGGAGGATGAAGGTGACACCCCCAGCTACGAATCCAATGGTCAGGTTTACGCGTCAGAGAGGCTCGTTATGATTCCTCGAACAGATCGGTTTTGGGGATATTTGCGCCGTTCTCCGTTCTTGACTTTAACAGTACGCATCATATTGAGGAAGATAAGGTAGGAATGGCCCATCGAGCATTTGGCATGGTCTTCCCTATGGTAGTCCCGCTGTTCTCTTCGGTGGCTGGAGAGGAAAAGAGAGTTTGGCTCCGAGAAAAACTGCAATTCATCGGTGAAGGCACTGGACTTGGCTTGGCAACATTGGCACCTCAAAGATTAATCCAAACGATAGTTAACTAGGCGAACATAATGGTATTCTGGTCACAAGTTATTAAGTTCTCTATATTACTACAGAATTATAAGGTTCGCTGTTCGCGCGAAGATCCCGAAATGGTTTAGCGCCTTTAGTTGAACGGTTGACCAGTAGCCACACAGTCCACACTACTCCGCTAGTCCGTGCTACCATCATATCTAGAACCGGCTTGAATATATACACACACTCACACAGTATTATTAATGTCCTGCTCTGCTTGTTCGCGAAAAGAGTCCGAAATGGTATAGCAATTCTTAGTGGCGCAGCCGGCATGCGCATTGTCCGGCATCCGAGTCCACACTCCAGCCGTCTTCAGCATGCACAACAGTCATCTCCCCTCGGCCAGAGGCGCAAGAAATAATTTATAAAAGGGGCATGATCTCCCTTTAAACCTGCTGTAGCACCCTCAACTCCATTACTTTTTGCGCCTTCACCGTGACAGCTTATAAATCATCGAGAGCATAAGCCCATACCAACCATGGCGCCCACCTGCAACCACGAAACCAGGGCCAGTGAGCTTGTCCGCCACTACGCCCCTCAAATAGCTGGCAAGGTTATCCTCATTACTGGCGTCTCCCCGGGGAGCCTCGGCGAAAGCTTCGTAAAGCAAGTCGTCGCCGCACAGCCCGCGGTTTTCATCCTCGCCGGTCGCTCAATTACCAAGATGCAGGGCCTCGTCGACGAGCTTAGCAAGGCACACCCAAGCACCAAGGTTAAGTCCCTCGCCCTGAACCTACTCTCATTTTCCGACGTCCGGAAAGCGGCAGAGACCGTCAACTCCTGGGCTGACGTGCCTCACATCGACGTCCTGGTCAACAACGCTGGTATTATGGCTGTGCCGTACAAACAGACCGAGGATGGCTTCGAGAGCCAATTCCAAACAAACCATCTAAGCCACTTCCTCTTCACCAATCTTCTCATGGGGAAGATCCTGGCTTCGAAGTCCCCGCGCGTCGTGACGGTCTCTAGCGGCGTGCACCGCGTTGGCCATATCCGCTGGTCAGACCATAACTTCAACCAGGGCAAGCACTACCAGCGTTGGTTGGCGTACGGCCAGTCAAAGACGGCCAACGCTCTGATGGGTCTTTCACTCGCCGAGAAGCTTGGTTCCAGCGGTGTCCTCTCCTTTCCGATGTGCCCGGGGGTCAGTTTCACGAACCTCGCTGCGCACGGGAGCGATGACCTGGCTTCTTTCTCTGCGGACCTCTCGCAGATGGATAATTTGTATGGAAATAAGTGGTTGTGGGGCATGGAAGAGATGAAGATCAAGGACTTGGACCAGGGCGCTGCGACACATGTTTTTGCTGCATTCGATACTAGTATTGCGGAGCACAACGGTGCCTTCTTGAGTGATTGCCATGTTGCTGACCCGGATCTGGAAGAAGTGTACTCCTGGGCAACGAGCAAGATAGACGCAGAACGGCTGTGGAAGCTGAGTGAGAAGCTTGTTGGTCAAGATTTTACGTATTAGACAACATCCAGCTGAGTGAGCTTTCCACTGACTGTGAATGATTTATAGCCTTGACGTTATGTTACATATTGGATTCATTGATTGTGTAGCTTTGCTTAAGCCTAATATGAGGTGTACTTGAAAAGAGCATGATCCAGATCACTAAATAGGTAGTATCAGGACATAGGTAGCCTTTATCTTCATTCTTTTCGAATATAGGGGGAAATACTAAAATAAAGCGCCCTGTAGTGCAATCTGTCCAGTGCGTTTTTCTCTCTTAGAACTCTAAATCCATCGACAAAGTAAAATACTCCTATACTCAAGTTCAAGCTGACAAGAGGCCTTGTTTAGCAATAGACAAAGATTCGCTCTCTTTTTTAGATGAATATGTCACTCTAGTTACGCGGACGTTATGTATTAGATGCCCTAAAATGAATTTTTCCAAGCATTACCTCCCACCACGTTACGACTAAAGCAGCCGCACCGACACTACCTAGCAAGATGATATGCCTAGAGTCTATCTAACATGCATGCAGAAAATTAACATATTGTTATGCAATATGTGGTAATTATCATCATACTAACCTTAACTAACATATCTATTCAATATCTGGCGGCTTTGAATGAAGTGGTGGTTATAAAGTCGATTATATATATTCTCATATTAGAAGTCGCTACGCCCTACTATATGAGTATTCAAACCCGATACAAAGTAATGGATATCCCCACCGCATGAGAATTCGATAACCGACCCATCCACCTAGTAAGAATTAGCATCTGTATAAAATAAAGGAACAGATTACATTTCAGAATGTTACTATATCATTCCTGCTATCTTCTACCTACAGTCTCCCATTTATCTCTCTTTTAGCCAAACTATCGCCCCTTACGTATCATAGGATACCTTTCTCAGCCATTGCTATCATTGTTCTGATAGTTCCTTGAACTGAAGCCTTGGCTATTTCAAAATGATCTTCTTCTGCCTTTTTTGCCTCAGTTGTACCGGCCTTGATATCTGGCAATATCCATTTATACGTAAAAGTGAGATAGAGTGTTTGGTCGGGTCCAACAGAGACAATATTCTGTATTTCTGAGCCGTTTGGCAGCGTGAAATGAGTCTAGAGGGACACAGAGGCTGGTGTAAGCGAGTGTGTTGGCGGATGACAGGGCTAGCCCTGAAGGTATGGCTATTCTTTGCTTACCCAGGTGGGCCTGTGTATTCTGCATTCTTCTTTGACATATTGTCCTGCCATTGGCGATTGTCGAAGGTTTGTAGCAACGTGTGCTTCCCTTAAAATATATGCCCCATGGTCCCTCTCCTCGATAACACGGCAGTCGTCAATAGAGGGAATGAACTCCTGTGGCCGACGGACTTTTAACTCTAACCCGTTCCAGACCTGTTCGTGAGTGAGAGTCCGGATGGAGGGGTCAGGACCATTGACTGGTTCTGTGTAGGCTAGACTGAGAGTGATCATATCCGAGGGAAAAACGATAATATGTGTAAAAAGAGTGTCCTAGAAGTGGTGAACTGTATCCATTCATTTCCTACAAGCAGGAACGGAAGCAGCGGGATTTAATCATCAAGAGATTATACCTCAGCGCAAGACTCCCATAAGATTGAGCCAATCGGATGTCAAGGATTCCATGTTAATGTAGTAAATTATCACACTTCTTAGCATGGGCGGGGATGCTGATATCGCATTGGTGCTGACCTACTGTCTTTACTCTCCTTTGTCATATGACCTAGTCTAGCAGTATTCCACTGCTTCGCAAATGACCGCTCCGGGATGGAGACCGTACTGTCACCTCATGACTAGCTAATTACATGGCTGCGTGCATTAGTCAGTTCAAGTCAGGTCATCTATTACCACCCGCCCATAACACCAGCGGCCAAATTTCTCTAGATGAGCGTGGTGGGCTTCGGCTTCAGGAGGTATAAATGCGACGAAAAGAGCGATCGCAGAACGTTCACTTCTTCTCCAGGATTTGAAGCTTCCTCGTTCTCAGTATTTTTTTTCCTTTTTTTTTTTCTTTTTTCATAACTAGAAATATATAAAGCAGGTGTAAGATAGTCTCTAGCCGGCCAGGATATGCGCTAATTAAGACGACTCAGAATCAGATTCTGAATTACCTCAAAATCTTTCCCATATGCCCTGGCACTCTGCGACCAATTTTCAACCACCTTTTCCTTCGGGGTTAAACTGCACATGGTTTGCAAAACAGTGATAAGGAAAAACACATTCGATGTCAGTCCAGGGGTGGACTGATTGGCAATATGTGAAGCTCCTAACAAGGCTGGAACACCAATATACAATTCCTGCGAGGCCTGCGAAATCACGGCCAGGGACTCCTCATACTGACGCTGCTGTGAACTATCTCCACTGGAGTATAGAATGTCCATGTTATCCAGTATCGCCTTATGCGCTAAAATCTGACACAGCCGATAGTAAACCCACACCCGCATGATCCAGCATTCGTCATCAATACGGGGTGCTTGGCCAGTTCGAATGGGGTCCACCCACCATACGGGAACACTGGTGAGCCAGGATTCTAGATCTTGGTACATATTCAAGGCGGTGTTGATGAACTGGTGATTCTGGGCTGTGTCGTTTGTGAAGCACGTTGCGCGGTGGAGGTTCACCAGTTTGCATAGAATGGTGAAGAGGTCTGTTAGGGGTAATATGAGCTCTCTGCTTTTCATGTTTCCGCAGTCCTGAAGTAGTTCAACTAGATACCCGGGAACATGAAGTCCACTGATTAGGCAAGCAAGGGCCTTTTGGGGCGGGGGTGGGGAGTTAGCGGAGGACATAGCAGAGAATCACAGAGAAGTAAGCTTACCGCTGTGTAGGCAATCTGCAGAAGCGCTCTTATCTCCACCGTCGGTGTGCCCTCTGTTAATTCCAGGGAGCGTAACAAGGCGGTTGTGCCATGCATGTGGCGTAACCAGCCGTGAGAAGGGGGATGGAAGTTATCATAGACAATCATCTACGTCGACTAGTTAGCACAGACCACACCTCAATATGGGGCCACCACATGGCAAGTCTCACTTCAAACATGGACAAGTTAAAGCTGGTGATTGCGGTTCTCGTTTGGCGCAGCTCGTCGGGATCATTAATAGCACATACAAGAATCCTGAGAGCCGACGAATATTTCTGCCTCGCAAGCTGCATCAGATGGGGATCGCTATGGACCACTGCTAACGCTGCCAGACCAACTGAGGCCACAGCGGGAAAAACGGGAGATGACTGGCTGGGATATGGGCGATGAATTGGTGCGCCGGATGGGCGCATAATGTTAAAATTCTCGAAGTAAACCCACCATGCAATCTCGTCTACTGGCAGTCGAGGTATTATGCCAGTAGGGGAGCTAGGACGACTGGATTGGGAATGACGGGCTTGGTGGATGACTTTGCTCTCTGCTGTGTGATACTTCTGTGTTATGCACGCCGTCTGATCCTGGAAGATAAGGTCTACGGGGTTGCGATAACCGGAACATGTCAGGCCAGCTCGCGCACATTGAGAGCATCGCGGTCGAAGCTCGTTGCACTATTCAACTGTGTCAAAACCGTGAGGTTATTAATATGAAGTTGGTACTGTGAAACTCACCTTGATCCGTCGAGTCCGACAATTCTCACAACCCAGTCTACCCGGATTCCGGATTGGCATGATGGTGGGTGATGTGCGGCAGCTGCTAGGTTCACCAGAGCCACCATCATATATACTTGAAGCACGAAACGGATATTCGGCATCGGGCCCTTTTTTGGCCGACTTAGTTTCTAATCCAATCATAAATCCAAAAAACCTCTGCGTCAGATTGGCTGTGGAGCTCGAATCCATTATTCATCCTATGCGTTAGCACTATTTCACGAGTAAATTTCCCTTTCGGGATAAAGTGGCGCCTTGGCAGAATTGAGCTATCACTGGTCTCCCGATGAGATGTCTCAAGCAATCCGAAGCCTCAATCAGAAGATGCAGGTAGATAACTGAGACACTCGATAAATGGAACCAGCTCATGTGGGGTAGAATGACGATCTGAAGTGCCTTGAGAGCTATTTCACGACTGAGATGCCTATTTTGATCATGGGGGGCCGCCTCCATGAAAGTGCTTGTTTCAGGATACCTGGATGCCCAGAGCTGTGCATAAATAGAGCATGGATTCCCATCAACAAACAGCACCTTTACTTTCAACATCATCTACGCTTCAAACATCAGTGCAAATCGTATCACGGTTCATATACTGCTGCTTATATATACCAACATGTCCTCCATTCAGAAAGTTGCCCTGTTCGGAGTACGTTCATTCAGCTCCCTTACTCATTGCTGATGTTAATTGCGACCATATAGAAAGGGTTCCTCGGTTCCGCGGTGCTCGAACACCTCGTCAACGCCGGGTTCACAGTGACGGTCTTCACTAGGTCCCGAGATTCTCTCCAAGGAATCCCAGCTGGAGTGAATGTTGCTGAAGTCGACTATTCATCTGTAGAAAGCCTGGAGATTGCACTACGCGGCCACGATGCTGTTGTATCCACTTTGGCCCCGCTGGCAATACCCTTCCAGAAGCCTGCGATTGATGCAAGTATCCTAGCTGGCGTCAGACGCTTTATTCCAGCCGATTTCGGTGCCTTGACAGTAGACCCAAGGGCCCATGAGCTCCCGAATCATGGCCGTGTGCTGGATATCCAGCAGTATCTACGGGAGAAAGCCAGTTGTGGAGAGCTGGAGTACACTCTTTTTGCCGTGGGTCCGTTCCTTGACAACGTCCTCTCCAAGCCCTTCGCACTCAACTATGAAAGCCACACTGCTGTCATATACGACGATGGAAATCATCCATTCAGTACCACAAGTGTGGATACCATCGGCAAGGCAGTGGCGGCTGCTTTGAAGAATGCGAGCGCCACTAGAAATCGGGTCCTTCGCATACACGACGCTGTCCTGACCCAGCAGAAGCTTCTAGCTCTGGCAAGGAAATATGCTGCTCCTGGGGTTGTGTGGATGGAGTCGAGAGTTGATGCTGAGGTTGAGCTTGCATCTGCGATCGAACGAGTGACCACGGGAGACTTGAGCCCCCCGGCACTCCTAGCAGTGATACGGGCTGCGGTTCTGGGTGGGAAATATAAAGCAGAATACAAAGATGTCGATAACGAGTTCCTGGGCTTGGGATTTCTGAGTGACTCGGAGCTGGAGAAGAAGTTCTCAAACCCTTAAGGAATTGTTTTGTTACTCATTAGTAGGCGCCAACCATACTGACTGCTGTAGATAAATGCTAGGAAGATATCATCATTGAAATCTGGCTTGACTAATCTGATCACTTGATTGTACTACGGTCTCAGCACTCGGATTGCAGAGATTTTCATTATTTTATGCTTTGGTTACTGTTGTAAATTATTTGTATTTCTGGCGCTATTGGTCCCTCACACATTTATATATTCCTCGCAACAGCATAAGCATAAGTTGCCAGAGAGGTATGTTAGGAGTATGGAACCATACTTGGTTAAGAAAAGATACCACTACTGTTCTGTTAATGGTTCGGTCACATACTTTAGGCTTCCAAAGAACAGGCAAGACATGGATATTGTACTAACCAATATGAAGGGATGAGACTTGAGGTGACTGGACTATGGTAGACAACAACCCGAATGTAGGACTACCTACACAGTGGATAGCCATTCCTTCCACTCTGATAGGGAAGCAAGGCCTCGAATAAACCGACGGGCGAATGAGGGAGGGTACAGCGTATGGCAGACGTTGCACGTTGCAGAATCGTGGGGTGGCTCCCAATCCACTGGCACGCCATTGCCAGAGCGCCGGAAAAATTCACAATAAGAACGCGGCGCCAGCAAGTGCGTGCTCCATAAGAAGACGAGAGGATCCATCAAATCCGGTTTGGCGACAGCAGGACGCCGTGATGATAATCCCTTGCTTTGCTCTCGCAGGAAATCAACGTATCGGGTCTCAATCCGCGACAAGTGTAAATCAGACTCAGACCAATCCACATTCTGCATCGTTGATGCCGACTTGGACACCCTCATTACAGCGGCATGCAGATCACAGGAAGAATTTCCCACATATTGATAGTGCTCAAAGATATCATGAAGCATAGGCAGAGATTGACTTCCAACTGCCTCGGTACTGGCTTCGATTATCTGAGTCATATTTGGGAAGAGATTGGTCGGGCGCGTCTCCTCCAGTAACAATTTCCCTAAAAACTGTTTCACGAACTCATTTGTCTCATTGTTAGAAGCCAAAGTGCCATGACCATCCTCAACACTCCAGCACGTCCCGGGCAATGGGGTATTTTTCTCCGACAGTAGGTGTAAATCTCGACGGAGCTTCTGAACAAGAAGAGCATCTCTTCGTAGGATAAACTTGCACGATTGGCACAATTGTACGAACCCATTATCTGCGAGGCCATTTCCGCGCCGCGTCGTCCACGGCACAACGGTTGGTTTTTGACATCGGAAGCATTCGATAGAAAGATTCTCCGAGTCAGCAAGATTTTCCCATGCCAACTTCGTCATATTTTCGAAGTGCATCCTGCAGGTCTCGGGACACGAATACGTGAGGCTATCCTGGTCGATACATCGTGAGGCCAGCTGAAGGGGGAATCCTTCGTTCCATAGTGCCATCTTTTGATGTCGAAAACAATCCTCCCCGAGGGCTTTATTATGTAGTGTCAATGCATGGAGGACCATCAAAACATCTGTCTCGACCAAGTCAGTCAGTTTCTTTCGATGCCGAGTTGCAAAATGCCTACCTAATGGTGGCATCTGATCCTTTGTCCACGCCCACCCGCCATGCTGTCCGTACGGCTTTTCCGCTAATTGGCTTGAATCAAACCCTAGCGTGCCCATGGCTGGTAAATGAGTCCACCAAACGGAAAATCTATGGATCGCCCGTGAGACATAGATTGACCATCGACGTTCCTCCACCATGGTCTGTCGGGCTGTCGGGTCTAGTTCAGTCTTAATTTCGTGGACATACTCGGTCTTGAATAGACCTTCCATTTTTGAGACCGTCTGCTTCAAGTTCAAGAAACATCGAAGCAGTTGCTTATGCCGCCGGCATTCCTGCGCAGATACGATGGGTGCCGCTTTTTGCAGCAATGGCGTGGCCTCGGAGGATTCCTCGGCCACAAGTTTCTCCCTGTCAACCATGATGCCTCTGCGTTATGGTTGCGAGACATAAGAGCAGGGTTTGAAGGTGTGAACAAGTTCCCAGGACAGACTCCGCCACCAAGGTCGATAATGCCCCATCTGTATTGTTAGATCAGTCAGTATTTCATTTTCCCGCAGGGCTCTGGCACGATGATCATCAGCCTATCACGGTTCGCCTAAATGATCCCTGGGCGCTCGAGCCCGGCTACTGAAGTACTATGACGACATCTGCCTCTTTGCATTCAACTACTGCAGGTCTCGCTCAGTTCATCCTCACAAGGCTATTTGAATGGAGCCCATGACTGAGTATTATTGCCTGATGCCCGGCCCATGTTTGCTGATCTTGACTATTAAGGTTAGTTTCACCCACTTTTCTATCATATACTAGCTACAGCGCAATTGATTCACAGTTTTTGCGTTCAGTTTTATGAAATGTGTCAAGGCTGATCGGTTCAGCTGGATAGGGGAGATCCGATTTCAAGACCGTATCATGATATCATACAGCTCTAGTCTTTCAAACAGCTCAAGTCTCTGTGGAGTACACTGCCCACAAGCTACTTGCGCAAGTGGGTACTAGCCATCTTAGGTCTTAGCTGTTTGGTCAAGTAGATCTATTAAATAATCGAAAAATGCCTAATGTGAGACTGTGATGCGTTTCCAGCTGTTACATGACCATCTGGTCACTGACCGAGTGGCCCACTTGAACTACCAGCTTGCGGGCAGTGTAGATGTGCTGAACGTGCATGGATTACTACCTGTTAAATGCATGATGCCAATTGATGTAGACCTTCCGAGACATTGCTCCGCCAACAAGTGGCTGAGGGGGAAAAAAAAAAAGGAAGAAAAGGAAAAGGTGCCTAGCAAGGGCTTTCAGGGATGGGTGACACCACAGTTGGATTTCTTGACCTCTGGTGCTATATCCAATGTTTACAGTATGGCAATTGAGGCTTATGATTTTATGCACATACGCTCACGACTATTTAAAAATTGCCCAGACTGGACCCGAGTTCATGATAAGAGGTAGCTCGCAAGGAGTCCGCTATACAAACAAAAAGAGTCCACATTGGTCTATTGGCCGGCGGGAGGAAGGTATACCGACTCCACGAGCGCGGATATTCATTTTCCGACTGCCAAGACACTGCATTTCTAACAACAATACATTTGCAAAGTCCCTACCCACAGGGGTGCCAAGGAAAAATTGTACGGAGTACTCCGTAGTGTGGTACGTGCTTTCCACTATTTTTTGCCGGTTTTTAGACTGATCAATAGGCATACATGAGCATATCAATTTGACCAATCAACTGCCTACTATTTAGGCGGCGAAGAAACAGAAAGTTTTGACTGACCGCCCGATGTACCTTTTCTACAGTTTATCCTTGGTTCCCAGTAGATAAGCCTTGGCCGTGGATCCGAACAAGGCTGCTTCACACAATCTATTCACTATGCATTTACGGTCTACGCTAGTAATTTGACCATCATCATGCATTTGCGTTGAAAATTGATGATCTTTGCTTTTCCTTTCGGCCTCGCAGGTCCCAACACTCGCATCAACTTCTGTGTGGCCGTGTTTTAGGTGAAAGGTTCCGTCACAAGGATCATAACAGGTTGAAAATCGTCGCTCATGTGGGGCGGTGATTAGAACAACATGGACCAGAACAGCTCCAATTTTGTGATAGAATATACCGGCATACTCCTGTATACACGCCAGGTTGGTAAATAACGGGGGAGCTGGAGAACTTCGTCCCATGTCGTGAAGAGATACCATTGGCTTCTGAACACTCGACGCTGGGCCGGTCTTCCTGACCGAATGAATTATTGTGACAAGAAGCAGTTATGCCCCACGGGCGTTACATCGGGCTGCAGGAGATATGTGCACATCCCAAATTAGTCATTTTGAAGGCTGCAAGTCGCACGAGTAGAGCTCAATTCCTGCCTTCGCCCGAGAATGCAATCAGAGAAGACTGTGCCGTGGGGGATCAAAGTCGCAGTTGGATCCGGGCTCGAGACATAAATTGGGCATCCTCCCCCGAGGGAGACTTTCCCAAATATCAGAATAATCATAGCTCTCTTTGTGTATCAACATCTCTACAAACCTTGACGGAATGGTCCGAATCAGTCTTTTTGGGACGCCTCTGTCTCCCATACTTGGCCTTGCTCTTGCAACTTTCACCCTTGCCGTTGTTGATAAATGGACGCCACAGAGCTTCAACTGGAGTGCCCTGGACACAGGCCCACGGGAAAACTGGAAGGGTCTCTACCTGAACCACAATGGCACTACGACACACATTCGCGAGCTAGCAGTGACCACCGCCGTCGACGTGAGAACCACGGCAGATGGGGCCACTGTATTGGTGGCCCCTTGGGCCATTGGTCTAGCATGGCATGCCTTCAACCTTGTTCTCACTGGTGCCGGCTTGGCAAGTACAATCAAGACCTGCGCACAAAATGAGGGTCAGCCCGACAATATCTTCTATTGCGTCACTGGACTTCTCAGCACCATCATTGGCGTGGGTGGTGAGGTATCCGCAGCCAAGAAGTTCGCTCAGTCCAAAGGATATTTGGGGGTTGCCGCGAACGCCTGGATGCAGTCTGGTCTCGAACGGATTGACCTGCACGAATTTGCGCGGGACCTGGACAGTCTGCCTGCAATGAATATGACTTCACAAAAAGCCCACAACCACTTCGTTCACAACGCTTTGCGCAGCCTGTCGACAGATGAAGTGGACTTCGTCGGCTACGCGCCCGATTCTCATAAGTTGGCCCGGCGCGCCTCGAGCGTCCATCCCTTTGCGCCAATGTTCCGCTTCAACCACCACAAGTATGGTCCCATGGAGCTCACTTCACGTGATACGGGCGAAGGTGGTGTGCACTTTACCATCTCGTACGCGGGTCATCCCACACACCACGCGACCCAGGCGAAGCGCGACGAGTTTTACAAACACGAGCGGCTTAGCGAGCACCTGATGGAAGGTCGATTTGATTCGGAGGCCTCCAGTGCCGATCCGGGTGACATTTCCTTCAATGGGGCCGACGCCTTTGCCCAAATCGAAAGGCAAGTCGAGTGTTTTGCAGGCACACAGTGGGATGAGGGTAATGTGCTTTCCGTCCAGATGTATGATCAAGCCAACCGTGCTACGTTCGGGTATGCTTCTATTGGGATTTTCCCAGACAGCAGTGTCGACTCTGGACTTCAGGACTTTGGGCCTCGAGGAATGCCTTTGACTGGCGGCCAGAATTGTTGAGTTTGGTTCTTCGAGTCGGTCGGGTAATTTGAAGTGCCGTCTCTCAAGATCTACAGTCGTATTGAAATCCCGTGAAAGTACAACCAAGCAACTAGAAAATCATTTAGTAAATGAGTTTTTTACAATAGCAGACCATGACGCAAATCGCTCATGCTGTGCCAGCAGGAGAGGAGCATATATCTAGCATGGAGTTCGTATCGGCAAAAGGACTCAGCAGCGAGACGATTCGATGGCGGAGACCCCTCGACCCCATTGTGTTTCAGTCATGATGAATAGCCTTGGGGCGTTGGTAGACGGATGCTGATTCTGAGTTGTACGCGCGTATTGTTATTGTCTACGCTTTTGGATGGAGATGAATGAACATGCAATGCTCCTCTTGCGGAAAAGAAATAGGAATGCTAAGGTCAGGGTAACGCCCGTTAGCTGTGACTTGACTGTCTGGCCGACCCTGTCCATCGCGCAGGCACATATCATAATTCATTATGATATTAATCATGATGATCTTGATTTGCTGATCGGCTAGGCACGCATTCTTTCCGTGACCGAAGTGCATCCCCTCGACAGACGTGCTGACGAACTGATACCGGTCGCAGTTTCCAGGCTGTTCCCGGAGACGAGAAAAGTGAAAGCTGTCAAAGACATTCGCCTGGTCGCAGTACTCCATATCCAAAGCCAGAGGATTTGTTGCGACGGAAGTACGTACCACGTGATAACACAGTCCCGTCGGAAAGAGTGATGGGAGCTGACAGACCGCGAGCGAAGGACGTGGTATTAAGTGGTGAGAAGCGCGCACTCTCCTTGAGGAAAGAGCGAGCTTTTCTAACTTCAACAAGACGCTCTACTCTAGAAATATTAATGTCACTGGACACCCTGGATCTAGTCTATCTAAATGTGAAATATCAATTCAAAATATCTAGTGGTTGCTAAGATATAAGGGAATAATTATTTCTATCATGGGTTGGTATGAAAGTAGTGGTAGTGTATATATATATAAGCATTCTAGATAGGCGCTAGTAGATAGGTCTAAGGAGAAATTGAATTCTAAAAACATTGGCAGGAGGAGTCATCCGAGTCAGAGAATTGTAATGACTTTGCTTCGGGAATGGGACATCATTTTCTCAAGAATCTCCAGAAATGCCTCGGTGATTTTCTCGAACTGATCAACAGCGTACCATTGAGGGTCAAACTTGAACTTGAGAGTATATCCCTTCGGCGCCTTGGAAACCTCCAGATGCAGTGCATAATCAATGGGCATCCGGACTTTGCTCAGCCCCATCACTATCCAGCGCATGTGTTTCTCCACGAGGTTTGTCGTGGGCGCTGGCTGGTCGAAAGGCTGGAACAGGAACAGGGCACGAGAGGCGGATTCGTCTCGGTTCTGACCCATGGACTGGTAGATATCTTTCAGACTGACATTTCCGTGCTCCGTGCTCTTCCAGAACAAAGACTGCGTCAATTTGAGGAGCTCTCGAACCAGCGTTTCGTCGTTGAAAGCACTGCGGAAGGGGAGGAAGTTGGCACAGGTTCCGGCAATGGTTTGCGCCTCCTCCAACTCGACGTTGCGCCCTGTGATGAGGTTGTCGTACGTGACGTCGGTTCGACCACTGAGGCGACAGAGAAGGAGCGTGAAGGCGGTTTGGAAGACAATTGGCACAGTAACTCCACAGTTGGCAGCGAACGAGTCGACCTTGCGGTCTGTTGTTGTCACCGTCAGGGCGGATGCAAGTGGGTGCTCCACTGCGGGAAAGGGAGCCGCATTATTCTGCAGCAGTTCCTGCCAGAATTTCAGGGATTTCTGACGGTCTGTCGAATGCATGTAGGACACATAGTCGCGGAAGCTGACGGTCTCGGGCACGGGCTGCTTCCTGAAAAGGCTCTTGAATTCGTCATCGAAGATACGAAGCAGTGTTCCGTCGTACATCGCGTGGTGGATCTTGATGAGAAGGTCGCGGCTCCCGTCAGGGAGGACGAGTAAACGGTAACGGATGAAAGGCATGCCAATCTCAAATTTCATGTCCCAGGTCTTGTTGATCATCTCCTGTTTGTCATCTTCTGAGCTGCAGTGAATGACCCCGAGGTCGAGAACAGGCTTCGCGAGTACAATCTGCAGCCAGGCACCGTCCGCCTCGAGCCACATGGACCGCAGGATCTCATTCCGTGCCGTGAGCTCCGCCGTGACTTGGACCCATTGATCAAAATCAATCACGTCCGGGAGAGGTCGAACGGTCTGACACTGCCAGAATTGCGCTGCCTTTGCGCCACGGACCAGGAAATCCTCTACTCCAGGGACGGCCGGGTAGATGGTCTCAATATCAGACGCATGAATACCAGCTTTGGCGAGAGTCGCGTAAACATCGTCCGAAACAGTAACCGACAAACTCTTGATCTTGGTCGGAGCTTTGTTCATGGGCCTCATGCGAGTGGCCATCTCCTGCAGCAGAGGAAAAGCAAGCACATCGCTGACCGCGAGTACATAGCCTTGAGCCTTGCATTTGCTGACCAGGTTGATCGCCGAGATGGAGTCACCGCCATGCGAAAAGAACGTGCTCGTGGCGCTGATGTCGCTGGGTTCCTTGTGGAACAAGAGGGCCCAGAGGCTCTGCAGAACAACCTCCTCTTCCGTGACCGGGTTGACAAACTCGGCCTTTGCATCCGCGTTGGAATACTGTTGCAATTCGTTGCCATCCATGGCGTTCACCCATTCCAGAAGCTTCTTGCGATTGGTCTTTCCAGACGGAAGAAGAGGCAGTGTGCCGATGGGGATCCAGATAGTTGGCACCATGTATGGGGGCAAAGACGTCAGGCTGATGCTCACGGTCGTGAGCGTCTCGAAGTATTCCTCCGCCGGTAGGATTCCGTTGGCATTTTCCGGATCGACTACACAGAAGGCCACCAGCTGTGCCTTTTTCTGAATCTCGATCACGCTGGCGATGGCATGCTGGACTTTGTTGGTCTTCAGAATGGCACTCTCAATTTCACCGAGCTCGATGCGATGCCCGTTGACTTTGACCTGGTTGTCCTTCCGTCCAAAGCACTCAATGCGTCTGTCCGGGAGCCAGCGGGCGAGGTCACCGGTCCGATAGACTCTTTCGGACCCTCGCATGACGAAGGCCTTCTCAGTCGTCTCTGGCCGGTTCAAGTAGCCACGTGCGAGTTGGGGACCACTGAGACAGAGCTCCCCAACTGCTCCGTACGGTGCCAGCTTGAGGCTATCCGGCTCCAGAATCATGGAGTTGCAATTCTTGAGAGGATGACCGATCACCTTAGCGTTTCCACCGTACTTGAGGTAGCCAGCCGTCGCGAGGATCGATGCTTCTGTTGGTCCGTAACAGTTCATGACCTCGCAGCAAGGGGTCCAGGTTTCCACGAGGTCGGGAGTCACCGGCTCTCCCGCCAAGTATAGACCTTGAACTCCCGGTACTTCAGCCGGGTGGAGCAGCTTGGCCACGGTTGGTGTCAAGAAGAGGCGGTTCACCTTCATTGAGTTGATAACATGCGACAGATCGGCAAGGAGTGACTCCATGGGAGCCATACATAGCGTGGCGCCGGCCCCGAGAGTGCAGAAGATGTCCCCCACTGCGACATCAAAGACGTAGTTGGAGAACTGCAGGACGCGCCAGTCAGGCTGCCAGCCTTCCGCCAGGGTGATACTTTCGATCCCGGCCGCGATGGAGAGATGGGGAACCAGGACACCTTTAGGGAGGCCAGTCGAACCAGATGTGTAGATGGCATAAGCCAGGTGATGGGGCTCCAGAGCCGCCGAATCCAAGTTGTGGTCGGCATAGTGAGAGACATCGGTATTGTAAACGTCCACCACCTCGACCGCGGCCTCATCAAAGATTCCGCGCAAGTTCTCATCGGTGAGCACGATCCGCGCAGACACATCATTCACGATGAAGTTGTTTCGCTCGGGTGGATTATCAGGATCCAGGGGGACAAAAGCACCCCCGGCTTTGAGAATCGCCAGAATGGACGCAATCTTCTCAACCGATTTAGGTAAGCAAATAGGCACCAGCGTGTCGGGGCCAACTCCCTTCTCGACCAAGTATCCAGCCAACTGATTGGCACGGCAGTTCAACTCGCGATAGCTGACCCGATTGGCGCCTTGAAACTCAATGGCAATGCGATCCCCAGCTGTGGCGGCAATAGCTTCAAAGCGGTCATGTAGGAACCTTGCGTTGGTGGTCAGTGGGGGGCACATCTGCTGGAGGTAACGAGCTTCACAGGTTGGGATCAGGTCGACCTCCCGCAGCGTCGTCACGCCTCGCGTCACCATGGTTTCCAGCAACAACATCACCTCTTCAAGGATGAAGTTCGTCCGGATCTGCTCCAGCTGCCCGGACAGTCGGAGCTCAAACTCCCCCTCCGCCATCTCCTCTACCTCGAGGGTGTTGTAACCAGTCTTCCAGATGGGCCGTTCCCCATATGGCTCAAAAGCCTTCGTATCCCGGCTTGCAGGGCTCTTCACGAGGAAATTCACCATCGAATCCAAGAGATTCGCATTCTGAGAAGAGGCCTTTAATGCTTTCCGGAGTCCGAGCTGGGAAAACTTGGCTACTTTCCACAGTTCATTCTGCACCAACTCGACAACTTCCCCGAGGCTCATGGTAGGTTCCAGACGAATCCGGATGGGCACGGTGGTCATGGTGGGCCCATTTAGGTCTTGAATGCCGGGCACAGGAGCATCCCGTCCGGAGAGTGTGATGGCAAAGGTGACATCTGGGTTTCCCGTGTGCTTCCACAGAATGACCGACCACGCTGCGTACATGAGAGCACCCGTGGTGACTCCTGCGGTGGTGGTAAATGCACGAAGGTCATGCTGGATGGTCCGCTTCAGGGTATTGAATGGAGCAGGCTCCGTGGCAAGGAGCGTTGCAGCGGCGTTGTTGAGATAGTCAGACCAGAACTCAGAGGCAACCTTTTCATCTGTCTTCTGGAGATGGCGGACGAAGATGTTAAAGGACAGTCTCGGGGCCACGGGCTGGTTGTGATATACCGCTGCTGCGTCTTGGAAGAGAAACCTGGATGACCAATAGTCAAACAAGACGTGATGCATGGTAACCACCAATATCTCCCCATTGACGATGGCTCCGCGGATGGGTGGCTCATTGATGTCCATGTCCCGGTCCTTGGTCTGCAATACATAGTCATCGACTGAGATACCACTGACAATGTCCCAGGGGAGCTGGAATTGCCGTTTCACCGATTGCAGAAATATTGCGCCATGTTCCATGAAGCTTGTTCGGTAAATGGCATTGTCGTTGATTACAGTCTGGAAAGCCTGCTGCAGCCGGGGGATATCGTATCCCTTGATGTTAAAGACGCGATGGTACACATATCCGCCGCCAGTCTGATGCGCAGAAATGATGCCCTCCTGGAAAGGGGTCGTGGGGTAAGCATCCTCATAAATGCTTGAATCAACGACAGTTCCATCCTTGATCAGGCTGAATGGGACTGGAGATTGTAGACCACCGTCCATATTCTCTTCATACTTAAGCAAGGATGCCGCGGTGGCAAGAGTCTCCGCGCGCAGAAGATCGCCCATTTCGGTAACGTAATTGAATGAGAGTAATTCCGAACTCACTTGCAAAGCCTTCAGCGAGTCTCCACCGAGGGCGATGAATGACTGGTTGGGCGTGATCACGTCTTTTGGGAGGCGAAGAACCTTGGCCCAGACCGTCTGGAGAACCTGTTCGCTTTCAGAGAGCGGTTTCCTGGCTTCCTCGGCATCGACCAATGCGCCAACGAGATCAGTCCGCCTCATCGACTCAATCTGTTGGCGCAACCGGAGAATGTCGGTCTTCCCGTTGCTGTTCAGGGGCAGCGTGTCAAAGGACAACCAATATGCGGGCGTCATATATGAAGGAAGGCTTGCAAACGTCGCGGCTCTAAGGTTGCCGACCAGCTGGGACCATGGCAATGCACCTTTCTGCGGGCAGACGCAAGCGACCAGTGCCTTCTCTCCCTCCAGAGTAGCAGCGACGACCACCGCGGCACGAACCCCGTCCTGGCGACTGAGAAGAGCAGAGATCTCCCCGGGCTCCACTCGCTGGCCATTGATTTTGGTTTGGAAGTCGATCCTACCGATGATTTCCACGCTTCCATCTTCCATTCGGATCGCCATGTCGCCGGTTCGATAGAGCTTTCGTCCTTTGGTGAATGGACTTTCGATAAAGGCCTTCTCCGTCAGCTCCTTCTTGTTGAGATAACCGCTGGCCAGCTGAGGCCCTTCAAGGCACAATTCTCCCGGAACCAGGAATGGAGTTAATTGCAGGGTATCCGGATCCAAGACGTAGGCCGACGTGGTGTCGGATGGATGACCGACGTTGCGACTTGAAAGCCGTTCTCCCGGAACGATTCGTCTTCCCCAGTTCAACTGGGTGCATTCGCTGAGGCCGTAGTTGTTCCTCAACTCCACGCGACTGGCCCAGCGCGCGATCACAGAGGAGTCCAGCAATTCGCCGGTGAGGTTCACTCGCTGCAGAGTCGGGACCTTCTCGGGGTCCAGGAGAGCAATTGTCGATGACGTGATCCCAAGCGTGTTGACTTTCATGGCATTGAGCAGACTGGCAAGGGAGACTTGCAATTTGGATCGTCTCGCCAGGCAGAGGCAGCCTCCGCTGGCCAGGGTAGAGAGAATCGTCCTCTGAGCAGCCGAAAAGACTGGATTGTAATACAGCAGGCTACGGTTGTTTGGGATGGTTGGAGCACACTGGATTCCAGCTGAAGCAGCACGGTGGCTCAACACGACACCCTTGGGAACACCGGTAGAACCCGAGGTGTAAATGACATACGCTGGTTGCTCTGGATCCAGAGGCAGATTCAGGTCGGACTCACTGGACGAGCACTGCATGAGATCTTCCATCAAATAAGCTCGGGTACCCTGGAGCTCACCGAGGTGCTCCTTTTGCGTGATCCAGAAAGGCGCTTGGACGTCTTCGACAATGTATGCCTTGCGAGCTTTCGGTTGAGAGGGATCCAGAATCACATAGGCGCCTCCTGCTTTTAGAATCGCCACTAAGGCGATCACAAAGTCGACCGATACGTCCATGTGGACGGGGACGATGGAGCCCGGAGGCATCAAGCCAACCAGTTGATGAGCGACGCGGTTGGCGGTCGTATTCAGTTGCGAGAAGGTCAGAGAGTGGCTCAACTCAAACTGAATAGCAGGATCAGCGCCAGATTTGAGAGCCCGTTCTTCAATCAGGGCATGGACTAACTGAGGAAAGACATCTCCGCGTGAGGACCGAAAGCTCAGCAAAGCAGCTTTCTCCTCTTCTGATGTCAGACTCAGAGACTGAAATGGGCGGTCGGGGTTCCTGATGATCTGTCGGAGAACCTCCCAGAAGTGTTGCAGAACAATCTGGGCCCTGGCGGAAGGATAGGTCGAGTCATGAGCCATGGAAACCCGAGCACCAGCAAACTCGAAGGTGACTTGCATGGGACATTTGAGTTCCTGTATTATTGGGTCCGTGATTTCAGATTCCAGGACCATGAAGGTGGATTGCAAGCCAGTTTTGCTCCCACTTTGTTCCTGGATGGCTCTGCCTCCGAGAAGTGAATACCTCGAAGCCGTCCTCTTCTCCCGCTCCAGTCGGCGGAGCTTTTCCAGGGTTGATTCACCATCCGAGAGACGAATCCGAAGAGGAGCGGTCACATCCATTGGACCAACGATGTACTCGGTAGGGTCAAAGCTACAGTCGCGAAGATTGGTATAGAATGCCACATCGTGGGTTTCCAGGTGACGAGAGAGGGTTGCAGCCCACCCAGCATGAAGGATGGTCTTCACACTGACTTGATGTTCATTCGCAAAATCTTCTAAGTGGGTGAGAAGGTCGAGATCTCCGGTCACCCTCGTTTGAATGACCGTCCTATGGGTACCTGAGTGACCAAATAAACCTCGACCATGGTAACCATCCAGGTAATCGTGCCAGAAATTGATGGCCTCACCGCGGTCACCAGTGGCAATGGCCTTGGCATAGGTGCTGAACGGAATGCGCGTGGGAAAGGGAAAGCCATGGAAGAAAAGTTCGAAGTCATTCCAAATTAGCAGGATGGACTTCACATCAATCAAAGCTCGGTGGTAGTGGAGGGTCAACGTCGGCCGGTCCACATTTGCTTCCTGATAAATCAAGTATGGCACTGTCTTTACAAGCGGCTCCCATGTCCCAAGGCCCATAGGGAGAACATGAGGCACCACTTTCTGCCGCATGGGACCAACACCATCCTCGCTCGGAATGATGACCGTGCGAAGAACGGGATGATGAGCGGCCACAGCTTGCCAGGTCAGACGAAGACGGTCGATGCTGAAGGCCATATGCTCTGGGACCTGGAATGAGAATGACATCCATCCGGATCGGTTGCCCAGGTCGGCGATGATCTCCTGTTGAATCGGAGTCAAGTCAAACACCTCGCCATCGGCATCTGGAGTCCTGGACCAAGCCGTGGGACTTGGCCTGGAATCAACTCGAGGAAAGATTTGTTGGAACTTTTCAGGCCTAATCAGGGGAGACTGAGGTACCCAAGGTACTGGTTGGTGCAACGCCATAGCTTGTGAAGGCGAGGATAAACGGAGGATGTATGTGGACTTTATGTATTCAATCGAGCTTAGGAAAATGTTTTGACAAAGACAGATGAGAGAAAGAGACCGGCACACCTCGTGAAGTGTATATTTTAGAGAATTGAAGGCCTCTTGTCTTTGAGTATATGTCCCACACTCGATTGCTCTGTTTTCTTTGCGTGTTATGACCCTTATTTATAGTTCTTCAGCCAGCTCCTCTTCGGTGCGGTTTCCTATCCCCAGTCTCTGCACATTCTGCAAAATTCGGCTGCAGAATCGCTCCTTCCATGCCCATACGACGATCTGTCAGTCTTCTTCGATGCCGTTCTCTCGCCTCGGCCTGGCGTCGCAATGCTACAGTGACTTGACCACTGCCATCGCAAGAATGACACAATATTTTCGGTGAATGACCGAACCTGATTAGAAATCAAAGGAAGATGAAGTCTTTCAGGAAGCGAATCCTTCAGCATGCCATTGAGTGAAAATGTAACGTGTTATTGGTGAAGCTATACTCAGGATGAGAATGCCTGTAGAACTGCCCGTGCATACAATCAGTGATTTTAATGGCCTTAGTGACTTCGGTATAGGTAGACTAGACTAATCAATGTTGGCACACTAAATCAAGGGACCCAGTTTTTCGATTGATATGATAGGTTTCTGTGTGTGACAGTCAGATTTTGGTGCAGCCCGGCGTGGCCTAGCAGGTCTGAGATAATCTACGAGTATAACTGCATGCGACGTGCAATATAGCAATATTCTTCCTTCTTGAAGATTCTGTTTCTTTCTTGTGCATTGCAAAAGATTTGTAATAAATGAGACCATTGGCTTGACCCCAGATACGAAAGTACGTCGCAGTCGAAATATTGCCCGGAAGGTTGAAATATAAAGTGGCCATGACGCTCGCCTGAGAGACGATCCAACGTCAGTAACAAGGCACGAAAGTAGAACAGTTCTCTCGGCTTCTAAGTCTTCTTCTCCAATTCTTCTTTTCTTGGGCTCCTCTTCTTGCTTGTCAAAACCAAATCGCACAATGTCTCCCTCTGCCGAATCTGCCACCACCAGCGCCACTGCCAATGGCAAGCCACAGAGCATTTATGCTCCCCTTCCTACCACTACCTATCCTAATCAGCGGGCTATCTTCCCCTACGTTGATCCCAAGAAGGTCAACCCGGAGATGGCGCAGGCCTTCAAGGTGCTTCCGTTTGAGCGCAACGTGCTCAAACTCCTGGCCCACGCCGAAGGATTTTTCCCTCCCATCTCCAGCCTTCTCACCACCGTCTTCCGCTCCACTCGGGAGCTGCCCACACTTGAATGGCAATTGGTTGTCCTGCGCACGGCTGCTCTGATTGGCGCGCACTATGTCTTCGAAATCAATACCCCGGTGGCCCTAGTCAACGGCATGCCCAACGCGAAGCGCCTCCTGATCGCCTTCGGCAAGGTCGACGACACCGAGTTCTTCACCGTGCGGGACCGCATCCTTCTGCGCTTCGTCGAAGAACTTGTCCGCAACAACACCGCCAGCGATGCGACCCTGGAGGACCTCAAGGCCAACTTCAGCACTCGGGAGATCTTTGAGGTGATTGTCATTGTGGGGCTCTACAGCATCTTCGGACGGGTCGCCAACGTCAGCCGGATTGATGATGATCCTGAAATCCCAGGTCTCATGGACTCGTTGGTCAAACTGACCGGCCAGAAGGATCGTGGCGAATAGAGGGGACGAGAAGTCTGGGCCCGCCTGTACCTAGAACCGAGGTAGTAGTTGCAGTTCCGTAGGATTGTTAGCTGAATGGAGAGATTAACAGACGGATCCTTCTGCAAGTGACCCCTGACAGTAATCTGCACGTGAAGAGTTGGAGGATAAACCTGGAAATGAGGCTAAAAATGCTGGCAAACTCCGAGGCCAGTGCGCCACCATGCACTAGAGCATGTTTGACCTTGACGGTGCGGCCCGGCGGTTTCTCAGGTATTGTACGTGTCCCCCGTCATAACTCAGTACATTAAGGAATTGTCAGGCTGATATCTAGAGCTGTGTTGTTCCCTTCGCTCGTGACCACGTGGATGGCATAATAGTAGTTATACACACAGGTGAGATGCACGAAAGCAGGCTTACATAGGGGATAAATGTGCGTTATTCATACTACATAGTAGGTCCGCCTATCTAGACGGCTTCTTTAGTAAGTTCTTCAACAGGATCTTCTGAGTGGATGAAAGTGATTGATCTAGAATATCTCATTCCATTGAAACTGACCGTCTGGGTGATGGGAAATAAAGCGGCCGTGGCTCCATAACTAGCTAGTTAAGTGAGACTAGCGCTGAGTCATCATGGCTGACAGACCGTTAGTAAGGCGTCGTGGCTTGCATCCCAATTCCTTTGCGGCTCAAGTTATGTCCCATTATCCCATTTCTTATTATCCCTTCATCCCATCCGTCCGTTATCCCACCGTCCCTGCGCTGCCCCACCTGCTGGACCTCCGCTATTGCCAAGATTCTGTACCTTTCTGTCCATATCCCATCGCTATTCCGTGGCTATTCCGTCGCTATCCCATCGCTATCCCACCGCTATCCCATCGCTATCCCATCATCTGAGATCGCCAACCACGGAATCACCCGGCTCCGTAGCGCCGCTACTTGGTTGCATACACTCGCTGATCTGCTTAACCCGTAATTTGACACAAGACAACTTCGGAGAATAAAGAAAAGAAATCAAACTGGTCGCTTCTTGCGATGAGTACACGGGAGCCATCGTTTCAATGTCTCTTTCCGGGTTGTGGCTTGCGCTATCGGCGCAAAGAACACCTGACCCGACACGCACGACGCCATTTTCAGCCAGAGTCTTTTGAATGCCCCTTTTGTGATCGAGTCTTTGCTCGGAAGTAAGTTTCTCGGTCACCACCCGCGCAGTCTCGCAGAAAGAATGGAGAGAGCACAGGAAACGAGAAACCTGTCAAAGATCCATCTCAATCTTATGAAACCAAAACAGATACTGGATTATCGAATAGATAGTAACTCGACAGCAGTGATACTCTTCGTCAGCATGTCCGCATCCGTCATAAGAACAAAGAACTACACTCAGGCCGTGCAATCCGAGCCTGCAATTACTGTCGCTCGCGAAGGTCAAGGTGCGACGGAAAGGTGCCCTGTGAAACTTGCCAAGAACAAGGGATTCAATGCTCGTTTGGACGGTCTTCTCCGCGCCCCAAAGTAGAGCAACAGCGCAGTCCTACCGCCAGTGCAACCCCCAGGACCCTCACAGAACCCAACCATCAGTATACTGCATGTACTTCCTCGAATCTGGTACGCAACTCGGACTCGATCGAGAGAAGCCCATGTAGAATGTTACCGTATATCCAGGCCTACTTCGAGAAATTTCATCCAAACTGGCCGTTTCTTCACCGAGCGACGTTTGATGTAGACCGTGAACCAACCCTCCTTGTTCAGTCTGTCGTGATGATGGGTCTGTGGTTGACAGGAGAAGACAATGCCCAGCATGCAGCGATGGATCTGCACTCTAAACTGGCCTTGTTGATCCAACAACAAAGGGTGAGTACCATAGCAAACCTTCTGTCGCGCCCTTAGTCCGCTGTCTTGTTTTCCAGTGTCAATGTTCCCTATTCACTGATGTATATCCCTCCGATAGGATAAATGGGATGTGTCAAACCAGCATGAGATGTCCCCTGGATCTCTCTCCCCGTGGCCAATGGCAACATACCAGGGAATACTCCTACACATCATTTTTGCCGTTATAAAGTGGAGTGGGAAACAATTAGACCTACAACTGACGCACCAACTTTCCGAAATTTCCTCTCAGCTTCTTGTCGCCCTAGTGCACAGCTGTCGGACGCGAGAGATGTTCTTCTATCCATCCATGCTCGCCCAATTCAACGACAACTCTCTGCCCGGTGTGTACATCTGGGTCGGGATTGAGGAAGCCAAGCGGTTCGCCTTGGCCCTATACAAAGTGTGCCGATGCTGCCGAGTCCATGACACCMGGCTCTCATACGGTGGTGGCATGAATTCTCACGCCCAAATCCAACTGCGTGCGCAGGGCGGCAGTCTTCTTTCGTTGGCCGATCTGCAATTCGCGCTTCCTGACAGTGATGAACTATGGCATGCGAGCTCGGATCTGGCCTCGCGTGTGGCGGATAATGCATGCGCGTATTGGCAGAAAAATGCCGAGGAAAATTGGATTTGTCAGGCCGCGCGGTTGTTACATACTCCTGGAGAGTTTAATTGGATCTGAGTGTTTATATTGATTTTCTTCTTGATTTCGGCTTCCGTTTGCTCAATTATTGCCCCATCCAAGGTATCTTAGGTTATTAGTCTCGGATGCTAATGGTGACATCTATGTGGGATGTATGCTTCAATATAGGCCTCGAACTTAGTTTTAGGAATAGCCTTTCCAGAATCAACGTCCAAAAAGGGCCCTATATAGGCGCGTGCAATGTAAAGAAGGGCGACATGACGAAACTGGGATTACTCAAGAGGTTTCCCATGGTTCCGGATACTCAGAGGAGAAGAACAAAAGGGACTGCGATTGTCCAACTGGATTCTAATTAATAAATTTGACATAAGAATGATAAACCAAATATTCCACAGCTCGACTCGACGCCGCATAGCTTATTCAGCTCTAGGCGGCATTTCCAAGCTCGTCCTCAAAATAAGCAGTAAACACATCACCCTCCCTTCTCGGTGCAGCAACGGACTTCAGACGCTTATGTGCTTCGCACTCATGATCGTAAAAGTTCATATCATCGAGGTTACGAAAAGTCGTCTTGACAGCCAACGTGTAGCCTTTTGTTCGCGCATCCGGGAGTGTGCGACCGGCTTGGACCGAAAGGATATAGGGTTCTGAATTCTACAATAGCAAATGAAAACAGGTTATCATTTGTACCATGGGTGGGTGGGAAACAAAAAATGCATACCCTCTTTGCCTCCTCGGCTAGGCGGCGATATTCAGCCAAGAGGACATCGATGTCCTCCGGTCTGGGGATATTGAAAAACGTGACACGGTGAATGGTCATGGTAGATCTTCTGAACTATTGCAATCCTACGTGATAGGAGATGAGAAATGATTGATAATGCTGCGTTAGAGAATGAATATGCGCTTATAATCATCAAAAGAAGCGATAACGAGAACACCATATACATAATCTATTGGCGTGCTGGGATGGCGGATTAGCCGACTTGCCTTTGTCCGGGAGATGAAGGATTAGACAAGAAAAGGTTCTGGATAATTCTGCAGAATTCAAGCCACGGCGGGCCGATCCCGTCGGTATCCCCTCGGTATCCCAGCGGGGCATCCCATCATTCAGCTCATTCAATAATGGTTAGACCAGTTCGGGACGGACGGTATCCCACCGGTATCCCAGATCTTTAATTCGCCCGAGACATGGCAGCTGCCCGTCCTCATCCCATCATGTAAAGTTGGTAGTCAATTGTAGTAACATTAGTCATAAACCAGAACAATTCTGATTCCTTCCAATGTTTACTTAACGCAGCCTGAATAGTTCCTTCCTTCTATGGGTTCTTCTAAGCTTATAAAAATCCTCTCTTGCCAGGGGGATTCGAAACGTCCACCATCACATTCACCTTCTGAGTCCTGTCTTGACCAGATAGCAACGGTCTGTGCCTCAGAATAGCCTCAATTGACCAGCGCCAACACCGTACATCCAAATTACAATGGCAGACCGCTTAAACGGAAGTGAAAATAAGTCTGGGGCCATGGACATGATGGCAGATGCGCAAACCCCGAGCTCAAGTTCGCAGCTCAGCGAGAAGAGTCATGATTTGTCAGACGAGGAACCGAAGAAAGAAGTTAGAGCTATCACTGGATTCAAGGCAAGTAAAGCCAAGTCTGATACCCATTTTTCTACATGCTATAGAACTGGCTAACATGTAAGTAGTGGATCTTGGTTGTGACTGCTATTCTCTCAAGTCATATGCTCTTCGCCCTCGACAACACCATTGTTGCTAACATTCAACCGGTACTTATTCCGTTCCCTCTTGTTGAGCTGGAATCTCATCTAACAATATAAAACTCACAGGCTATTCTCGAGCAATTCCAAGAATCTAATCAGATAGCCTGGCTTTCTGTCGGGTAGGCCCTGACTTCCAGCCCCATTATTCGAACAACCTGTCTAAACATTTTCGAAGTTTCTCCCTCTGTTCATCTGCACTTGTGCTGCCTTGGTCTAAAGCCTATGCCACTTACAATGCCAAATGGCTCTATATTGGGGTACGTGCAGAGTATTTAGAATAGATACGCTATAAAAGGCAGGGTGCTGATACTCTCACAACAGTGCGTTATCGTGTTCATGGCAGGCTCGGCTCTTTGCGGGGCCGCCCCGAATATGAATGCCATGATTGTTGGAAGAGCCATGGCTGGAGCTGGAGTAAGTTTCATCTTGCGCTTGTATGACACATAAGAACTCCATTAACACCAGACCTAGGGAAGTGGTATGTACTTCGGCGTCTTGACCCAGCTGTCGGTCAATACGACCGTATCTGAACGTCCGTTCTATATTGGACTGACGTAAGTGGAACTCAGAAGTTAATCCTCTGTATCAACGCTGATTATATCTTCTCTTCATCTAGCGCCGTCTCATGGGGTATTGGAACTGTCACCGGCCCTGCCATTGGAGGGGCATTCGCTGAGAGCTCTGCGACTTGGCGCTGGGTATGTTTACAGGAACTCTACCACTATATGGTATGAATTCATATCTGCTAACCGCGTTCAATCAGGCCTTCTACATCAATCTTGTCATCGGCGGTGTGTTTGCGCCGGTGTATGTTTTTCTTCTGCCCTCGTTCGAGCCCCTTCCCAATGCCACCTCCAAGGAAAAAGCCAAGAACATCGACTGGGTCGGCATTGTCCTATTCGTTGGTGCACTGACGACTTTGATCATGGCTATTGACTTCGGAGGAGTGGATTGGGCTTGGGGCAGCGGTCAGTCGATTGCGCTTTTCGTAGTCTCTGGTATTCTATTCATCCTGTTCGGCATCCAGCAATCTTTCTACATCCTCTGCAACGAGCAGAATAGGCTGTTCCCAATCCACTTCCTGAAGAGGCGCTCACTGTTGCTGCTTTTTATTCTCAACAGTAAGTACCGAACCGGAACTTAAACCTTGTCCTCTCCCTTCGACGCTAATTATCTCTAGCCTCTGCCAGCAGTGGGTTGTTTATCTCAGTGTATTACATCCCCTTGTTCTTCCAATTTACTCAGGTGAGAATTCTAAATTCTGTCCTAAACATATTTATACTTACATTGACGTAGGGTGATACGGCTGTCCATGCATCACTGCGTATTCTTCCTTTTGTGATGGTTCTTATTTTTACCATCATCTTAAACGGCCACATGATGTCAAAGTTCGGTTACTATCTTCCATGGTACCTCTTCGGTTCCATCTGCGAGCTTATCGCTGCTTCCCTGATGTGTAAGTTGCTTGCGGATTTGATCTAATTCCAAGCACATTTGGCCTGACTGCCGTCTGTAGATGTCGTCAAGACCGACACCTCTGCTAGCGCCATCTATGGATACACCTCACTCATGGCACTCGGGGTTGGTGCTTTCAACCAGGCCGGATACAGCGTGGTTCAAGCTAAGGTGAAGAAGACGGAGATTCCATGGGCCCTGGGATACATGATGGTTTGTAAGTTAACTCCTCATTTTGCCCTTGCTATGTTACAACGCACAACTAATTCCTTAACAAAGCTCAACTGGGGGGCATTGTCTTGGCTCTGGGCATTGCTGGTGCTATCTTTGTTAACAAGTCCACAAAAGGTCTCATAAAGTTGCTTCCGGATGCTGATCCAGAGGCCATCAAGAATGCCATTGGCGGAACTGCAAGCGGATTCTTCAAAACGCTGTCAAAGGCGCAGCAGACCGCGGCTCTCGATATTATTGTCAAAGCCATCGACGATGTGTAGGTTGCCCTGGATGATTTGCTTGTATTTGTCAGGAAATTAAAGAGCAAGCAGATGGCTGACATTTCTCCTTTAGGTACATTCTCCTTATTGTTGCTGGTGCGCTTGGTGTTATCCTCTCTGTCTTCCTAAAGGTAAGTATCTGATACATGTCTGCCGCTCCAACTGGTGACTAACTAGTCTATCTCAGCGCGAGAAACTCTTTATGGAAGTGGCTGCTGGTGGTGCTTAGGGGAAAAACTCCATGCAGTCAACTATGTTGGCTATGAACCTATGAAAGGGTCTGGCTAATTGGCGGGTAGACAACGGACGCCCAGGAAGATGGAATGAACGAATAAACAGAGGCTTTCAACAATATAGATACTGGGAAGCAAGAAGAGAATGGTCTTAGAATGAATAGAATAATTAGATGATAGTGAATTCAGTTATCCAGGGGTCGATGGCTGTCTTTCATGTTCCTCTCATCCCGTCGAGACACCCAGGCAGACAGCATGTCCTGATCACCCACTTGATTAAAATAACCTCGGCTGCATGGTATGCATGGATCTTGCCAGAGATTAGCTTGTAATCCTTCCTTAAGAGCTGGTCTATACTAAACAAAGTCCCTTGACATGCATGTTTCTCATCGCCTTGTTTACGGCAGCGGCACGCTATAGGCAATTCGAATCTACTGTCGCTTCTCGCGGCCGGTTTATCGGCTCCATCGTTTGACAGGAAGTGGGTGATTGGCTTTGGGTAAATGTAGGCCAGTGTCCATAACATCACAATTGATAATCTCTTGCAGTGTCGCGTCTCTGCTATCAGCTCGTCCTCCTGGGCCACAGTTCCAATGTCCAGACTTGCTATCCTTTGAAAATACAATCAACGCAGTCACAACAGCAATTCAGGGCATGTCTAGCACTGACAAATTTGGGCGTGAGCTTGCCTCTACATCTAATAGACTAGCCGGACCGTTGGACGGTCAAAGGCGCTTACTCATTGCTGCTATCATCTGTGCTGGTGCACCGGTTACGCCAAGCCTACCGACACGAAGAGTCAAAAGCATATGGAGCACCTGTCCCGTGTCATACAAATTTTTGGTGCTGTTGCTGCATTTATACCTGTTCCTGGTGTTGGGCCCGGGGCCGGTCTGGCTGCTGTGCTTGGTGATGTTTCACTGCACCACGCATATCAGTCAAAATTGGATGATTTGAAAAGCCAAATCATGAAAATCATGAAATTTGCAGCCCAAATCGACTTGGCATGCACTAGATTACATCTTCAACCAGGAAATGTGTTTCACAAGTACTTCATGATTGCGACTTTCGTGGCTAGTGTGTAGGAGAATTTGATATCCTTCAAAAGTCGGCGTTCAAGGCTGCACCTCTATGGGCTGTTCAAAACAGAAGAGAGGATGCCACTTAACTCATGTTAACAAACCATTCCAACCTCGAGAGGGCAGATTCTGGCAGAGAAAAAGGGCCTGTGAATTAGCATTCCCATTGGCGGTTCTTGCGGGTCACCCAATTATGGCTGGGATGTAACTGCTAGATGGCTCTTACAGATAGAGTTGCATGTCACGCCCTGGTTTCTGTCTCTGCTGTTCGCTGCTAGTCACTGCTTTAGGAGTCGGAGTGCTATAGACAAACAGGTCTATAGGCTAATACTTACCTAGTATACTAATCAGGAATACAAAATGCTATAATAATCTGAATAGGACCAAGAGTAATCTGAAGATAACACAAGAATATTAAGAGTAGAGACAGGAGCAAGGCCTATTAAGTATGTATAATAGTAACTGGTAAGGGAGTAACTACTAAAAATAGACTAGTGAACTTATGAAATAATTATTATTAAATATAAGGAACTAAACTAAGATTATTAGATATGATAACAATAGTATCCCTGTATATCTGAAGTTCTTCCCGTTAGAGACATAGTAGATGGGATTGTGGTATGAGTAGTAGATGGATTCATGATTGATATATGAGGTATCATGTATACTCTTCTACTAGGCTATGTTCCATATTGGGCACTTCGCAAAAAAGCTTGTACGGAGGTACAACTGATATGCTGGCGGTCAATGGCTCTCTCCCTGTTCATCTCACCGGTACCATTTCTCTATCATCCCTCGCTAGTTGTAGCTAGTGTGCTAGCGTTCTTTGTCGGGCGTCCTCCGCGATGTCGATCCGAGATAGAAAAGTAATCATAAATCCTCAAGACAACTCCATTTAGAACTGTGGTTCCATTAGTACCCTGATTCCTTGCCATCTTGGGTCTAGCTACTTAATGGGTGTTTGGAGTCAAATCAATAGCGACAAAAAGCACCACTGGGCTCTGGCATTACTAAGTTTTATCGTTATATGTGTTTCTACTGCAGGTCAAGTAATGGTGAGTCTTGGCCTATAATTAGAGAATACCTTACAACTCTTTTTTTTCAGCTCCTTATTGCTTCTATTCAATCTACAATTATTAACCCCTGGGTGTGTACATCTATCTTACTAGAGCAAGCCGGTCATTTGCTGGTGTTGAAAGAAAGTGACATTCAAATAGTATTAGAATCACAGTTACCCCATGCTGTATTTGATCATCGCTCCGGATTAGATCCATTCACGTTGGCCCAATGTAACGAAACATACGTGTTCTGTTAAAGGATGCTTTCGTTCTAGACTCACTATACTTGGGTGCTATGTTGTCTCACATGTCTTGTATATTCATTGATGTCGTGGCCCAGTTGATCTTGTAGTCAAGAGGGAACATTAAACAGTGGTTGTGGCTGTTTAGTTATTATACCTATGGTTTCACCTGTGAATGGAAGACTGGCCTCCAGAGCTCTCCAGCGCCCATCCCGCTAACGGGCAACGTTTTCAGGACCCCACTATCTCCTACACCCCTTCCTAGCGTTGAGGGGAATCCCTGTCTGGAGTAGCTAAGTTGTTCGTTCTGCAAATAATTCTGGATGACAGCTGTGAACCACTCTCGTCTAGAGGCTTCAATGTAGCTGGAAACAAAGACTAGTTGCTAGGATCCAAAAATTCAAGAATCTACTATCCAGTGTCCATGGAACTCGCGGGGCACTTCATACTTACAGCAGTTGGGGACCGGTTCACCAGTCAAGTCAATCAGAACGCAGACTAATGGAATGAATTAGAACTTCAGAGTGTGGTAAACTAGAACTTATGGATTACACATGACACCCAAGGGACACCTTCTTGTCAAAGCGTTGTATGTTAGACTTTGCCTGGTCATGTTCAAAGTCTCTATTGTCTACTAAAATATCACAACTCCAATTCTTAGTCCCTTTGGCCCTCAAGAAGTGTATAGATTATTAGAAATCAGGCCGCCTGCATCAGAGATTAGCCAGTGTATGACTGATATGGAGAAGAATGATGTCATGAAGCTGCTTTACTCTACTAGGCTAAAATCAAGAGCGCCACAGCTGATGAACGATTACAAAAGTATCAGCGTCAATGGGTGTGAGTACAGATAGGACAAAAACATCTATATATACTTTCATCCCACCAAATGCTGCGGATCAACTTATTTGAGCCCTCAGAGGTCGGAACAACAGCTTGAACCCCTCACAAGCAAAAGGCGATGAGCCAATTGGAAAAACTGATGATGAGCACATGGAGGATCTGAATGATGACTGTCTCCTTGCGACCTGGCTCTTCTGTTCTCTGTACAAGAATGACCCTAGTGCCCTAAACGACAGCTACATGTCAACATCGGCTACGCTGGGACTATTACCCTAGTAGGCTATTGTGGGGAAGACCACCAAGGTCGATTATTCAAGTCAACTAGAGCAGAGTCTCTAGGACTTATGGAGCCTTGTCCAGCCTTCCAAGAACTTCAGTGACGATGATCTTGCAAGAGATAAGATATCCTACAATTTTGGAATTACTATCATTAGACAACAAATATTATGTAAATTTTATATATGTGTATTTCCAAGAGAGCACGGATACTGCTGGTTTCGCGACCTTAATAAGACCTGGTGTCTTAACCTTGTATATGGCCGTGTACGTGTCCGTATCACTGGCTTAACCGAGTCTTTGAAGCCTTGTACAGGCTAGATGGTCACTGCGGCTTCTTGTGGAGCATTCCATACTGTGGCCTTGTTATTGTATCTAGGGTGGTATGGGTGGTCTCTTTTAGATTGTCAGGTCTCCCACCCTCACGCTAAACATTTTGAGTATTAACTGACAGAACTAATATCTATTGCTATTCTCTCCATAATGTTCCCTTTTCCGGTTCTTAACCATATTGGCTAGGGTATATGCCCCCATCTACAGAGTAAGTGGCTTGTTCTAGATGGGTCTAAATTTCACGGACCAAGGTTATCAAGCAAAAATTGATTGTAAACTGAGATCACCTTTTCTATGTTCAGGAGGCCAAAAATTCTGAGTACCCAATCCTTTACGCGGATAATGGATCTGCTTAGAACCACAGAAGCCAGAGCTGGAATTCAGCCTATTTATTACACTACACAAGATTAGAATATGGCCAAGGTCCGCTATACCAGTAATTGAAGGACTCTTCAACTAAAAGATAATGCAAAAGATAAATACATGAAAGATTGGGACCAGCAGGAGAAATCATAAAAAATACAGTATATACATATCCTCTAAATTTTGTGATAAAACCTTGGATGACTGACATTTTCTAAATAATAATTGCAGTTACTACAGGCAGCAGGCTAGATTTTCCTTCTTTGAGATGCATTCAGTTATAACAGATTACGTGGCCAACTGTCAACCCTATCTTATACTTCCATTCTAAACAATGAAGGTCATTGCGGTGGATGAGCAACGAGGTTCCTTCTCTTGTTGCTCTCCGCGGTGATCCTGGCTTTTTACATACAACATCCGCAAGCGGATAAATATCTTCTTCACCCAAAACTTTAACAATACAATAAATTGTGATAATTGAATGGATGTAGTGATTCCATTTTAACCTTCCGGATATGATATTATTGTGACGCAAGTACTATACAGAATGTCTTCAAGGTAAATATTGCGACCTATATGCATTCTGTTGAATCTAGTGATCATATTTATCACTACGCGGAGGCTATTTTTGATTATGCTGTTAATGAATATTATGAACTATTGAAAGGAGACTTTTTTCTTTCAAAACTCAATAACCAAATTTCTATTTCCATACTATGAAACTGACATTTACTATTTCATCCTGCTTTCTTCTATGCCTCGTGGCTGGAGGCCAGCACGAATATCTCTTGAACCCAGACCAGTCATGCAATTGCTATTGCTACATCCTTGATAAGCCTCGTTTGCCATGCGAGATTTCACTGGGTCGTGTGGGCTCATGGACCCAGTGTATCAATAACTGTGGCTTGGCGGTTGGCAGGCTAAAAATTCCAGGTGGATGGTGCCGGATGGATGGTGATTCAGAGACTTGTGGATATAGGCAACTCGGAGAGCGTTGCTCAAGTATTCCCTGTAACTGCTTAGATCTATGTCATTGACAGTACTTTCATGTCCACAGATTTCTTTGCAAAAGTCTGTCCTTATAGGTTGACCTTGTTGAAAATCTTTATCACCATGTCAAAGGGCCGTTAAAGACTGCAGTAACGGCCAATTATATTGGTGGGCTTCCCAGCTAGTATTACAGAGGATATATTTATACAGTTCATGGATGACAAGGAAATCTACACAACATGCTGTAAGACTTTTTCACGGACTTTATTCCCAACCTCAGCTTTATTTCATGTAAGGAAAACCTGTCCGCCCTAGGAGCAAATACCGCCCTTTATTCGCACAGGTGCCGGGCATTCCAAGTCACAGTTAAAGACTGTTGCTGCCTCAGACTCAGTTAACCATGGTATACTATTTCAAGACACTCTTTGCAAAATGCAGTGTATACCTACTTCTTTACCTATGAGATGGCTTGCTAGAATAACTCCGTGCGAAGGCGCATTCTATTCAATCAAACTAGCTTTGCATTTAGTAATCAAGTTTTTATCCCATTTCTCATCCCACAAAGAAATCTACACAGGAGGATATACATCTTAGTATATGCAAGATTCAAGTTGACTAGCTTTAGTACGATTATCAAGCATCTTTACATCTTGAGCCAAAGGCTCTTCCAGGACCAACTAGTTCAACATAATTAGTTATCAACAGCTCAAAAAAACCTTTTAGAATGTGTAACAGTGGTATCAGAGGTTCATCCCAGGTCTCCAATTAGCAAGATGAACTCAGTTCGTTGCGCATCCACTCATGTTGCCAATATACCAATTGTGATCCGCGAGATTTAGTCCAGTTGTGCCAAGATTCCCGGGCTTATTGTCAATGCCCACAATTTCTTGGATATCAGAGGTGTTGACTGGCATGCCATTTCCTGAAGTAATCCAGTATTCTGGAGAAGTTGTGCTATACTGCCAAGTCTTGTTGACCTCACGAGTGGTAGAGAAGGCCCTTGGAACTGGATCACTTAAATGTGTTACTCTGTACCCAGTGCCTGCTGTTTTATCAGTGATAAACTAAGCAAAGCTATGATTCCCTAGTTGAGGAGCTCCAAAAGTGTACTACTCCTCATTAACTCTTCATGTATGTGGACTTCTACTTTCTGGTGACTGAATACTTACCAGATTGATAGATCTGCCAGGTGTTTCCTGAAGTACTGCTCCAAGTGTAGCTAGTGCACCTCCAAAACCATGATCAGTAAAGATAATACTATAGCCTGGATATTGAGAAGCAAGCTGGTCAACAGAGGGCATTATATGCCGAGCGAAGTTGCCCCAGGCATAGTAGTAACCATGATGCACTTGGCAGCCTGGACAAATGCTGTAGATACGCACCTGTCTGTATTCAAAGTCGGTGATCCAGTTGCCTACAGTCCGGCTGCCTCGGAAGGACAGAACAATCAAGACATTTGTCCTGTCGACTGCTAGAAAGCCCAGTGACGTTACCTGGATAATATCTATTCGATGTTAGCCTTTGAGGTCTTGCCTGGTTGACCCGATCATACCCCACGAATCCAGTGATGACAGTTGTGTCGGTCTGATCGAGGACCGGGCGTACACCTGGATCGCACACGACCTTTGACCCTTGGGAGTTAAAGTTTGCTTCACAAGTAGTGGCAGCAGAATATTCAGGAAATAGGGTGAAATTGGTCAAAAGTTCGGAAGGAACATCCAGATGAAAATGCCAGAAGGTTTGTGATGTTATTTCACTAACCTCGGCGTTGGAGATGAGTATCTGTAGCCGGCATTGTCCAGCCCAGAGAAAAGAACAGGAGACTATAAAGTACAGTGGCAGCAAGCATTTTGGGATGAAGAGGATAATCGTAGCTAGTTAATTTACAGGAATGGTAAAATTATAGCTAGAGTACCCTCAATGCCCTCCTGGAGTGACTATATACACTTGAGGTTCAAGGATCAAAACCAAGGCTCAACTAGATACAGGACAGCAGCATCAGAGTTTCTCTGACTGTTGCCTGATGTCATGTAGATATCGTCGTTTATCTAGTAGCCTCCAGAGAGCGTATGGTTAACCCTGACTTGTAATAAGCTTTACTGTTAAGCATGTCCTGCTGGTTGCAGTCAAAGCTTTATCAACTCTGTGCAAGTTGGACTTGACTAATCAGACTGTTGAACTGCTTCCATGGTTCAATGCACTGAATTAGAATAATTTTATAGAGTGTATTTCCTTACTAATTTAGAAGTGTCTAGACTTACGTACTTGCCCATTTCAATTATATGTGTTGACCATACTGATTCTGTTAGTAGGAATCCTACATCATTTGCTGGTACATAGAACAAAGAAAGCCAAATGTGGTGACAAGGATGTTCAAAGTTCTTGTGTTCCCTGAGGACCTCTAAATGATCATGCTTACCATGCTGTGTCCTTTCTGGTTAGGTAATTTGGAATCGTCTTAGGGATCGGCTAAGGCGGGCGCTAAGCGGCTCAGAGCCATGGCTCTGTGGGCCAGCGATACCCTAAGACCCACTTTTGCGCCTCGTCAGCCAACTCATGAAATGCCCAGTAGCGGTGGATACCTTGCTTGCTTTCTGGCTGATCAAGGCTCATCATTCCAGTTCCTGCGCTTCAGACTACAGTTCTTGGTTTGCTTCTAGATTAAAAAGTATATATATATTGAGTTATTATGATAAGGCGTCAGGCGGAAACTTTGACATTAATTATTAAAATATTATACCACTATGAATGTAACTCTACACTAGGGAGTATATTATCATGACGCCATTAGCCTAGTGATGTTAGATTTCGATAATTATAGACACCTTCTAAAGATTCTGTCTAAGAAATAATTACTGGAAGACCATTCTGTCATATCTCTGAAGAGTAACATTATTAGTAACTGTGATCAATGTTATACATACTAGATGTATGTAATGGAAGAGACTAACCCACCCTATAAACATAAGCATGCTCTGGCTCTCACCATGATGCAGGAATAGAAACTGACTAAATAGGATCAGATTATTGGGTAACCAGACCTAATAGATATGATCGAGCCAATGTACAATACAAGAACTACTACCGGCAGGCGCGGGAATGTCATCTGTTTGTGAGATATGAGATGCAAACGGAAGCAGAGGACTTAAACAAGTTACTGATGTCATTGTGAATATAATGCGCAGTTCAATTGCATGTTGTGAGGTATATATAACCAGCGCGCAAGCACAGGCCTGGAGACTGCAATAGCAATTTGATGAGTACTTAAGGCTGTCCATCTCGAGATATATCTTGTTGAATTTTATCCTTATCTGGTTATGGATTATGCAGATCGACATATCTGGCCACAGTCTGCCATTCCTGCAGATAGTGGGACTCATCAGGCGGAAGGCTTCCTCTCCGTGAAGGACAGTCGTACGGGAGCTAAATACACTATTCCAATCTACCGGAATGCGGTGCATGCCCTCAGCTTTCGACAGATCACTGGTGACGACTGTCAAAATGCAAGCCAACATTCCAAGGAAGGACTTCGCGTCTTTGACCCTGGGTTTCGGAATACCGCGGTGAAGGAATCCAACATTACTTACATGTGCAGTGTTCCTGCTCCTAACAACTCACTATCATGTCCAACTGACCTGTCGAATTTGCCGTTTCAGCAACGGGAAAAGTGGCTTGCTATGCTACCGAGGCCACATGATTAATGCACTTGAGGGAAAGACTTTCGAAGAGATTATCCATCTCCTCATCTGGGGAACACTGCCGTCTCAAGAACAACTCCAACATCTTCAGAGACGCATTGCAGAGGAGTGCTTTGTCCCTCAAGTAGTTGAGAACGTCGTCACGAGCTTCCCGTAAGACACTTTCCCTTACTCTATTCGTCTCTCTGGCCTCAGTTGATAAATCTGATGCTTCCGCAGACGGGATTCTCCATCAGTAGTCATCTTTATAGCGGCTCTCAGCGCCTTCATGGCCGACCGACCTGACCTCGTACCCTCATACGTAGGACGCAACCTCTATACGAACGACATGAAATTGGTTGACGAGCAGATCGTGCGCATCCTTGCTGTGTTTACTGTAACGGTCTCCCTGATCGCCTGTCACAAAACCGGATGCCCCCGGAAATCAGCGGACGCCAACGCAAGCATGATCGAGAACATTGTACACATGGGCGGCCTTGCTGAGAACTCGAGAGTGCCTGCAGCTACTATTATCGCCACGCTCCAGCGGCTATGGGTTCTGTATGCAGATCATGAGATGACATGCTCGACCGCCGCTTTCCTGCACGTGGCGTCGACCCAGGCCGATCCTATCTCCTCAATCATCGCGGCAGTCGCGGCAGGGTATGGGCCCCTACATGGCGGGGCGATCGACACTGCCTACAGTGTCATCAGAGATGTCGGGACAACCGATCAGGTCCCACAGCTCATTGAAAAAGTGAAACGGAAAGAGTGTCGATTGTTTGGATACGGTCATCGAATCTACAAAGGGACAGACCCACGCGCGAAGGCGATCAAGGAGATGCTTCATGACCTCACGCGTGAGATCCCTGTAAATGAGTTGGACCCGCTCCTTAAGGTCGCATTCGAGATCGATCGCATTGCTAGCAGCGATGATTTCTTCACTGCTCGCAAAATATTTGCGAATGCTGATCTGTATGGTAGCTTTGTCTACACTGCACTGTATGCCCTTTTTTTGCCCTGAGTATGCAACACTAAACAAGTAATCCATGCTAATGCGGTGTGGTCCTTGTCCAGGGGCATTCCTACAGAACTAATTACGCCCTTGGTGATCGTCTCGCGGATCCCTGGCATTCTGGCCCAGTGGAGGGAGTCCGTCAGTAAGTTTGCATCTCATGCATTGTATTTCTGTCGAAGAAGAGGACTCACTGACTTCCACATAGATCGGCCACCGGAAATATGGCGGCCCCAACAAATCTATACAGGGTCAGACACAGGTGGTCCCAGTGGAAATGATAGTTATATAAGCACTAAGACTCCAAGATCGCCAGATAACAAAGAGAAAGCACCAAGTCCAAAATTGTGATCAGGTTGGGATAAAAGTTTCTGTCTTTGTGTTGATGCAACAGGTAAATTTGATCCTTATATATATATGAAAAGTTTAAAACACAGATTTGTTATGAGACGGTGCTCATGGCTGTCTGGAGTGTCCCAGTATGGCGCCCTGTACCCCTCATTCCAACCACTGTGTCCGCCCACGTCTGCTGTCCCTAACTCTTAACTATACTAATTAGGGTATAATTAGTTCATCTTATTATGCTGCATCTAGATTGGCTGACCCAATCTGCAAGTAATTTAACATACCAGATACTCGCTCACGCAAAACTGAAATCAAACATGTCTGCCGTGCACATGTTGAAGAAAGTCCTTGCGAGATCTCTTCGATGCAGTCTTCTTAGACTTCTCAAACACGCTCAATGCCAAGCTGCCACCGCAAATCTGAGAGGTGTCACCTTCGCATTTCATATCGCATTCGTTTGCCGCGATCTTAGAGCTGCCTTCTATATTGTCACCACAGAAGCATTGGCCAGCGTACTCAGTACCTGCCAGGCTAAAGCCTGCATTTCCGCAATACTCCATACAGCCAGTTGAAGTCACATTGCCAATGCCCAGATCCGCGAATTGGATCCCAGTGAGCGCACGAGTAGACTCATTGTCGGAATAGCAGCCAAGATATGACCACCCGATGATACTGTTTTCTGTAGTAGAGGCTTGAGTAGGTGTGGTAGACAAGGTCTGAGATGCAGACAGTATGCTGGTGGTAGTCGATGTACTTTCTGGATCGGATGAACTAGAGGATGCGCTCTCGCCTTGACCCCATCCAGTTGGGGGATTGTTGCCTGGCAGCTTCTCGAGAACACCAGAAATCTTCTCAGGGACCAGGTTGGCGATGTTGCAGCTGTGGGAAGAGTCGTTGATTGTGCCAGCGTCGGCGCACTTGTCCATGCCCGAATCGCCGGCATCACAGTTATCAATAATCTTTTGCAAGACGTCCACATCCCAGCCAGAGATCTAGATAAACTTATTAGCTATAGTACCAAGGACTCATCAGGATAAAAAACCAACAAAATCCCCGTGAAGAGAGTACCCAGTGCGGTCGCCGTTTGCCAAAATAAAGGGTTGCGTGCCATTTCCTTGCTCCCACATGTCCACAAACAAAGGGGTGTTCCAGTAAACTTCGTAGAAGATATGGGGGAGGTGAGTCCATCCTGTCGGACAATTCAGTTTGCCCCCTGTGGTTCCTTTGCTGCTCGGGAACACCATATTGCTCTCGAAGTCATCGAGGCCAGCCTCGGGGTTGTAACAAGAAGGAAAGTGAATATCAGCACGCAGAGGGGATGCATATCCGTCACAGTTCATATGCGGGAAGCCAGCCCCAGCCCCGGCATTATTCGGGTCTTGAATCCCTACACCATGCAATCCATCGGAATCTGCAGGATACGAGGGAGGATCATAGGAAGTCCGTGGGCATGTCCACTGAACTGGTTGAATGACGCCTTCATTCGTGTCCAGGACATTGGCAGCTCCGCCCGGTGGGGGAGTTCGAAGGCTATTGTTCCCACTGACCATGCGGAGGCCGACAGGGAAGGCTTTGATATCATCATCGGTGGGTTCGAAGCTGTTCTTTATTAGTTGGCAACTTGATTTCTCAAAAATGCGGGACTTAAAGGCTACGCACAAGTAGTAGACATTCATGTAAAACATGGGAACTGAGATGAAGCTTCCATTTATGGGATCTTGGAAGTATAATGCCGGAGTCCAGTAATTGCTCTTGTCCGCCTCCACAAGGGAAGAGGTGCAACGTGAGTCCAACAGAACATCGTTACCCATGGTCAAATTGAAGTTACTTCCCCCCTGGATCGCGTGTACATGACTGGATGCAGTACCGGGACTGATGATGGGATCCATACGGCCCATTGTTAGCGGACCCTGGCCATAGAAGTGGTTCACAGCAAATGTTCGAGAGTCCTTGGCAAATGCTGTTGCATAAAGGGCAGCAAACTGAATAGCTATAGCTTTGAAATGCATCTTCGTATAATTCAGGCGAAGTACACCGTGAAATCAGTGAAAAGAAAGGGGCCGCCACAGCGAGTAGTACTGTAAGGAATGTCAGGGAGGAAAAATGAATGAACCTCGTGAGTAACCAGACCCATGAGAGAAGTGAACGGAAGGTTATGAGGAACAACTAAACGCAAAAGAAAGAATGTAAGATGAGGGTCCTGTCTTATATATTATCAAATATCCCCTATCATAATTTCTGGGTCGCAATTTGTTAACGATAGATGAAGCTCGCTCGGCAGTTGCCTTCGACAAGGGAAGTTAGATGTCAATCATATTCTAGGCTTCAAGCCCGAAGCTCTGCGCTTGCTGTGAGTGGGTTATTTCATGCTCTTAAATTAGCATTGTGATGCCAGGGTAACGCCACTAAGATTTCGGTTTAGCGCTGATTCTCAAGCGCCATCGCATACTAGGTAATGATAAATCGAGGTTATGAAGATGTTTCAGAAGCAATTAACTTGAAACAAGGGTCTCCTTTAATCATATCATTTCGAGGAATTGCCGTTTTGGGTACGAAGCAAACAGGATCTTGGCATGGATCAGTCAGGTTTGTCAGAATCTACTGTGAACTAGTATCCATGCCCATAATGAGCCGTCGAAGAATTCTTCAAATTTGACCTGAACCTAATCGAAACCCAATTCCCGGCCTCAACAGCGCCGAAGCTATCCGTGCCACACGGCCGGAGTGGGTAAGCCACACCGGAATCGTCAACCACACCGGAATCGTCAATTTCTCATAAAAATCATGATTTTTAAGGCTACACTAGGTATTATCTATATAAAAAAAAAATGGATGTAAAGCAATATGTTCGAAATATCACCCCTCGATCTGCAAGTTCTTCCCAACCTCAATCTGCAGCAATTTCCTAACAGGCCGACACTCCACCCGTTTCGATCGGTCTTTCACCAACTCCAGAATAACGCTCTTGAAATTCACCACCAAATCTTCCCAAACAAACTCTGGATTCAATGCCTTGACGAAAACACGCATCGCGGAGACAGGAACATTTATAATGTCGCAGACTTCTTCAGCGGAGAGGTTCTTCCGCATGGTGTTAATGAATTCCGCCCGCAACGACGACTCGAATTCCGAGAATTCATCTTCCGTTTCAATCATGGCCCTTTCCTCTTCTCCTGGAATATTATCTATAGTAGCAGGGGCTGCTGGCTCTAGCTTCTCCCCCATCATAATCTCATGAAGAAAGTTCTCATCGAGAGGCTCGATGCTACCCCCAAATTGACCCTTCTTCCCAACCTGCCACGGAACACGCTTATTCTCCGCATCGCCGAGAACCTGTCTCGTAAGTTCGAGGTTCTTAGTCTGAGTGTTCTGGTCAATATCGTCGAAGTCCGCGGCTAACAGCGCTTTGTACAGCTTCATGTTTTGGATTTTCAGCGATTCAGGCTTGACGCGCCACAGCGCCGCGATTTCGACGTGTTTGGTCATTATCCCCTGGCAGGCTTCTTTCATCCGTGCCCAATCGTTCCTCTTGCATGCTTCGCAAACTTGCTTCTTCAGTTCCGCGAAGGCTGCGGAGCGCGAGGTGTAGACGCTCGCGGCGGTGAGATCGTCGTTGACGCACCGTTCGCCTCCCTCTGCGAGATGGTTCAAGTATGTGATCATCTTAGTGTAACTCTGCGACTGTCTCTCCAGTTTATGCGGCAGCTGCGCGAGCAGCCGAGCCGCGACGGGCTGGAGATCAATATCCTCCGCCGTAAGCATGCGCATGAAGATGGTAATGATAGTGCGCGAATGCTCGAGCTGGATATTCCTCAGCTTGCAGAACTTCTCCATCTCAGCCGTGCGGCTTGCTTTGATCCTGGCTACATTTTCGTTCTTAGTCACCACTCGGATGACGGCTTTGTCGAGGAGTTTTTCTAGATTTCCGTGGAATTGTCGGAGTGGCCAGCCTGTATACGGGTATAGTGAGACCACTTTTTCATACCAGATCCACTCAGCGGAGCTCGTGGGGAGGTCGTATTGGGGATCCAGACCGAAGAGTTGCCAGACCATGCTGAGGGGACGGATTCCTGAGCCGGCGATTGTCAAGAGATTACCGAAGAGTCCGCGCATTAACCTTGTGACGGTATCCTCGGCTTTGTCTAGTTCCACAGGCTTAGATGTCCTCATCGCCGCGAGTTTCGACATGGCGGCCATTAACAGTGCGCTCATTAAATGGCCAGTCTCTGGGCTGCTGGGTTGAATATTATGTTCTCTGGACGCGACTGCTTGGCCAAGCGTGCTTCTCATGATAATTCGGAGCGCGGCGATGTGCGGTTCATTGCATTTCTCCATCCATCGCACTGTGTAGGGGCTTTTCAGGTTGACGAACTCATCCCAACAGACCCAGGCTAGCATTGATCCGGTTCCTGATAACTGGGTTAGGTAGGGTAACGCCAGGATGGGCTGGGAGGGTCCTATGGTGCTTTTGAGTGGGCCGTTGTGCTTGGTTTGCGACTGTTCCATGATGATGCCTGCGTCGAATCCTTCCAGGTGCAGGATTCTCGAGTCGAGGGCGCAACATTGGCTAAAAAGTCAGTGTCATTCGAGGTATACTTTAGGAGGCTTGATGGGGGAGAATTGCCCAGAAGAGGACTGACTCCAAGCTGGTTGCACATACCTGGCATCAATGGCGCTGTTTTTCAAGTTACCCAAAAGCTCACGATAAGGCGTCGTCTCAATATTCAAAAGCATAACACCCATATCTCCCGCGTATTCCTCAAGGTATCCCGAGAGAGTCTCAAAAGTCATGGACTTCACTGCCTCGACGTTATTTTGAATAGTGGTTTTGCGAAAAAGGCGCTTCAGATCGTGCGTTCGCTTGGAAGTCGTTTGAGACGATATCACGTTAGCCAGGCTTGAGATCACCGGCTCAAGGGCCTTTTGCATGTCCTTTGTGACCTTTCTCAATTTTCCAAGCATGCTATTTTTCCTCTGCACGGATTTGGGATCTTCCATACGGTATTCCTGTGTTAGGAATTCGGTGTAGCTGTCTCTTAATGGGGCTGCAACCTTGCTGATCTTGGCGGAGAGTGCAGCCACGAGGGCTCTGGAGAGTTCTTGTAGGTCTTTCTGGTTCAGAAGCACCTGGAGCTGTGGAACTACTGCATATATGTCGTCTTCCAGGTTTTGGATCTGGTCGACTGAAATTTCTTCAAACAACTTCTGTAGATCTTGGGGTTGGACTAATTGGCCGGTCGTAGGGAGGATGATCGAATTTGCGTCGCCGAGGTAAATGACTCGCTCTATCCTCGGATCTAGGATGGAGCCGATGCCTACAGACTCGAGTATACTTGTTACATCTGAGCCGAATGCTAGTCCCGACGTATTGAGGTGTGCCGGGTTGGCAATACCTCTGTAGAAGTAATACTTCTCGGAGATCTGAACCAGAATCAAGGACTGTGGTCCTGCAAGTGCCGTCACTGCATTGATATTCGCCGAATCCATCAACGAAAGGATAGCATTGGTACCCTTGGGCTCGGCTTCTGGAGTGAGTTGAACAATGAAGAGTGCATTGATTCGGTAGGCAGATGCGAGATTCCGGGCATTATCTGTCATTCGTTCGTCGACGATCACCACGGCATTCTTGAGTTGCTTATAGTAGTCCCGGAGTGCATCTTCATTGGGAAATGGGACATTCGAAGGGACTGTTCCGGTTGCAAGTAGAACTGGGCCTTGGAGCTCGGTACCAAAGATGCATGGCAGAACAATAGCGGACGGCTTCTCTCTCGTGGGTACCTCTTCGTCTGGTAGTTTGAATTCAAGACCGGTGCCGAACCGTATGATCTGTGTTTTCTCCAGATCAAAGAACGAAGGAGGAACAGCTGAATCGGTGGTAAAAATGGCATTTTCTTTGATGATGACCTTACGCAGGTTTTCTGAATTTGACGCTGTGTCCTCTTTAACTGAATCATTCACTGGGGCTGTTTTTGTATACATGTTAGCTTTGCTCATCGCTTCGGTCGTTTGACGATGGTGATTCTTACTTCGTGTAGTTAGTTCAGGAGTACACATAGTGAAGTCGGCGCGTTTTATCGCTTCTGGGAAGGCAGGGCTGATCAACTTGTCACTGTTGCACATCATGTCCCGGTCCGTGGTTGCGGTTGGTAATATCGAACAAATTAACGAGTCTCCGTCGCGTTTTATTACCAACGGGCAGCAGATTGTTGCGTCCCCGATTGTCGCTGCGTCCAAGGGCACCGGGATGATGTAAAGAACCTGTCAATGATGAATCAATCGATGCTAGAGAAGAGGCTAGTTTCTGAACTTACCTTATCCACATGATTGGCGACTAGCAAAGCAGGGTGTGTTCCCAGAAACCTTGTAATGAGTGTAGATTGGTAGCCGGAGATGAACACGCAGATTTCTTTCTCTGTTAGAGAGTTCTTGTTGATCTTCACATAATCAAGGAGATCCTGTCCATTGAGAATATCTCCGCTGTGAGTGATTCCCGGGAAGGTATTTCTTGCAAGCCAGCAGCATGCCCTACACGATTCATCCGCGAAGCAGAAGTCGTAGTAAGTGGGTGTTCGTTCGGAAACTGCTAGAATCGTAATTTGATMTGAGACGATTGGGATTTTAAAGGTTGATGCTGGTGCTTGCATAATCTGGAAGTCCTCGAATACCTCTGCACGTTGTTAATATTTCCTATACTCATTGGAAAGAGAAGACATACTCAGATGGGACTGGAAGCCGGCCATTCGCCGTAAAAGGATCTCGCCCATCTCGCCCAAGTCCATGGCATTAAAAAAAAAGTTTTCCGGGTAGGAAGAGATATCGATTTCCTCAATGCCATTTTCTGTCCTACAAAGAAGGATTTGCTCCAGGCTAAAAGGGTGTGCAGAGCCGACTGGGCGGTCTTCCAGGATCTTTTGAACCTGGGCCTTCGAGGTCGCGAGAGGGTTGAAGAAGGTTTTCCTTACTCGCTCCATGGTTGCTGGAATGAAGCCGATCGCGAGCAGTGAGAGTAAATGCAAATGCTCAAATAGAATGCTGGCCGAATGAGCAGATTATTTGTACCCCCAGCTAAACCCTTTATCTTAGTGACTCACCTAATGAGTCAGTGCGGGCTCCCAAAGTCGATTAGCATGAGTTGAGGTGTGATTGACCAGGGCTGTGGCCGAGCCCCGATCGAGCCTCAGGTGGACTGTTAATAAACGGTGTCAAGTGAAGTAGGGTAGTAAAGTACACCTGAAATAGTTTAGTTCCATCTGTGTCGGGATTTCTTTGTTTGTACAGAGTACTAGGGGATTCTTGATACTCTGAGAATTTGGGAGCTTCAACCCCTTCCCAACTCATGTAAGCCCGGACATCCTAACGTGTCGTCGCATAGTCTGCTCTTTTATATCTTAAACTAATTCAACTCCTCTTTTTGGATTGGTTCCCTTGGTAGATTAGCCCCATCTTGCATACAGTGCCATCCTGTATCAGCTTGCCGCTATGTATAGGTACTGGCGCCAGGCACCAGGCACCAAGCGATGGGTTCCATAGAACATTACGGTATTATGACGATGACTCATCATAGACTGGAAAGTGGCATTCACGTAATTCCCAGCTGAGTTGCGAACCCAAAAACACATTGTAAATGCAACAAAATACAACCTAGTATCTTAAACAACATTGGCCTATGCAGCAAGATGAACGTGGGACTGAAATGGCCGTTGCAATAACTGGGCTATGTAATCTGCGACCAGAGCAGACGACAGATTTACTAACCTTGTGTGACACTAATCCTAGATTATGCGTCGACGGTCTGGCATGACCCTCTCTGAGATAAACCCACCTTCACCACTTTAATACAGTCTAGAGGAATGCACTGATCGCATCTTGTCAGCATCTAAAACGGCGGCGACCACAACTCTAGAGGTAAAGACCCACATCCTCCCCACTAACCTCCGTCTCTGCTATCAAGCCCCAAAACACTATTGCAAGGCTCTGTGGATGCATTGATATTCAGACTCTGTAGGGGCAGGCACTGTTGATCTACAACCAAAACACAGGCAGAGGCAGAGATCAGATCCGCTGCCTTCTCAGTGATGGCATATGTCACCACCTGGAAATGTCCAGTCACTGAAAAGGGCAGCACGCTAGCATCCACCACCCTTAGTCTGTCCACGCCTTTCATTAGAAGGTCTGTAACAACCACCTCGCCTATTGCCGCTACCTCCTGGATGATAAAAGGGTGTTCCTCGTGCGCGCACCTGGGCATTAATATCCTCATCCATTGAGTCTAATGTAAGAGGCTTAAATTTTTGGCCCTGTCGCCTCGCTCTGGACCATATCCTTCCCTTCAGGAGTCTTCTTGATTAGTTGCAACACCTGGCGTACTCCGGCATGCAGAATTGTGCGATCTACTTCCGTCGCATAGAAGTCTGGATTGATCATCAGCGCAACACTCGGGTCCGCTGATATCAGCGAAATGCGGCCTCTTGACGTTGGCACCATGACCAATACTGCCGACGCAATATGCCTGCCATCTATTTGGATATCCACCCCCACGGTATTCGCCAATGCAGGTGGATACACGATTAACGTCTCGGTATGACTAGCCTTAGGCAACAAACACGGGTGTCTGTCGAGCTCCCCCATTTCCCAATCAACCTTGAGTGCATGCTTAGGGTTCCCCTGCGGCGCCTGCAGTGTCATGATCCAGTCATAGGGAAGCCCACTTGCATACGCCGGACGATTCCAAAGCAGAGTCCCGATCGATAATCCCTGCTCAGGGTGTCGCAGTTTTCACCACTGCGTGAAAGGAAAGTGTTTGTGGAGAGATTATCCCACATCTGGATTAATTCCCAGCTAGCATAGTCTTACTAGAGATAAGCTAAGCTTTTTGCATATAGCTAGTTGTCTGAAGGGCATCCAGTGCCAGAGAGGGCACCCAAATTACAGTTTACATAACTACCTGTTTGTTATATAATGTCACCTATATCTTATCTCACTATCACTCTATTACTAAGTCCTAACAATGCTGGTGCTTATATACACCACTTGAGGTTCACTAATGATTTCTTAGCTTTTCCCAGAATTACTCCATTACACCTATTAGATTAAGAACAGGGACTGTACTATAAGTAGTTATTTATAGAGACTATAATTAAGGTATTATCTAGCTTTATACACTAGTTATAGTTTATCTTTTGGCATAGCATACATTCAGCTTTCTGCTTAATCTCCTACCAGTATAAACTAGGTGCTGAATCCAGGTCTTACTCTATATCCTTAGCTAAAACCCAGTTGTTAAGAGTCACCCTCCACTCAATCATATATAGTATATATGATGGATGTTCATTATCTATTGCTCTATTATCGGCCTTAACATGGTTAATAAAGTATAGTTAACCAGGCTGGGATTGAGTAGTGGTGTAGAATGTTTACTATAGGGAGAAAAGCTACTTTCAGAGGCTGTATATTCGCGGCCAAAGTCACCGGGGGGTGGGGTAATATAATGGAGACTATTCCCAAGTACCAGCTTGGGAAGCAATATAGTTGTTAAGAGGCGTGAGTGGCACCTCCTTAACACATAGGATGCCACCAAGGAGCCTATCATCATTTGTTAGCTTTCCAATGGGAATTTATCTTACCTTGGAGCAACTGTGCTGACAATCGCAACCCAACGCATCAATATAGGCTAACTGATGTGAAGAAAGGGAGATGGCGGATATATTAGCCCCGCAGATCTATATTTTGTTTTGAAACATGACAAGATTTGCAACTTCACTCATAAAATAAACGGCCCTTTCTTATTTTGCTAAGTTGGTCAAATTATGCGCTAACCGGACATGGACAGAAGCCACGAATACGAGGGTTACATACAACCCTTCCGAAGTGCATGGTGCAGAAAAACCGGTTTTCAGGCACGAAATTCTCTAATCAGATTCTCTCCATTTTTAACCACAGTATGGGCATATGGGGGCTTGGAATTTGGAAATTATAAATAGAAGCCAAGTAACTAACATCTCACTCTCAGAACTGTGCTGTGTCTTGGCACAACATACTATTCACAATCTGGCAATGGCAACCAACTTGGCCCAGTATGAACTCGTACTCCTCGGCGCCTCAGGACATACTGGAAAGCTTTGTGCCGAATACATTGCTGCTAAGCTACCACCTGACCTTCGTTGGGCAATAGCCGGAAGAGACGCCAACAAGTTGGCGATTTTATCTGAGTGCTTGAAAGCCCGCGACCCGGCCCGAAAACCGCCAGGTGAGCCTTGCCTTCTTTTTGGGAGGTCTGACGCCAACTCTAGTTATACAGGAGTCGAAGTGATCCAGCTTAACTCTGGCCAGCTTCATAGACTAGCCAAGAGAACTCGTCTTCTGATCACTACCATTGGGCCATATATGCGATATGGCTCTCTAGTGGTTGAAGCGTGTGCAGTAAATGGTACACACTATATAGATTGGTCAGTCCACCCTTAAGCTTCTGACTTCTTCTAACAACTGTCAGCACGGGCGAGACACCTTGGGTGAGGCAGATGATTCATAATTACCATGACACTGCGAAAGCAAACGGCGCAATGGTAAGTGTGTGAGGTCTACTCTAATTGCATGGTCATAATATTGTCTCTAACAAAGCTCTCAAAAAGATGATTACACATTGCGGTATTGAGAGCGTCCCTGCCGATATCTTAACACTGGCTATGGTGAATCATATCCAACAGAAGTTCTCCTCTCCAACATCTGAGATTATCACTAGTATTCACTCAATTAATCACGACTTAACCTCTGGAACCATTGCGACGCTGCTCTCATTTGCTGAAGTGTATACACTTAACGAACTTATTACGTCCTTAAGCCCATACGCATTATCTTCTCATTTCAACATCTCAAACACAATCTCTCAGTATGCAGAATTCTTCGAAGGACTCACCAGCAACTGTCGCATCCATGAACTCGGGGTCTTGACAGAATGCATTCAGGGCAGGATTGACACAGCTCTAGTGCATCGCAGCCGGGAATTACTCGCAGAGAGCCTGCCTAAATTGTACAGCTCTTCTTTCCGTTTCAAAGAGCTCATGCGATTTGAAGACCCTTTGCTTGGCTTACTCTTCCATTGGAGGTGGAAGATGTGTATTCTGCTTTTCTGCTTCCCGCCTTTTCGCTGGGTTATGAGATACATCTATTGTAAGGTGCCTCCTAAGCATAGTGAGCCCTCAGCGAAGACGGAATACGCGAATTACCATGGCATCGCCACCGCTGACACGGCAGAGCGCCAGAAAGTGTTTGCTGTGTTCGAATGGAGCGGAAGCCCGTACCTGTTGACGGCATTGGCTCTTGCTGAGGCTGCGATGGTTCTGCTGAGGGGTAACAGTGACCGTTTGAGCAAGCTTGGAGGTGGTATCTTAACACCTGCCTGTCTCGGGCAGGAATACATCGACCGACTTAGCAATGCGGGGGTGAAAATTGAAGTTAATAGCCTCTAAGAGGCGTGTTCTTTGTGTTTCAATGATTTGCGCACTTTGACTAGAAGCGTAATACTTCAAGGTTTACAGACCAAGGACGGTGCAAGAAACAATGTTCTGCATAACTGATAAAGACAAGATAGTTTTATCTGTAGAAAACGGTCTTGTAGACTGATGAAAGCCGAAAAAGGACCGAGCCGATTTCTGGGTTCGCAAAGTTCATTGCGATATATTCCACAAAGATGGGTACACTGTCCTGTATACACCACCTTGAGGGTCACCTCCTCCATCAGACGCTCAAACAATACCACCGTCAGTCACATGAATGTCCTTTGTATCCGGCATGGAAGATCAGAGCTAACACTTACAATACATCGGTTAGCATATATCATATGCAGCTTCACTCTACATTCAGGCCCAGTTGCATAGGTGACCGCCAAATAGGTGTCGATGCAGAAGTACATTTCGTGCAAACAAGTTTTCAAGAGTACAGTGTCCTAACTCCCTATAGCCAGGTCTTTCGGGTGTTGCTGAAAATATTGTTCAAAAAAAGCTGAACTGTCGATACCACTGTCTCCGAAGAGATGTATTACTTCTGGAGAATAGAAATTGTGGAATCGAAAAGCTCTTCTCACAGGCTCTGTGGACTCTCGAAAAGTTGTAAATCAGAGAGCTCGTCACCCCTTTTGCCTCCACTCTTTCATAGAGATTTTGTCCCAAAATGACCGTCTTGGGCCATCAGACTTGTCACTGGAAGCCAGAACTAGACCTCGCCAAATCTCGGGTTGGGTTGGGTTCTCACTTTTTCAGCCCGCCCATGGGCAACCTAAGCTGGTTTGAGGTATCATTAGAGTTGCATAACTGAACCGCTAAAATCGAATCCGACCCTCACCGAACTCGCAGCGGTGAGCTATAGATATGGCTCCAAGTATTTTAAACGGGTTTCTGGCGTTTATGACGACGATTGCGCGCGGGTGATAATGAAGATTAAGCCAGGCGTCCTAACGAGAAAGAATCCTCAGCTTCACTATGAACTCCGCCTTTGCCAATGCCCAATGGATGTCGCCTCGGTTGTCAACTGGATTAAGAAGCTAGATTGCTTTCATCAGACACATGCCACAGAGACAACGCGGATGCTAGAAAGAGAACTTGATGCCTTTGGAGACCTCGCAGTGACAACTGGTTTTATCTAAAACCTTATGATCTCTCTTCCATTACCACCTATTAATCCTAGAAAAGGACAAATATATGTCTTAAGGTTAAAGAAATTGAGATCTGAGATTGACTCTATAAAGGCAGAAGTTGATCTATCAGAATTTGTGATTCTAGTTAGTAACCTCCTTAAACCTGGAGTGGCTGATGTGGCTTTGGCTGCCTTGAGTTGATTTATCATTAACAAGGCTGGCATAGAGCTTGGATTCTTGTATCAAGGCCTTAATGAAGATTATCTATTAAAGACTAAAAGTTAGTGCTAACAACAAAAGGCCAACGTTGCCACAATTACTAATTCTAATTCCTATACTATTAATAACTCCCATGGGGCAGAATAGGTTGAAGAGTAATGATAGAAGCATAAGACCCAACCAGCATATTCATCTATGCACAGTACATCCCTAGCTGCAGCTATGACTGCAACGCTAGAAGATAAGAGAATATTATTGATCTTTAATATAAAGCTGGAAACCTTTAGTGTTTTCTTAGCACTGTTTGCTAGGTTATAATCTTAGGGATTAATTAGCTAGACAGCATTCAAAGCTGTCATGGCTGACTTAAACTTTTCTGTTACTCCAAAGTGGGGATCAGTCTTTATATTTTTCCCCCCTTAGGATTTCTTGGTTTAATAATCACTCACCCTGCACAGGCTGTATAATTTATATATTAAGGGCTTTCGGCTCCTTTACATTGCAAAGCATTTAAAGAGAACTTTTGGGTGGGGAGAGGAATCTTTTGTGTTGGCTTGAATCAACCAACCCAGATATTGCTGATTTTGTAAAATGGCATGTGCATAATGACAGACTTGTAGAAGATACTCTAAATTCTAACCTTACTATTAATTATCTTCACAGCCTAACCCACAATGGCCTGCATAATTTAGAAACTTGTTCCCATCAACCAAACTAAGCATAGTCAAAGCCTGATTCTCACGCCCAAGAAAAACGAAAAAAAAAAAAAAAAAAGATTGGGAAATCGTCGCTCGCATATTAACTATCACTCCTATATTACCTAACTGCTTCTATTTTC